TTTCTTTCATGACAACTACACTCATTAGATGACACTTAAACCAGTGTACACTATCATGTTATAGATGATAACATGAAACATTTAAATTAAACCACGAGATCACAAAACGCAATACAGGTAATAAAAGGTAATAATGTCTCCTTTTGTTTAGTCAACTTGTCATCCATTCAAATCTTTTCTAAACAGGATCACAGTTTGGGGTGAGAATGAATATTTAGGTGAATGTTAACCATCCAAATCTAAATTCCGTTGAGCCTGATTGAACCAAATTAAATCAGATAAACAAACGCAACTTAATTCCTTATTAACACAACTCTTTAGTTTTACATTGTTCAAGAGGCGCCACCTTTTCTCAGAGAATGTAAACAACTTGTAATGTGACGCTATCTAGCGTTTCAGCTTGTAACAGTTGCTTGTACAAGAACGACTTTTAATTTAAATTGTATAAATCTTTTTATTTTGACATTCTCTTAATCTAATCCAATCAAGTGTGCTTATCTAATATATATTAATCCACTTCAACAGTTGAGCTTACCCTGGATTTGCCTTCTGTCCATCAATTATGTAAAGTTTGCAAGTTCTGTGTTACAGTTAACATTTCAAGCTAACCTTTTTTGTCAATCATTTAAAGTAATCTCTTTTTACGCTTGTGTTGTTCATTTTAAAAGTGAATTAAGTTAATGTCTGTGTTAAAATTTTAGCCCATTTTTAATGTTAATTGCTTGATAAAATCAAATTGAGATTCAAATTGAAGTTCATTTGACACAATTTTGTTACTTTGATTTGGGTTTTTAAACAATATCTGAATCTAACTGGTATCATCTTGGACTATATATCTTTAAGTACTCGATATTTTATTTTTCTCTCAACAAATCAACACGGATTATGTTTTTGCTTATCAATCAATTAATGTATAAATTTGTTTTAAAATAGTCATCGTAATTGTTGTAAACATGTTAATTGAAAACCCTGAGTCCCTTAAAACCTGGTTAACTTCCTATTTGGAGCCCTTGTAAGTGTCTTATTTCATTATCTTTATCAACTGTAATCAACCTCTTTTTTTCTGTAATGCCTTACACTCTCCTTGTGGTTGGTGTGTTAGTATGTTAAATGTTAATGTGTGTTTGTGTTTTTGCTTCCATTGCACACATTTTACTCTTTCTTTTGATAATTTATATTTAATTTAATCGATATTAATTCAACTACAATGTTTAGTTCTGTTGCTTAATACCTGCACTACATTAGGCTTTGATCCAGATTATTTTAATCTCCTCTGGTTCTCTCACTTCCTCTAGCAGTCTTATAATAGCAGCCATGAAGTCTACCGCTTAATTTTACCTCTTCTAATTAGCACATTGTTTTTGTATCAATTAATTTTCAAGATTTATTTCTTAGTTTATTCTTGATTGAATCTTGTTTTAGAATTTATTTCTATCCAACTTTCCGTAGTCTTCAGAAATTTATATCCAATCCAGTACGTTATTTTCAGCCAGTCGAGGCCTATTTATTTACTTTAGTTGGCTATCAATTTATTCGTTCATTATTGGTCCGTTTTCTACTCTTACTTACCTTTTCTCTTCAATCCATTTATTCTTTCTTATAATTAAAGGCAATTTCTAATGTTTTCTTTTGTTTATATCTTCCAAATTTTAGGTGTGATGCCGATCCTCAAGCTTTGGCTCAATATGTTATGGCTTTAATTGGCAAAGATAAGCCTGCTAAGGATCTGAAAAACAATCTCTTCGAACAATTGGAAGTGTTTTTACAAAAAGAGACTGAACCATTTGTTGAGGTTCTTTTTCAAACGTTAGAAAATAAATCTTACTTGAACTCTGTCCATTCGGATAGCCATAGTAGTACCTCATCTGATAGATCGCCAAGTGGCTGTGATGGTATTGGAAATTTACCATCCACTATCGATCATTACAAAGTTCACGAACCTATTGGTTCACCTTTACCCTCCCTATCACCTATATATGATCCTAAAATATCTTTATTAAATTTACCCGATTCAAGTGCATCAGCTCCCAGTAATCAATTAACAGCTACTGCTCACTCTAAAAGGTCATATCATAACCGAGAAAGAAGCAAAAGCAGGTCTCATTCACGGAGTCGAAGTCGATCTCGTTCACCTCCCATTTCATCTTCACAAAATCGTCATCGTCCACGGGATGTTGACATGAGACGACCAGGTGGTTATGCAGTAGTTCCCAATCAAGGTGGATCTCGTAGCCATTACATTGAAGAAAGAAATCGAAGAACAGGTTGGAACGGACCTTCTTCAAGAGGTATGAGTCGTCGTTATGGACCATCATCATCATCATCTTCATTATCATCATCATCTCACCTTGGGGGAGGTTATCGAAGGAACCAGCAGCAGGTAACAAGGCGTTCTCGGTCTCGATCTAAAAGTCGGACACCATCAAGGAGCAGGTCTAGTTCATACTCTCCTCATTCAAATCGAAGTCGTAGCCGTAGTCCTAGCCATGATAGGGGTCGTACAAAAGATAAAACTAGAAATAAAAACCAGAATAGAGTACAATCTACCTCAAGAAGTCGTAGTCGAAACAGAGATGGTCCAGTGGCCAAAAGAACAAAAATCAGCTCAAAATCTCCTCTTGATGAGGAGGGAGAAGATGGAAAAGAAGATAAACCATTCATCAAAAAGCGATGTCGTGATTACGATGAAAGAGGTTTTTGCATGAGAGGTGATCTATGTCAATACGATCATGGTAGTGATCCTGTTGTATTAGACGGTGCAGTATCGTCAGTTGTTCTTGGTCTTGCCGCCAATGGAGCAACAACTTTAACTGCTACCCAGAGTATTGCAGCGGGATCAGCTAATTTCCTCAATGAACCCTATAACCCCGAAGCACCAGGGATTGATAAACAAATGAATCCTCATGGAGCTCGTCGTGGCTCTGGTGTTGGTGCACTTGTTGCTCCTCTTCGTGTACCAGTAAAATCAGTCGGTAACAATTATAATCACCTTCCTCAGCATCCATTCTGGAGCAATATCACTACACCATTGCGACCAATCCCTCCTGGACCTGGTTCTAGTTCTTTCATTCCATCATTGAGTCAACAAAATAGGCCAAGAGAATTAGTTGGTGTTCCAACCTTATCTGATGGTAAAAACTCATCATCATCCTCATCAAATATTAATCCAGAGATACCCAAAATACCTCATTCAAGTACTATTGATTCATCAACTTCAACAACAATCAGTGGAAACAATAATGGATCTAATAGTCATACTACTAATAGTAATATGTCTAGGAGGGGAGGAAACAATTCTGGTCGTGGAGGTAATGGAAGTGGACATAGAGGAGGCTTTAGAGGTGGTTACCTGAAACGTATGGTAACCAATGATAGTGCTGATAAGTGTACATTAGAAGTTCGCAAAATACCGCCAAATCTTAATACCATCGCAAATCTTAATTCTCATTTCTCGAAATTTGGTTCAATTGTAAATTTACAAGTTTGTTATGATGGAGACCCAGAAGCCGCCTTGGTTCAATTCGCTAGTCACAGTGAAGCACTGTCTGCCCATCGTTGTACCGAAGCTGTTCTAAATAATCGTTTCATTAAAGTTTTCTGGCATTCAAAGGACCAAAGTCAACAGTCTAACCAACAATCACAACCACCAGCGACCCCAGCCCAATGTCATCAATTGTACGGTAAAGCATATGAATCTAGTTTACGAGATCGTGCAGCTAACGGAAGTTTAGTGAATGAGTCCAAAAATATCGACTCAAACAATTCTCGACCGAATGTTAAAGAAAGACTTGGCTTACGTCATGGCACAGATCAGGATAAAAATTCTGTATCAACCAATGTTACATCTACTGGGTCCATATCTCGAACTGTTTTCAACCCATTGTTGTTGAAAAAACAATATCCGTCTTCTGCATCTATAGCAACTTCCACTACAGTTAATCAAGCTAACCCTGTCGTGAATCCAGGCGCGCCCAATTCTGGTCCTGTTGCTCCCGCTAAAAGTAAAGAAGACCTCAAGAAAGATAAGCTTTTGAAAAAACTTGACTTACAAAAGAAACGCCAGCAGATTCTACTTTCCTGTATGCAGCAGCAAAAACTATTGATCGATAAACTTCAAAAAGCCAAAACGGATAAAGAAAAGACTGATATCCGATCAACAGTTGCAGCTCTTGACAAACAGATTAAAAAACTTGAAAGTGATATTAAAAAGGATGCTGAGGTGATACTTGCTGAAACAGCTAAGCTCCCATCATCCGGAAAAAAGAGTAAAATACAAGTTGAAAAAGAACTTCTTGATGTTGAAATGGACTTTTATAATGAATTACATAAAGGAGCGACAACAACTGAGCTGAATGCGAAATTACAAGAACTCAAAATTAAGGTTAGTATTGAAGATTAAACTTTATTCAAATTAAGTAGACGATTTTTGCTAATATATTCATTTTATCCTTTTCTTTCAGACCAAAAATCTTTGCATGAATGATGTTAGATATACAAAAACAATGATGAAGCGTTTCGCTGAAATGAAAGGTGCCTTACGAGGTCGTAATCGATTAGCTAATCATACTTTGGCCAAAAATTTTGAAAACCTCAGAAAAGTTGACAGACGAACTCGTAAAATTTTTATTGAAGGAGTAGCTGAGGATGATAACAACGTTTTACTGGCACATTTATCGGTAACTATTGAACCATCATCTCATAATTACTTGATTTATCAATTGATTATTGTACCTTTAACTCTCCTTTTCTGTATTTTGCTTAATCTAATTTACTTATTTACTTTTTATTTACAGCAAACTGCTGAAATTGAAAGCCTGGAGTCAATGCCTCAAGGTGTAATGGTTACTTTCAAAACACGTCGAGATGCTGAAATGGCTTTACCCTTAATATCAACTGTAAAATTGAAAGATCAAGTTCCACTGAAGGCATCTTGGTTCGATGAAGCCAAAGTTAAAACCGAAGAATCAGAAATCGCAAACTCTATCGATAAACCATCCGATTTAGAATCTTTGATCGAAAATGAAATTAACTTAAATAACGATAAACTTGACGAAGACGTTGACCAAGAAGATTTAAATGAAGGAGAAGGTGTAGAAGATGAAGAAATCCCAGAAGCATGTGAAAATCTATTAAAAGAAGAAGAACAAGAGGAGGAGCAAGATGAAGAACGAAAAGTAGATTTTGTTGAAGATGAAGAAGAGGCAAGAGCGGAAGCTCCTGAAGATCAAGATGAGGAGTTTGAAACATCTCCTGAAGGCGTTAATGTTAAAATAGATGAGGGAGACAACGATGAGGAAGGTGATGAAATTGGAACTCAAGATGGTAACCAAGCTTCACCAGTTGATGAGTTATCATTGGGCGTCGGAGTCGAAGATGACTTACTTGAAGAGGAAGAAACTGACGATGAAGATGAAAGTCGAGCATGGCGTCGATAACTAACTTAAAAAAGTGATAAGTCAATTAAAGAGTAAACAAAACAACAAAAGATGAAATTAAATAACAAAAAAAACTTTAAAATTAAAACGAGAGAGAATAAAAACAATGTTAAGAAAAAAGCTTCATTTTGATTACAGTTACAACAACAAAAAACTTGCCTCCATTTTATTTAAACAACTGATTGTAGACAATATCGTTCTACATTAGTCCTTTTTATTCCGAACTAATCACAAGCTTTGACTGTAATTGCAGACCAAGTTTGTCTCAGCATTTTTTGCTTCTTTATCACGAATTGCTTCAAATACTGATTTCAATAGTGATTCACGACAATTAAAGCAGTGTAAGGAGACGTAGTGAGATTCAAAAAAGCCAATCAAAACTTTTAAATGATTCATTTGATCGAGTAGATTAGTAAAAAATTGTTTCTGAAGATCAGATCATAATTATGCAGTTTCATTATTAGAAGAAATCAATATGAATAGATCAAACTATTTGTTTGGCAAAAGAAAAATCAGGAGTAAATCGTAAATATTGAAGCAATTCAGAAGTGAATTTAACCTGGTAGTTAAGCAAATGTTTAAGGTTCAATTTTCATCGATTTCATTCAAGATAAAATGAGACTCAAGAAAATGCTGTTTGAATAAGTGGACATCACTGTAGTCAATAGTAATGAGAAAATAAAATGGTCTCGATTTATGCCTGTTTATCACATAGACTTTCGTTCTGAGCATATGAAAATGAGTTTGAAAATATTGTCATATTTCTCGCTTATTGCCTTTTTTAGTCTTATTTCAACTTTGTAACATCTATTGAATTAATAACTTAAATGAATTATTAATTTTCCAGACTTTCTCGGCTACTAATTTTAATCGCTTTGTGGAAAGAAAAAAATTTGACTCTCATTTTATCGAATGAACGCGTTTGTTTACTGGGTCTCCCTCTCGTCCTGCTTTTGTTGATTTGATTTCTTGGTCGCAATAGAATTGAGAATGTACTGATTTCAATTCCACTCCATGGTTTCATTTGATGTCTTCATTTAAGTGAAAATATTCTTTAAATCATTTTCGATTTTCTATTCTTTCCATTCTTGGTAAATTTACTGACAATTTTGAGTAAAATCGATATAACCAAGAATAGTGAGCTTTATTAAACATTAAACCGAAGCTTCTCAGCTATCTTGCTCAATTTTATGCTAATTTAACCTCGGTTCGAGTTCAGAATTGAGAGGCCAATTCAATTGATAAATTCACCGAAAAAATTGCAGAATATTTTGTTGACCATGGACGAAGATGATGCTATTCAAGTGAAGAAATACTGTTTCGATCAGATTATTCTTCGTGTTTTGTATCAACAGTTTCATCATGACTTTCGTGTAGTCATAATAAATATTATCTTAAAATCTTTTTGATTCTTTTACGCTTCAAACGTGAAAATTTCGTGCATGTAATTATTATTATCAATAATGTTATAAAATTATTAAATTATTACATGCATAATAATGTAATGACCTTTGACTAGGCGATGAAATATCTATTTATTTATTTATGCAAATTGCATTGTTAAAAGTTATCAATTAAAAGGTGAATATTCAATTTCCTCGGATTGTTGTAGCTCGGAAACAGGCCAGTATTTACAGTCTTTTTGGATTGTTGACTGAATACTATCACTAGGAAGCCCAATTTTATTAACCAACAAATCGGTCAGTTCGGCATACTTGTCAGCACTCATGGTGTTAGTCCTGGATAAAATCATACCGACTCCTGTGATAATGATGAATGTTGAATGAGTCACATTATTAAGTTAATGAAGAAACTCCTAGTTGATCAGAACGAAGAGACACTTACGGACGGTTATTAATAATTGAGGGATGTCCATGCAAAAAGAAGCAGCCAGATAGTTATCGTAATCAGTATCAGCTACATAGAAATTGATTGGCCATGGAACCACTAGAAATAGAGAAGAATTATCATGTAGATTAGTTTTGATGAAAAATAATTGCTATATTGATCATTTGTTTTACAAATATGTTGTAATATAAAGTTAAACAAATTGCACTTACTTTCTGTTAAGGAATTGAGATTGAGTAAATTTGGGATATCAGTGCGTTTGGCTATTCCAATGTCACTAAACTTTGAACCACTAGACGATGGAAGATTAATCTGCATTACAAACCATTCAAATCAATCAATGATGTTTACTTACTCAGTTTTGATTCCACCAAATGAGCAATTAAAGTTTCCATCCTCTCGAGGAGTGAAATCATGGGTAGTACATGCTCTGCTTTCTATGAATTCACCAGCAGTTAATCCAGCAATTTCATACCATCGACCGGCAATCTAAATCAATCAAACAACAAATTAATGAAGTAAAGCGCATTGACTAAACACAATAAATTATTATAAACTTACTTTGCTGAGATCAACAGCAGGAACAGGTAGAGGAACTGGACATTGACCAAGAGCTGAAGAAGCAAAAGCAAAGACAACGAAGAGAGTTGCGATCATTTTCATAGTTTTTACACAAAAGAAGAAACTAAATGTTTTTAATGTAATTTGTTGCTTGACTGATGCTGATGTGTCCAATATTTTCACTTTATCTACGTTATTTCATCAGTTTATCCAAAAATATCATCTAAATATCAAAATAAATATCTAAAATAAAATACAAAATCTAATTTAATTACTATGGATTACCGATCAATAATGATAATCTTCAAACAATGAATAATGGATTCAAAGGGAGAAAAAAAATCAAAAGATTAGTTTTCTATTTCTATATTTCACAGGATGAAAATTAAAATTATATTCACTGTCATGTTATAGCAACATGAAATCTTATCTTTAATAGTAATAATTTCATTTAAAGTATTAATAAGCAATATTTTTTTTGTGCGACAGTTATAATGAAACAAATAAATTCTGGTTGATTTTCAGTAGGAGAACAGAATTTATGTGCATCTCATGCAAGCTATTTTAAGGTGGAAAGTTTTAAAGATAAAATGATGAATATGTGATAGTTGAACCACTGCATCGATAAGTTATGACTCATAACTTATGAGATATAAAATCGAGGGCGAAGCCCGAGTGTTATCTCATAGCTTCAGGTTAATAACTTACGTATGAACTTGAACTTATTGCTAGATCCTAGCGCTTCCAGTTAGAGCTTAAGAGTTAGAGAGTTTAAACACATTATTCGTGTTTTGTGGTGATTGTTGGTGATACCATTCTCAAAATATTGAGGCCCAAAGATTTAAGAACGGTTTATAGCTCAGGATACGAGGCTTTGTGGTTGACCTAGTTGTTAATATTTATATATTGTAAAGATTGAAAATGAGAGTTAATCAAACATGATTTATTTACACTTAAAGGCATCAATTATGACTATTATAAATATTAAACATAGTTTGCTTATTCAAATACTGAGATGCAAAAAAATTAGTAGAGTTTATGTTTACAAAGACATTTTTATAATACCCAGATTAAGGTAAAACAAGATATTATAGGAATTGAACGTTAGAAGTAGACTGAAGATTTAATTACAAATTTGCGTGGATGTTGATAGAAACCATCATTAGAAGATTATTTAGCATGAATTTACAACTGAAAGGAAAGGATCCAAGTGCTTAGAGTTTTCCTCGTGAGATTTTGGTTCAAAACCTATAAGAGCGGCTAATTTTTGGCCTGATTTAGCGCCTCTCATCCATTGGACTTCAATTATTTGTTGAACAAAATTAACGTCTTGAATTACATTCTTCACAGACTCTGGATCAACCTCGCAAGCATAATCCAATGCTTGAAGCATTCGTTCCATGGAAGAAACAGGAATTCCAAAAGATTGAATAAATAATACAAGGGCAGGTATTTCTAGGTCTTTAAGAGCAGCGTCGATAAGAACGGGAGAAGATGCACGCATAAGCCTAAGTCGAAGCCAGTCTGGAAGTATACTAGCTTCTTCCAAAGTATCAGGGATTAGTGTAGTTGGTATTGGATCATCAAACCACATTTGGAGTAGTTTATTGAATTGATTTGAGGCTGTTTCAGGAGGATCATATGTTAACAGGATTACTAAAGATTGAATAATTATTATGTTGATGACAGCAGTATGAGTTGGCCATTTAACTATCAAGTTATCAGCATTATTATCAGTTATTTTTTGTTCGTCCTCTTCCTTAACTGGATTTTCAAGAGATATCATATATTCATAATAAAGTTTTATGCAAGAGAACAGAAAATCATCTCGATAATGTGGATCTTTTGTGATGTGTTTAAAAACTGAGGTTCGGTCGATTATAAGGCGAGAAACGTCCATAAGTGTTATTTTGTCACCAGGTACGCCATATTCAGCAAGAAACTGGATGTAACAGCAAACTGATTCTGGGTCAGTTTCGACTAGAATTGCTGATCGCAAGCAGATGCAAGCAATTTTCTTGACTGCTTGAAAGTTTTCTATTGTTGGCAATTTACCCAATAACCAGTCTTCAATGTTGAACTTTAAAAGGTCACTCAAATTGTCAACCATATTTTCATTAAAACACAACACAAGGTTAAGTGCTTTTGCGACTAAACTACGTAAAGATGATTGAGCAGAACAAAGGCGTCCCATGAAGTATTCCATCAATTGTTTGGCAACGACAACATCACGATTAAGAGCATTTTGAAAGTAGCTCAACAGTTTACAAAATTTCTTTCGTTTTTCTTTTCGTTTTGGTTTCTCAGATTGTTTGGATTCCAAGAAAATGTTCAGATTTTCATCATCATTAATATAACGCAAAGTAAATTCGCCTAAACATTGAACAGGTAAACTTGACAGGTTCTCACAATTCATTTCAATTAGATCGTTAAGCCATTGCATAGTGCTAAGACCCAATCCGGTACTAGAGCTCGACATGGATTGTCTTTGTTGTCGCTGAATAATCTCTAATAGGAAATCAGGATTACGACTTTGACACAACCAATAACCTATTCTTAATCCAGCATTAATATTTTTAAGCATATCTAATGCACTTTGAGGTGGCTGTCTTGGTTTGCCTTGTGGGTCAAAAGTTATTAATTTACTGAGCAGTAAACTGTTTCCTTCAGTGATTTGTCGTTTACTTGAAGCAGCTGCTAAATGTGATTCAAATTGTAAGATCTGTTGCTTTTCAATACCAACGATTCGCAGTTCATTAGCTTTGAGATCTTCATTTTGTCGAGTTGCTGGTGGAAATTCAAAATGATTAGTGATACACATTTCGATTAGCAAAGCTAAGGTTGGATAGTTTTCCCAAGCCATTGATCCGAATTTCGTTGAATTGTGAGCCACAATAAGCAACAATTGAAGCCAAACTTTCCAATACCAGTCATTTATGGCCAGTGAAGGTGGTTCATAGCCCGGTGGAAGTGTTATGTTTTCCGGAATGCGGTAAATTGAGTTTTTGAGAAGAAGATTGAAAATGTCATCTTTTTTGATGGGCAAAGTGGGGTTGGTTACATCTCCATCGTAAAGAGCTGCTGCACGTTTAATCAAAGCATCAGACAATTCTATTGCTTCGGGAGATTGAACAGGGTAGTCTTTTGAAAGACCCATCTTTAAAATACGGATAAGACTATCCTCGTGAACTGGAACTTTAGTTGTACAACGGAACATTGCGTCTCGCTCTGACTCAGGTGGCCAATTATCTTTGTTGTAATACTGTTCAGCTGATTCCATAAGAAGACATTTATTCAAACAATGCATATATTCCCCTCTTTCTGGCTTATAAACTTTCATTACAATCTTCTGCATCCAAATTATTGATAACCTTTGCATCTCTGCAATTTGTCCTGAAACTGTTTTGAGAATTTCTTTCTTTGTCGGCTTTGATACAGATTCTCTAGCGATAGGATAGACAGTTAAAAACATACATAGAACAATAATGTCAGCGATTGAGGTTAAAACTCGAGATAAAATATCGGGTGAATCGATACCAGCCATACGACTATTGTCGGTGGTTAATGTATCAACAAGTTTAACCAAATTTATGTGCTCATGTTTCAATGTTTTTACAATTTCTCTAAGGAGATGGCGAATTTGACGAAGGAAATCGTCTTTGATTAAAAATTCTTGAATCAGGTGAGCCAAACATTTTGTTGCTCTGGTAGGAGAGTGTTGGAAAGCCACGGAAATCAAATGCATATTACTGGATCCTCGGTTGTTCGAAAATTCGATAGAGATGGCATTTCTCAGGACAATAATTATATTTCCTTCATTTTGACTCAAAAGTTCTTTGATACAAAGAAAGAAATGATTCATCAGAACTTTAGTTTTGAGACGCATCTTGACAAGAGCAGAAATAACATCACTATCTTCGTCAGTACAGTTGACACAGACTGCCAGTAAAAGATCTTGTGCAGGTCGACTAAGTTTTGGATTTTGTAACCAGATTTCTAATTTTTGGGCAACTAGTAATCGTATTTGGGGAATACCAACAGTTGAAATAAGAAGTTTAAGTACATTGCGGTTAATTTCTGATGGAACCTGACGTCGAGTCAGCTGTTCGTTGATAATATCATAAACATAATCATAAACAACCTGTTGGTTGTGATTATACCTGGGTACAACTGGTAGTTCTTCACCGAAAACATCTTTTAATCCACTAGAGAATAGACTTATAGTTTCATCGGTGCTGTCTTCAGTAGCATGGCTTGGACTTGTTGACATGGGGGATTCAGAATTGGTTTTTAAGACACTTCCAGGAGCACCTGCAGAAGATGGTGTAGAGGGACCAGAAGAACTTGGATTGGCGAAAATATCTTGAGACATAAGATTTTTGGGAGGATTTTTAGTATTAAAAGCAGTTAAAATATTATCAACAAATCCGTGGCAAAAATCTGAATCAACCCATACACGATCTCCTAAAGAGTCTTCAATGTAGGCTTTCAAAAATGATAGATGCCACTGTGATTCATCTATATGAGCAGCAAGTAATAGGTTGGCAGCAAGAACCGCTAAAACAAACACATTGTTATTTAATTTCACTTTAAATGGAGCAGATGATGGATCTCGCCTGAGGAGAGAACACATCGCCTCGATAACTGTTTCACTGGTAAAATGTTGAGGCCTTGTTTTGGCAAGGTAAACTAAACTTAGAACCAAAACTGAGTCAGGTTTTCCTTTACTGGATCGAAGCTGTTTTACCGCTCCACAAAGGTAGCCATCAATTTTGGACTCATTCGGAGTTCCTTCAGCTTCAACAATTCGTTTAATAAGGAATTCTGATTCAACTTCAATGGCAAAATCTTCCCATTCATCAAATTGTTTATCCAATTTGCTGGAGCTGTTCCCTGTACCACTACCAGATCCTCCACTAGTACCAACATTTGATCCGCTAGAACCTCCGATCAATACTTTTGGACGCTTAGCAGCGGTTCCTCCAAGTGCAAACAAACTACTGGTTGCAGGCAAAGGAACTTTAGATTTGCCACCTCGTTTACCAGGAACTGATGACATGGTGTAATCGAGATGCAGTTCAGACACGGCCTAACAATTAATACAGTCTTATATTACAAAAATAATAAATAAACATAAACATTAAAAATAAACTGGAAGCCAGATAAGCTGATAGTGAAATTTCTGTTGAATTTTTCACGTGACTTCCATCTGTTTGTTTGAAAAACAGTCACTAGATGTCATAGTTTTATTTTAAGCTTAAACTTTTTTATTTTCGATTCAAATTGTTGATTAAATTTAATTAAATTTACTGAGTAATTCAGATTTATACTTTAAAGTGTTATTCTGCATTTGCATATCTCATGCAAATTTTGTAAGTAAGTAAAATTTTATTTTTAAAATCTTGATTATCCATCGTTCAACATACTGACGAGTATCGTGAGTATGGTTTAATGTCATATTTAAGTTAATTTTCTGATTGTTTGCAATTAAAATAAAACATTTTTCATAAGTGAAATTAAATATCTTTGCATTTGGACACAATTTTGAGAGTATCTCAAAAGCTTAATCTCAATTAATTTACAGCTTATAACTTGCTAGCATCTCGTTACTTCGAACGCATAGGAAACATTAAAATGACTTCCTTGGTAATTTTTATTGTGATTGTTTAAAACCATCAAAATTTTATCAAGTTATGGATTACTCCATTGAATAAGGAGATAAACAGAAAGGATTCCATGAGATTAATGATTTTTATACTTAACTATTCTCAAGTTATAATAGATGATAAATAATATTTTACATAACCCTTTTAAAATAATGCACTTTAAGTACATCTAACAGAAATATCAGTTTATCAAGAATATTTTAATTTTTCCGAATTGAAGTGAATTTAAGGCGATGGATAACTAGCCAGAGAAATTAAGTCCAGCATTGATTCCATGAAGACCAGCATCAAGATCAGCTGCAACTCCCATTGGGCCAACATTAGCATTAACACCAACGCCAGCACCACCAAGGCCTAATTTACCCCCAACACCAAAACCTACTAAACCTTTGCCTCCTACATTACTTCCACTGCCTCTTCCAAACAGTCCTTTGCTGCCGAAAAGTCCACCTCCTCCACCGTTACTGCCACCACCTCCAAACAATCCACCACCACTATTACTTCCACCACCAAATAATCCACCACTGCTTCCACCGCCATTTCCTCCACCAAACAATCCCCCTCCACCATTACTTCCTCCGCCAAATAGTCCACTTCCACCACCGTTGCCTCCAAATCCACCATTTCCATTCATTCCACCCTGTCCATTGTAACTTCCTTGTCCATTGTAACCACTTTGTCCATTGAAGCCACCTTGTCCTCCCATGCCACTTTGACCGTAATAGCCTCCTTGTCCAGTGAAACCACCATTTCCATTCATACCACCTTGTCCTTGGTATCCATTCTGTCCATTCATTCCACCTTGTCCGTTGAAGCCTCCTTGTCCAGTCATTCCATTCTGATTATGATAACCATTATGTTCACTCATACCATGTTCGTAATAACTTCCTTGACCGTTCATTCCACCTTGCCCCGTGAAGCCATTGTTTCCACCCATACCTTGTCCCTGATAACCATTCTGTCCATTCATTCCCCCTTGCCCATTGAAGCCTCCGTTCATACCGAAGTTCCCACCCCTAGTAATTCCTTTACCCCCATTAAGTCCATTGTTTCCAAAACCGTTACCACCATTAAAACCATTGTTACCAGACATGCCACCATTTGCTCCATAACCGTTATTTCCTTGAAACGATCCTTGATTTGATCCACCAAACTGTCTTTCACTATTGAAACCATAATTTTCGTCATTTCCAAAACTGTTTCCACCGTTAAAACTTCCCCCACTGTTAAAACTATTTCTGCTGCTGAATGAATCTTCACCTCCAGAGTTACTAAGGCCAGATCCACGACCAAGCAATTTACCAATACTGCCAAGTCCGCCACCTTCGATGAAAAGTAAGAAGGGAAAAAATGTTGAGCAATGGCAACAAAATAATAATAATCACTAGATAATCACTGGTAAACTTCAATAATAAAAACAGAAGGATAAAAAATTTTATTACCTAACAGGCCGTTAGCCAAATTTTTGATTAAACCACCGCCATTGCTTGCACCTTGACCAACCAGTGATCCTAATTCAGAAACGAGATTACTGGCACCACCATTACTACCTCCGTTATCACCTGAATTCGCATTATAACCACCGTCGCCACCAATTCCTACCTTCCCTTCAAAATTTAATCCAGGAATTAAAGAAGCTCGTTTCTCAATTTGATGAGAATCACCAGCTAAGCGATAATGGTACTCTTGATTTGTTGGGAACGGGCGAGCTTGTTGGTTATAAACATCTCGTTTCCGATTATTATTTTCAACAACGTGAACCGGCGGAGAACCAGAATAAGATGAAGGTTGTGATGAAGATAGCTCTTTATTTTTATCAGCTTTAGTAATTACATTTGAGTCAAATTTATTTGTTTCACTGACCACTGGATGGTTTATTGTTGATTTATCTTGAACTGCTTGTGAAACATAACAATTTAAAAGCAAACACAATTTAATGAGAAATAAACAAAACCAAGTTTTATCCATAACAACACAGAAGATAAAATATTTCAAAATTTTTTCCGTTAACTTAAAATACTGAACTAACAGTTGACTCACATGAGCATAGTGTCAAGATTAGGTGATGATGTCAAGTCAAAATGTGCCTAGCAAAGTGACATAAGCGTCACTAATAATGCCGATGTTTTCACATTGCAAAGTAATTGTGATAACCAGTGTATTTTTAATTGTTAAATAAAACAAAAGACTCAGCCAACTATAAAAGGTGTTCAAATCCAAAAATCTAATTAACATTGAACTGTTTTCACTTTTGCATGATGATCCTTTGTAAATTTAAATTTGGTAAATAATCTTCTTCAAAGGAAAAGTTGAACACAAAGATTCAGACAAATAATTAACCATATAATTCAAAGACAATAGTACAATTGAAAATGTAACAATCAACAGTTAACAATATTCAATTAACATTGACTTCTAGAGGTCATCAATTTGTTTTGTCATCACTTTGTTTCGAGTGATTTTTGGAAATATCAAAATGTAAAGTGAATCTTGTTTGCTCTTGATCTAAATCTTGGTCTGGAAAGCTGAATTGAATCTAGAATAATGTTAATATTAAATTCAATTAATTCAGATTGTAAACCTCAAGGTAATCAATATTCTTTCAATGCTATAATCTTTGGATAAGCCATGAATTAATTTGTTTGGTGGCCGTTTTGTTTACGATTTGATGAAAAAAATGAAATGATCTTCTTCTTTAGCCATTTCAATGGTAAAAAATATGATTTAATTACTTTTCTGTAATACAAAAATTTAAGGATCACTTGTGAATTTTTAATAAATTTCAAAGAATGTGAAACAAACTCTGAAAAAGAGGAAAGACAATGATTACAAAAAGTCTTTTAAGGCAATTTTCATGGTATAATAGACAAGTGATGAAGTAATAATTGAAATAGACTAGCATTTCATTCAAAGGATTAGAATGTGACAGATATTAAAAAATGGTTTATCAAAAAAAGGTCACAAAATCTTCGATGAGGCAGTATTGGGTTGAAATGTGGACTAAGGTGATAAATAAAACAGGTGAATATGGTCGATTGTTTATGAGTTGGCTTCAAGTATCTCCAAATTTGAGCAAGATTTTGAGTTGGTAGAACTGGAGAAAGAGAAAAGGTAGAAAAATTAGAACTCATTAAGAAAATCAAGGCTATAAGAGTTGAAATTAATGATACGTACTTTTTGAGTAATTGACGATTGCGCCTAAGCACATTCAGAACCAGATCGCCTGTTTTGATAGATTTAAAAATGCCGATTGCTTCAGCATGAGTTAAACCTTCCATAATGTGGCCATTGATAGAGAGTATCTCATCACCTGGAGAAGGAGAAAATTACAGAAGAGGTAAATTGTTAACACTTATAAACAAATGTTTGTTTAAATGAAAGGTTATCATTAATTTTGATTAATTTACCTTCTTTTAATTTATCATCTTCTGCTGCTTGACCATTGGGTACAATGGTTTTCACGAAGATTCCCATGGCACCTTTGGGTGAATCTTTCCCGCCAACGAGACTGAAACCTAATTTTCGACAACCAGGACCTTTCTTGAAGACAACAGTATGACGACTGGTTCCTAATGGCAACTTTGGTTTTCGAGGGACTGTACAAAGGCCTGAAGAGATCTATAAATGTAAAGAATGAAAAAAATGTAAATTAAATATGATACAGCCATGGAGAAGAACTTAATCATCGCATTCTTTGCATGAGCTACATTATGTTGAAAGGTTGAGTTAAATATGTTAAACTGATATTTGATAAGCAAAACGCAACAAAAAAATGTAACAAATTGAACAAACAGTGATGATAGTTGAATACAAACAAATAGCAGTTCAAAGGGAGCGTCAAAAAAAGCTAATTGAGTTAAGATGTTTGCTGAGTATCTAGTTGAGTTTGGAATAAAGATTGCGTGATCTGAGGTCATTAAGTTTGGATGAATGCCAAATGATAGTGATTATTGTAATGATACAAGTTGAAATTGAAAGTTGTCTTTACCATTGAATTTGTTTTGTTTTCTTGTTCAACATTTGACAGTTTTCTTTTAAACTGGTCAACTTCATCTAATTCAGGAATTGGACCTGAAATTGAAGAGTTGCGATGACGATGATTGGTGCTAGTCGATGAATTATTGAGCAATTGAGATTGTGGTACAGGTTGTGGTATGAGTTCATTTTCAACAGCAGATAAATTTGTTGTGGAGCTGATTGTATCAACATCTGCAAGTCCATCAAAATTATCAACTCTCCGAGCAACAACCAGTTGAACGAGTCTTTCAGATTCTTTCAATAAAGATAAAGCATCTGCAAGACATAACCCACTGAGTGAAACTCCATTGACCATGAGAACTTGATCTTGTCTTTGTAAAAGTCCACTTCTGTAAAGAAGAAAAAAGCAAAAAAATGAATAAAATGATACAGGATAAAGTTGACTCGATGAAAGAGGATTATATCAAGATGAATGGGAGACATTTTTACCAAATTTAAAACTGAATTTGAATAGACGCTTAAAGAAACCTTTGAATTGTCGCAATAGGAAAGAATGAGTTTGAATCAAAATACAAATTTAGATTAATTAAAGAAATAGTTGGACCATCAGACGGAAAATTACTCAGACCGATGTTTTTGACCTTAAAAATAATTTTCTTTTAAAGCCACTATCTTAAAGTCCTTGTATTGATGATCAAATGGTGATTTTTTATATAAAATGATAATTGTTGATGAAGAAGGTGCAAGTTGAATGGTCGATGGAAGCTATTCAATTGGGCTGTACCGTGAAAAGTCACATTTTCACTTGACGGATCAATGAAAATAAGGTTTAGAAAAAAAACAACAATAATAACAATGAAAACCTAAGAAAATAATAGTTTTTGGATGACTGAAAGCAACCATTTTTCATGTTAAAATGGTAAAACTTTTTCTTGGTTCTTTAATAGTTTACAAAAGGTATAGACTAAAGCAAAGCATCACAATAGAAGTAAATAGCCAAGCACATCAAAATAACGGCAACATACTAATCAATTTTTTTAACAATATTCATTTGATTAACAATTGCAACAAAAATTAGGAACTAAATGTGAAGATTAGCTTCTATAATTTGAGGAAAAGGATAAGATAGACAAGCATCAATTCAAGAAAATAAAGAGCAATTATTTCTATTGTTAGCACAAATTGAGATGACACATAAGATGCCGTTTATGAAGGTAAAAGGAAATGAATTCACGCTTTCAAATAGTTACCTGTCTGCAGGGCCATCGGGTTCAAAATCAGCGATGATGTAACCCATGGTATTATCTTCATTTGGCTTTGGTGTAACGTAAATTCCAAGGCCTCCATTATCATCCTTTTCAAGACTGACAGCCATCATCTTTACTGGAAACCTTTCCTCATTAATGCAATCTAAATTTTCATCAAGCATTGCAATTCTTTCATCGAGAGAATAAGTTAACCCAGAGGAAGAAATGGTTGAAGATGATACAGAGAGTGGAGAGGAACCGCCATGAGTAGTGGCAAAAGAGAGTGAAGTTGGTGATTTTGTCCAGAGTCGACCAGATGAAGATAAATGTTGATCTGCCGATGAGTGTAAAACATCTCCTTCCATGGGAACAACAGAGCAATCAAATGAATTGTCCACTTCATCTCCATTGGGGTGAGGATGAGAGGCTGGTGAACTGGAGGATGTTGATGTTGTAGAGTTGACTTCATTGTTGGATGCAAAAACTGCACCAAAAAGGCTTGTTCGTCTCAGATATGAACTAGAACTTGTTGAACTTGAGGTTGACATTTTTTGATTTCGCGAAATTAGTGAACAATCTGGCGTGTCAACACCTTTCTCGGAAGACGTTAGAGCAGAGTCGGTTGAATCAACTGTACTGATGGAGGCTCGACTTCCTTCTCCATTTGTTCGGTTAGAAGATGACTTTTTACGACCGCGAAGAAACTTTCTGTCCAGTGTCCAAGCTTTAAATTGTCCCATCAATTTGACTGTCGATTCCTTTACATGGGAACGCGAAGAGGAGGAAAGGTTATTCAAAGGAGTTGCTGAGTCAATTCCTATACTATTGTTGTTGTTCACAATGTTGTTGTTTTGACTATTTTGACTGGCGATACTTTTGTTGCTCATGTTCAACGAGGCGTCAGAGCGTATTACATTTTCACTGGCATCTTTGATTAGACCAGAACTGAACTCTGTAGGAAGAAAAGAAATTGAAGAAAATGTTAAAAGGTAAACAGGTTAAAAAGTGGGAAACATTGAGGATAAATTGAAACAATTTTTTTGCATTTCAGTGATAAGTGATAAATAAAAGATGAAAATCACACTTCAAGGGAGGCAAATCATGATGAGAACAAAAATCAACATTCAATCATTTACCAAACAATGAAATTAAACTTCAGTGATCGTCCAACAACCAAAAAGGGTTAACTTTTGTTGTTTTGGTCTTTATGTTTTCTCGTTTGATAATGGAAATAAGCTATTTCATAAAGTCTTCATTTTCTTGTAGGTGACTGTAGAGAGTGGGTGTGTAGTGAATGATGATTATGATTATAATAATAATGGCGGTGGCGATGATGATGTTGGAATGAAGATTCTGTTATATTTACTGTATTAACTCAAAAAAAGTGACTTAAAAACAACAGTAAACTCGTCAAAAGTAAGCATAACATTGAACCAACAAACTTCATTTCATTGGGTTAGTGGCAAAAGCTAGTAGCTTCTGTTTTCACCCTAGGGCGTTACAAGCCAAACCCAGATTTTGCTTACATTTAGCCTTGCATGTGCATAAAGCCCTCTTCTTTATCATCATCATCATCATCATCGTCGTCGTAGTCATCATCATCAGACCTAATTTTTTTCCTTCTCTTTTTCCTCTCAAAAACATTTTGTGTTACATTCCATCCTACAAGAAACAAGAAGATTAAGAAAGTTGTTGGTTGTTAACATTGAATGTGATGAAAACAAAGTAACTATCAGTCGAGTCATTTAACCAGTTAACCAAATTAACCAGATAATTGTTCCATCATTATGCTCATTTAACTAGTATAATTTACCCAAGTTGGTCAAAAGAATAATAAACAATAAGTAAAAAAGACTAACAGTTTGCCTTTAAAAAGCAATCATCAGCATTAATTATCAGGATAAATGGGTTCAGATTCAGTTAACTGCTGGCTGGTTTTGATAATGCAAGGTAACAACACACAAAAAAAGGAGAACAATTAACAGTAATTAAGTTCAAAAATGGATACATGAGTAAACTTGTTTTGTTTTTGATATTACAAACAACAAATTATGATGACATACGAACAGCTTTTTCCTTGCAAAACAAAAATGACAAAGAAATTGTGCTTTGATTGACTGATTGTGTTTATTCAAAGTTTCACCGTCATCAATCTCAAAGGATTAATCAAGATTAAATGAAACAGATGACAGAACCACTTTCCATTTTCTGACAATAATCACCTTTATATACCTTGTTGGCTTCAATTTCTCATATTAATTTTAATCTTTTCATCTTATTAACACTTTTCTTTTGTCCAATTTCACTTGCACAACTTTTCAATGATTTATAAATTCTCTAAAAACTGTTATTTGTATTTGAATAATTGACCTGGGAAAGCAAATTTTTGGGACAGCGGAAATGTCTCAAGATCTATCTGGTAATTTCCGATAACAGTTTCTAATACAGTTAATGTGGCCATGCTTATCCAATACTCATAAAATTTTAATTTTCTGGGTCAGTTAAGGTCAGGTAGATGTTTTTTTCTGAATAAATTTCACTCATTTTTCATAACTGATTTGACAATTATCAAAAATTTAAATTCACCAGTAAGATATGTATCGAAAGGAAAGTAAAGGAAAAATGAATATTATTAAATTCAGATGAGGTAAGATCATCGACCTGAGAATTTACTTTAATTAAAGTAATGCTATAAACACAATTATTCAAGCTTCTGGTTCACTGATTAACACAAAATATCCGTCATTAACAACAATATAATAACGATAAAAACAGCTCAACTAAACACGCATAATGTACCTGCAACAGGGAAGGAAAGTCAGACGATCATATTTTAATTTCAATCATAATTACACTTGTTTCACTATTTAAATTACTTTAGAAAGGGACATCTATTGGTGTGCTTTTTCACTTGACAAAAAGAAAGCAAAAAAATGGTCTTTTCCAATGTGATTTCAACTAATTAAACGCGTATTTAATTGTCAAAGCTGAGGTTGTTTTGATCGTAAACTTACCTTGGCTGTTATTTGTAAAAGAATAATTTCCACTATTTGGTTTCAATTTGAGCAAAAATGAGGTGAACTTTTGTAAATTCTCGTTGTGAGGACGGTTCATGGGGTCAACTGGGTCCAAAATGGGGTCAAATGTGTCCCAAATACCTTCACGATCACAGTCTTCGTACAACAATTTACCAAAACTATTCAATGCTGAACACTTTAAAATGTTTGCTTTCTTTTTGGCACATAAGTTAGTTTTTTTACTCTGTATAAGGTCACTTTGGTCACAAGGTAATTCGAGGTAACAATTCATTTCAGGAATAAACAAAACAATATACAAAAAAAGTCGAAAAGAAGTGAAAACATCAAAAAAAGGCAGCTAAAATGGCCGCTAAACAACGAAAGGAAATAGTGTAAAGTCTGGCCTGTCAACTTAAGACAGGCCTTAAGACTTTAACTTTTACTTGTTTGTATGCGATGCGTGGGCTAGACTAGCTCCCTCTACAGATGAGACTGACAGTTAAACTTGGGTAACATTATTTGAAATGATGTTAGTTTAGTAACTAAACTTTGGTTACATGCTCATTCTGATGAAACTTTCCAATCTGAACCATGAGAATCTTCTTATTCAAGGTTTCCTAATGTTTTCAATGGTTAATCAAATTGAGCTATTAAATCTGCCTATGGTGTATCAGACATATCTTTAATATCCTTGTGAATATGAACTCGTTGAAGCAAGGTTTTTCATCAAGATTTATGAGCAAAGTTAACTACCATAATGAAATAAAAATTTTTACCTTGAAGAGTCTTCAGCTATTTGATAATTTCACTACCGAATGCCATTTTTATTAACTTAATGATGGTTTCAACATAGTGTTTTAGAGTATTGCTTGGTAAATCATTGATCAATTAATCCTGGTCTCATGGTTGGCTATTGCATTATTACCGATTAAAATTTAAGCTGTATTGATATTGTGAGTGAAATTGTTGCATTTTGTCACACAATTCTTGATATATTTTCATTTGCAAAAAAAGTAGTCTTTTTTATAAATAATACAAAATTAGGCAAAAAGATACGTGATTTTTTGTTGCACAAAATAGATCATTTCTTTTATATAGTTATTTACCAAAAAATTATTTCATTTGATTCAACAATGAAGGGTTAAAAAATTTGAAGGAAAGGGAAATGGGAAAATATATATGCGTATGAAAATCAAAAATACAGAGTTAATTTTTTTCTTGATCGAAACATTAGATTAGATCCATGCAATTTCTTGTCTATTGAGACGAAATTTTTGGATGTTTGGGTGTTATGAATGATAAAATTTTCATTCGTTTGAACAATTGAAGTCAATGTAACAGGGTAATGAGAATGCACCAGGAGCCACGATTGCTTGCATAGCCGAATAACTACAAGAGATTCCACCAATTACTCCAACAATAATAATTTTGTAATAATAAATTTTCTCCCAAACAGATACTTTCCTAAAAAATAAAAAGAAAACGAGAATTAAAAAAGGAAAATTGATGTTGATATCAAGAGTGACGATAGTTAGATCGCAGAGATTTTCAGTTTACGTACCGTTCAGGCCAAGATTCGTTTTTCATTGAACACAATTTCATATAAAATAGGGGTGGTAAAATATAAGCAAGCATGGTGACGGATGAACCTCCCATAAGATCAAGTATTTACCGAATCGAGGAATAGTCTCTCCAATAAAGATGACAAAAATGGTGCTTAATGTACGGACTGTAACCCGTTTCCATCCAAAAGCTAGCATAAAAGATTGAGAATTATTGATAACCCACAGATTTGTGTACAAAAAATTACTCACCATTAGGTATTTTAAGTTTACTTTCGATTTCTTGGACAGCTCCATTGATGACAATAACAAAGGCGAAGAAAAGATGACAAGATAGCAGAAGAATGGCTGCACTTTTCTTAATGCCATCGGGTATTGTAGAAATGATATTGTTTTTAACAGTGTTTCCATAGGTTAAGTATCCCAAGATGGCAGTTGGTAGATACAATGCAAGCAATGCTGAGTTACAGAAAAGTGGATGAAAAATATTTGGATTGATTAATAATGGCTAGATATTTAAACAGATCCAACTTACCTACGAATCCAATTATAACTGACATTGTAAATTTAGATTTATCTTTCATGTCATTTTGGAAAGTTGGAAACGCAGCAGTTCCACCAAAAGAGAAGAGAAAAGTACCAAAAGCTAGGGAAATCGCAGTTAAAGTAGGCTTCGTCACGGGCGCAGAGGTGGTAAGATCTTCATAGTCTTTAGCTACATCGATAAGAATAAGTACAACAGCAACTGAAGTAGTAGCCAAAGCTGCTGCAGCAGCAAACCACATTTCACCAGGACTTCCAAGCCACATGAATGGGCAAAGACACAGACCAATGATTAAAATCCATAACCCGAATGGTAAATGAAAATAGGATTTGCAAAATTGTGAAATTAATTCAGCACAAATCAACAAAATAACGGTCGATGCACCAAACAAACAGATTTGAAGACAAGCTGTAACAACGCCTCTGGCGATGAAAAGTAAAACAAAGAGTTACAGTTAGCAAGTGAACGAAAAAAAAGTAAATGTTTATGTTTAACTGAAAATTGACAATAATTAATATGACGATATTTACCTCATCCAATTACCATAGGCCATTTTACCAATAGCTGGATATGGATATCGACAGTCACCACGGAATTCACTCCATCTTTCTTCGAGAATAAGCCAACATTTGCCGATAAGAATGCCAGATATTCCTGCATCAAAGGCACACATTGCCATCAAAGGTAAACTCCACCAGCCAGCTTGATATAAAGCGTATGGTAACGCTAAAATACCAGCTCCAGCGTTTTCACCGGCGATAAATAAAATTGTCACAAACATCCCCATCCCATGTTTCTTGGTAATTGATCCTGTTTCACCATCGTCATACTGAAATGTAGAGAAGGCTTTCAATGAATGTCCATTGGTATTAATAACTTTTTTTCCTTTTTCTCCACTCATTTTTTTTTCTTCCGTTAACTAAGAACGCGATTATGTCTTTAATTATCTCTTCTTATTTCTTATTTCACCAGACCAAGACTCGTTTACCTAACAATTTGAAAATGGTTGGGGGAACTTTGGTTATTCCAGTCAACACTTATACACACATTTCACATCTACACCAAAAATTTAAAGCAAAGGAGAGGGTTACATTATAACCCAATCAATTTCTGGATGTAAACTAACCAAAGTAGCTCTACAACTGGAGATAGAGAGCAGAATGAGAAGAGGCAGAAAATAAATGATGATGATGATGATGATAACTATGGTGATTATGTAATAGCAAATCAGATATCTTAACATTCAAGATGTTTGTTTTACCTCTTTCTCCTCTTCCCTTGTCTGCAAGATTACCACAATGCAAGGTTTTTTTTGTCATAAAAAAAACAATTTGAATATTTGATCACCTTGCTTTCATCAATGTTTGCTCACATGGTTAGTTATCACTAATGATTTCGCCGTTGGAAACCTTCGCTGTAGACAATCCTAGACTTTGGCTTATCTGATCAATGAAAAGTAAATATTCAAATATTTCTCTAAGGTTGTGATTAAACCCGCATTTTAACCTTTCTCATGATTTTTCTCGCATCTAGGTAGGTGGTTATAAATTGCATAAGACTAAACAGTTAACTGTTGCTGGCTCACCCTGAAAGCCATGGACTTACAGAGGGAAATCATGGTTAACAAGGCATTCCTTTTGTTACCTGTTTCGTTACGTATAATTGAATTGACTTTGCCAGATAAAAGCTAGCAATTGTAATGTGATGACAAGCGCTGAACCTTATCTGGTGTGATCATCAGCAATCATGCTTGTATAAAATGGGATTAACAACTGTGTAAATGTTTACCACAGCTGATTCAGTGGAAACTGATTCATCTTAACTAGTTGTTCAACATTTCCTAGTCGATAAACGATAAAAAATGGATTACAATTTAAAAGAAACTGATCCAACCATTGAGATGACATTCGATAGCATTGATCAATTGTTTTAGGCCTAGAAGATTGGATTTCTGGTTTCGAGTTTATGATCCATGGTGAAAATGGCCTCTATAACCGACTCCTATTTTAATGGTTACTGTAATTTGATTTGAAAAATAAACACAATCAGCTAAACTCACCAATAGTGGATGCCTTGGATCGGTGATAATCAATTTAGGCGATTCAAGATGAGCCTGAGATGAGACCTGAACCACATGGAATGGACTAAATTTAATGTTGATAATCTGATTGCAGTTGATTTGTTCAAGTTGACGGTTAAGTTTGTTTCTTTGCCTCAATTTTTCAAAAAAACAGCAACAAATGACGATCATTAAGTTGTCTATCAAAATTGCCAACCATCTATGCTAATCTTATTTTTATTTCATTTCTATTTCTAATCAGGGTGGATTGATTCTTAAGGAGCAATATAATTTCACATTTTGATGTCAATAATTAAACTGTATTAATAGCGATTCATAATAACTGGTGGATTAACATCTTGTATTGAATTTTTAGGTGTTGGGTTGCAACCGATATCTACAATATCACCTGATTAAAGCATTACTTCAGTGAATGGTTATCCGATATTCAATTATGCATTCAATCACCTAATTTCACAATCAAATCCCATAATCATAATCAAATTGTTAATCAACTCATTGTATAATCAGATAAAGATCTGAAAAATATTTTACCAAATATGCTATTTGTATGCCATCTTTACATTATTGTATCCAACATTGAACCAGAAATTTTTTTGGTAATTTTCCGCTCAAAGCGACGATCATTTGTCCCACATATTTTAATTAATCATCATTGACATCTAACAATGATTAGCCATTTAATTACAACAATAAATGGGTTCTCGCCTAACCCAGAAAATCGAATGGAATTGAACCCAAAAAATTGACTTGAAGCAGCAAAAGCAAAGACACAAAATGCTTCTTATTTTCACCTAAAATTAATTTCCAATTTTAATGATTTATATTGAAAAATGAATCAAATCCAAATTGTTGCTCGTATGAACTCAGTACAAGATGAATGTATTTTTCATTTCACTTAATCATGCCTTAAACCTTTATTCAATCTCAATTGATGAACCTTTAGTGTCCACTCAAGAGGTGCTAATTGACTGTCAAGTGGAAACCCATTGAAGCTCACCGGGAAACCTTATCAAGTAACAATTAAATTAATAGTCTGATATGATGATAAGCTGAATCAATGCCGACAAGAATTGATCTTTAATAATGTTTTTAAAATCAAATTAGATAAATTATAATCAAATTGAACTATTTCATTGTTTCCCAATCACATTTAAAAGAGAAACTCAATTTTCTAGACTTTAAACTTGTAGCCTTAATTGGGTGAAATTAAGTGAAAAATCATTGTTAAGTTCATCTGCTCTAAGAAACCCATGATGAGGATAATCAGATCAATCCTGATTGTAGCTGATAATGAATCCTGTTGCAAGTAATTAGATGAGCTAAGACATAATAGGTAAAATGTTGTTAATCAAATGATAAAACAAAACAAAAAATGTAATCGTCAGTAAAACCTGTTGATCTAATAAATCACGAGTTAATATTCCAACTGATTAATTGTTCAAGATGTTATTAACCCGTCCTTTAATGTATCACCGTAAACCTAAAATCAAATTGACAACCAGAAAAGCAATTCTGGTTTTCAAGTTGAATCCTAATTCAAGTCTTTGATTAACCATCAGTTTATGATTTAGAGATTTAAATTTGATTCACAATCAACCTTTGAAACCTAATTGTTGAATAAATGTAAAATGTTTACTCACACTTTGGCTGAGATTGACTCTTGATTCAGTTGCAACTGATGTAAGTCCTTTTGTCCGTTTACTTGACATTTTACCTGCTAAATTGTCAATCAGTCTGGTTGGTCAACTAATTAGGATGAGTAGATGATTAAAAGATGATCATTTAGATGTGAAACAAAATCAATGGAAACAATCTTAGATGAAGAGTTGAAACAAAGTCTATTTTCACTAGACAAGTCTACATGAGATTGTTGTTTTGTTGTTGATATTTTTTGCTATCCTCTCTTCACAGTTGCTTTTTCTGGTTCAGTAAATGAATAACTAATAAAATTAACTCAATTAACTCAATTAACGGTTTAATGGGATATGAATATGAGAAAATATCATTTTTAGGTTTTATTTTTTATCACAAGCACATGAACGTCACACAATTTCAAATGTAATATCATTGGAGGTGGAGAATGAAGATTTGCGATTAACATGATTTAACATGATTTAACATGGTAATCGTTAGGCGACAATTCAATAAGCCAGACAAAACCGACAGAATTGATGCAAAAATATTTCAATTTATTTTTTCAATAACAACATTAAACACATTTGGATCCCTCATTAACCTGAAATTTGGTTTAAACACCAACATCAATACAACGTTAATTTTTGTCAATCTTATCATTGTCATTTGATAGTAAAAATATGTAATATTATCAACAGATTTACTCACTGAACTGTCATGAAAAACGTGAATTTTAGTATCAAAATTCAGTTTACTGGTTTTAAAGGGTATAAAGACAAATATTACTTTCGCGTTCACCTGTTATGTTTAGTTTGTGCATTTGTTATGCAAGTGATTGACTTCATTTTTTCTTCAATTTTAATATCTAATGATTTTTGATCAGTTAAATTACTCAATGATTTTAGATTGATTGAACGCCCATTCGATTCATGTTCATTCACTTCTAGCTGATTATATTTCGATTATTCAGAGATATTATCTTCTGCTCTGTCCAAATGTTCACACTGTTTAGTGCTTCACTGGTTTTAGACTTAAAACAAAAATATACAAAGTAATTTTTTAAGGCCAATCGTCGGTATATCAGTGATAATTTTTGTTTTAATTTAATTTTGTAAGTTCGTTAAAACATGATTTGGTCAAGTAAGTATTTATGTGACTCTTGAAAAGTACAAATGAAATGAAAGAGCTCAATGGTCAGGGAAACTGGTGTTGAGGATAAAATCACAATACAACCCGATGGTCAAGTTTGATTATGTACAATTTACCTTTTGCTGGTGGTTTGCCTGTTATTAGCGATTTAAATTTAAGCTGTAATCCTTTCCTTGATTAGATTAAATCCATGCACTTTCTTGTCTATGGAGAAGAAATTTATGGATGTTGGGTGTTATGAATGAGAAAATTTTCATTCATTTGAACAATTGAAGTCAATGTAACAGGGCGATGTGATTGCACCAGGCTTCACGATATCAGACACAGCGGAATAACTACAAATGATTCCACCAATTACTCCAACAATAATAATTTTGTAATAATAAATTTTCTCCCAAACAGATACTTTCCTAAAAAATAAAAGGAGAACGAAAATTAAACAAGGAAAATTGATGTTGATATCAAGAGTGGGGATAGTTAGATCGCAGAGATTTATAGTTTACGTACCGTTCAGGCCAAGATTCGTTTTTCATTGAACACAATTTCATGTAAAATAGAGGTGGTAAAATATAAGCAAGCATGGTGACAGATGAACCTCCCATAAGATTAAGTATTTTACCGAACCGAGGAATAGTCTCGCCAATAAAGATGACACCAATTGTGCTTAATGTACGGACTATAACACGTTTCCATCCAAAAGCTAACATAAAAGATTGAGAATTCAAATTATTGATTGAATACAGATTTATGTACAGAATGTTACTCACCATTAGGTATATTAAGTTTATTTTCAATTTCTTGGACAGCTCCATTGATGACAATAATAAAGGCGAAGAAGAGATGCCAAGATAGCAGAAGAATGGCTGCACTTTTCTTAATGCCATCGGGTATTGTGGAAATGATATTGTCTTTAACATCTTTTCCATAGGTTAAGTATCCCAAGATGGCAGTTGGTAGATACAATGCAAGCAATGCTGAGTTACAGAAAAAAGGATGAAAAATATTTTGATCAGCTAAATGAATTAATAGTGGTAAGATCAAATTTACCTACGAATCCAATTATAACTGACATTGTAAATTTAGATTTATCTTTCATGTCATTTTGGAAAGTTGGAAACGCAGCAGTTCCACCAAAACAGAAGATAAAAGTACCAAAAGCGAGAGAAATGCCAGTTAAAGTGGGCTTCGTCACGGGCGCAGATGTGGTAAGATCTTCATAGTCTTTAACTACATCGATAAGAATAAGTACAACCGCAACTGAAGTAGTAGCCAAAGCTGCTGCAGCAGCCAACCACATTTCACCAGGACTTCCAAGCCACATGAATGGACATAGAGCCAGTCCAATGATTAAAATCCATAACCCGAATGGTAAATGAAAATAGGTTTGGAAAAATTGGGATATTAATTCAGAACAGAGCAACAAAATAACAGTTGATGCACCAAACAAGGTGATTTGAAGACAAGCTGTAACAACGCCTCTGGCGTTGATAAGTAAAACAAAAAGTCACAGTTAGCAAATGAATGAGAAAATTGATAATAATAAATATTCAGTGATGATATTTACCTCATCCAATTACCATAGGCCATTTTACCAATAGCTGGATAAGGATATCGACAATCTCCACGGAATTCACTCCACCTTTCCTCGAGAATAAGCCAACATTTACCGATAAGGATACCAGATATTCCTGCATCAAAGGCACACATTGCCAGCAAAGGTAAACTCCACCAACCAGCTTGATCAAAAGCGTTTGGTAACGCTAAAATACCAGCTCCAGCGTTTTCACCGGCGATAAATAAAATTGTCACAAACATTCCCATCCCATGTTGCCTGGTAATTGATCCTGTTTCACCATCGTCAGACTGAAATGTAGAGAAGGCTTTCAATGAATGTCCATTGGTAATAATGTTTTTCCCTTTTTCTCCGGTGAATTAAAAAAGCAATTCTGGTTTCAAGTTGAACTCTAATCCATGTCAAGTCTTTGTTTACCCATAAGTTCACGACGAGCAGTTTGTTAGAGATTCAAATTTGATTTAGCTTGCAACTCACAATCAAACTTTGAAACCTAATTGATTAATAACAAAATGTAAAATGTTTACTTACGCTTTGGTTGAGATTGACTGTTGATTCAGTTGTAACTGATGTAAGTCCTCGTCTCCGTTCACTTGACATTTTAGTTGCTGAATAATGAATAACTAATAAAAGTAACTCAATAGACTCAACTAACGGTTCGATGGGATATGAATATGAGAAGTTATGATTTTCATTTTTAGGTTTCCTTTACCACAAGCACATTAACTTTATTTAATTTGAAATTTAATATAATTTGAGGTGGAGAATGACAATCTGTGATTAAAATTATTCAACATGATTTAACATGGTAATCAGCAGGCGACAATTCAATAATCTATACAAAACCGACACAATCGGTGCAAAATATGCGAACTTATTTTCCTGACATTTGGTTGGAGAACCAACATTAACTTGCAAAGTTTATTTGCAACGTTAATTTTTCCAGTCTTACCATTGTTATTTGTTAGTACAAATATGTGATATTACTTTATTGTTGATAATATGTGATATAATCAACTGATTTGCCTGACTCAACTGCCATGGAAAAACGTGAAATTTGATATCAAAATTCAGTTTACTGGTTTTAAAGGGTGTAAAGACAAATATTACTTTCGCGTGCATCTTATTAATGTTTAGTTTATTTTCGGTTATTCAGAGATATTATCTTCTGTTCTGTCAAAATAGTCCCACTGTTCAATATCTTACTGGTTTTAGACTTTAAACCAAAATATACAATGTTGACCAAAAGTAATTTTTTAAACGCCAACCGTCGGTGATAAGGACTGGATATCAGTAATCATTTTGTTTTAATTTAATTTTTTAGATTCGTTAAAACATGAATTGGTCAAGCAAGTCTTTAGATGACTCTTGAAAAGTACAAATGAAATGAGAGAGCTTAATGATCTGGGAAACTGGTGTTGATGATCTCAATACAATCCAATGGTCAAGTTTGAATATGTTATTGTATTAATACAATTTATTATGAGTTTATTAAAAATATAAAATCCAGATTTTTATGCTTAAATATTTGATTTAGCAAAGAGTAATGTTAAATTAAAGCTATTTTGTTACTGAAAGTTCAATGAGAAAGGTTTGTTTGAATTGAACTGAGCTTAAAAGACAATTGAGATTGATCAAATATTTGATCATTTAAGTCTAGTCAAAAGTGGTAGACAGACAAAAAACACGGCAAATGCATCAACCCTTTCCTTTACCAGGTTTACCTTTGGCCGGTGGTTTGCCCTTTGCTGGAGGTTTACCCTTAGCCGGAGGCTTACCTTTAGCTGGAGGTTTGCCTTTAGCCGGTGGTTTGCCCTTAGCTGGAGGTTTACCCTTGGCTGGAGGCTTGGCTGGCTTCTTTGCTGGTGCTTTTGCTGGTGGCTTCTTGGCCGGTGGTTTCGCTGGTGGTTTTTTTGCTGGAGCTTTGGCCGGTGGCTTAGCTGCCGGTTTGGCTGGGGACTTAGCTGGTGCCTTAGCTGGGGCCTTGGATGGTGCTTTTGCTGGAGCTTTGGCAGGAGATTTAGCTGCTGGTTGAGCTTTTGAATCAGCTTCGGCTTCAGATGGTGCTGCAGGGGCTTCTTCACCTGCTGCTGCTTTAGGTGCAACTGGAGCTGGAGCTGAAGCCGGAGCCGGGGCTGGGGCTTGAGCTGGTGGAGCAACTGGATAAGGATAATAAATGGGTTGATAGTATTGAACTGGCCTTGGTCTAGGTCTTGCTCTCGGATAAGGTTGTCCACAAGCCTGGTTAAAGCCACACAGCCAATTGAAGCAGAAACGTTTACTTCGGACTAATGATTGCGTACTAATTTCAAGCGATTCTTGGTTCCACTTTGGGTTTACCGATGTGAACGATTGCAGTGTAACCCAAAAGATTAAGTAAAGTTGAATAAAACTCATGACTAATCAATGATTTACTGAGAGAATCAATTGAATCTACTTTCACAATTTTTATATCGATAAGAAAAACAATGATAGATTCAAGACTCATGTTTAGACCATCTTTTTCACTTTTCATCAAAACAAGAAATTAAAAAACTGAGTTATCCAAATTCATTTTAACCCATTAATGTAAAGGATTGGAACTGAAAAAAAACTTGAAGCTAAATAGTTACAACCTTTAAACAATTGATTTACAATTGTTTCAATCCACAGTTAAACAAACAAGTAAAATATACATCTGCTTGAAAAAGACAAGACAACTTGAAATTGATCATATAAAACAGTAGAATTTTCCTCGAAAAATTATTTTAATGTGTGACAATAATCGAAACTAATTCGAATAAATAAAGACAAATTAATCGTATCAATTCAAAACAATCAATGAGATTTATCCATTAGATTTGTTGGTAATTTGCCTTAATATGTAATCTCTTTTTTATCCCATAGATGCCCCTAGTTGAGTATTGCTAAACAGAGACAGTCTTTGACTGTCGAGTTGGTTATGAAACGATTTGAGTTTGATTTTGCTTCATCTTTTTTTTCCTATTACTTTCTGCTTCTTTTGCAGAACTTTGTTCAGTTGTTCATGTAACTGTTATTGGCGAGCATGAGTTTTATTAGTCAAACATTTAAAGTTTTTAAACATCGAACTATAATTGTTGAATCTAATTTGTGTTTGTCAACCTTTCACTCAAACATTACTGTTTGTGTTTCCCTTAAACCTAAACCTAGCCTTTCTCTTAGGTCAACACCAACAACCTGATGGATTATCTTTGGTTTTAATATTAATCTGTTAATGATTGACGTTGTAATTGTTGTACTTTGTTAACATGTCAATATCTTGTTTTATTGAACAAATTGTTTCACCCTTGACTAAAGGAAACAAAAAACCGTTTATTTAAAGGCTAATTAAAGGCTAACAAAGTCTTTACACGTTATCAAGCAAAATTGAGAAACAAAACCAAAAACCAAATCCAGTGATGATTAGTGACTCGGATAGTGATAATAGTGCATCAACTGATGATTCAGTCAACTTTAATCAATTTAATCCCGAAAAATGGTTACGCTATTCATCATCAGTATCATTATTATACTGTCTAGCGTACACCATTGTGTTTATATTGGGCATTGTGGGTAACAGTGCGGTTGTCGCAGTCGTTTTTAGATCGCCTCGGATGAGAACAGTTACAAATTATTTCATTGTTAATCTTGCCCTGGCAGACATACTTGTCTTACTATTTTGCCTTCCTCCAACTTTACTTGGACACCTTTTTATCCGTAAGTAACTTGACCATTACCTAAGCCACCAATATTGAACCTCTGATAGCAAAAAAGACTTTGAAAGTGCTTCCTTTGATAAACTGTTGATACACAGTAACCAGTCTTCTATCGATGATTTTGTAAACCTAAAGATGCACCCTTTTCCCATCAAAATTGGTCGATGCCTAGCCTTTGATAAGTTGATATGTGACAACATGTCAACAGTTGTAGAGCAACTAAAGTTTCAAGTTATCTTTTGACATCTTGAAAGTGATTTCTACTCATGTAAATCCATCTCATGTTACTATGTTGAAACACTATTATTACAACTATTATTGGAATCGTCATTTCAATGTTTCCAGTTTCTATGATAATAATCGTAATAGTAATAACGATAATAATAATCATTTCCCTATTGAATGTCCAACAGTTGACAGTAAAGATGACGATGGAAAAGAAGAAGAAGAAGAAGAAAATAAATCTCGAAATTTTTTTTTCTCCAAATCTTTAGCCGGAAATGTAAATGTATCATGATATTGTTCAGGGACAAGAATATATTTAAACATGAAAATGGTCAAGAGAAACATTGAAATGCAAAAAGGAAGGACAAAAAAAATATTACATTACTAAACCCATAGAGTATATCATTAATGTCCTCTTGACTGGGTTACTTGGTCTTGACTTTTCTTCCTGCAAATCCTGAATAACAGGGAAGATATGAAATTAGGAGTAAACTTAATGAATAGGTTTACATGGTTTTTAATGTTTATTGATCCAATTGAACACCATTATATGAATGTTCACTGTTTTGTGTTTATTACGCTTCCAATAATACTCGACGTATTTAGTCAATGTATATCATTATCTCAACTAACTGTTATTCAAGTTGCCCTCATCATCATCACAATACCTACGATGTTGATAATTTGCTTGTAATTCTGTTCGTAATTGGACAAATTCATGTGACTTCAACAGAAAAGTTTCAAGCTTGAAATCAGGAAAAAACGAAAAGTGAAAACAGTTTAAATCGCAGTGAAAATCAAGTCCAAAACAAGTTCAAACCTTTGAAAAGCTGAAGTGTCTAAACAATTGATTTACCAGAATCGTTAGCTAATTTGTGTTCAAATCAAACCTCTTTTCATGTAAAGATTAGCCATTGAAAGTTGACGTTAATCTTCAACTACAAAATATAATATTTGTATCTGAAGATGAGAATGAATTCTCAGAGGAAAAGAAAGAAAAAATTTCTCATTTTGATATTAATATTTTGTCTGTGATCAAGGTTTGTCAAGCTGTTGACACACTTTCATGATCAACAATTGATCTAATGAAGGTAAACCACAGATTGAGTTAATTTGTTATAACATCAACTTGTTTACCTTTCAATATAAATACATTATTAAGTCCAAACTCAATATAATCTTGAATAATTGATCTCACCTAACCTTTACAATCAAATGAAACCCTTTACAAGAGTCGAATGATAATTTTGCATAAAACTGATTAACCTGTTGTCGATTCCCTTTCAATATTTACAATCTTGTTATCAAAATGCTCGTAATATAATATGAAAGTTATCAGGAAGAAAAAAGCAGAAGTAAAATGTTTACAATAATGTTGATAATAAAATACAAAAGCAGAAAAGTTGTAATATTATTTACTGTATCAAGTTGACAAGTATTTGGCTTGGATAAATAATTTATCAAAAGATATATCAACTCTTTGAAAATGGGCAAAAAATACATAACAAGGTTTACTTTGGTCAGTCCAAGGATTGACCTCATTCTTGATAATAATCATAATAGACTATCATCATGACCAGTCTTCAAGTTCATATCTTATTGTTAGATTACATTATATCTCATGGTAAAACTTAATCCAACTCTAACTCTTGATATCCTTCCCTGTTAGTGTTATTCAGTTTTGAGCATTTTTCATCCAACTCTATCATTCCCAGTAAAGATGAAGAGAATGTTATTTTTGCAACAAAAAAAACCTAATTCTGTATTCGAATCATTGATTGCTTACTTTGCAACTTTTACATAATGGTTGAGATTAAAATTGATTGAGATTAATTGCAACCATTGCTGAGTCGAGTTTCGCTTATCATTGTGACAAGTTGAACAAATCTGATGAATTTTGATTCAATAATGAATTGGAAAGCTTTATAATTAGTGGTTTAATGAGCATCTTTAATGGAAAGGAATTGATTCAGAAACTGTATTAATAACATTTTGGGACTGAATAACATTGAATAACTTTGATAAACATTTCAAGTCAACATTTATCATTTTTTGTCTCGAAATTTTATCAGATTTTATCAGATGAATGTTGACTCTTGTTACATTATCTGATTTGGATATTTAGCAGACTGTGTTTTCCGTTCAAAATTGACCTCTTTTCTGGTTCCTGTGAATCTAATGACAATTGTGTTTCAACATTTCCCTTTTACCCGATGAACTTACGAACTTTTCAAATGTTTAATTTTTTCTTCTTTTTATCTTTAGCCTGGATTTTGGGACTTTTCATGTGTAAAGCCGTTTCTTACTTACAAGGAGTTGCTGTGAGTGCCAGTATCAATACACTTGTGGCAGTTTCAGTTGATAGGTAAGTGCCAAGTTTCCGTCTTTTGTCTTGGCAACCAATTTTCACTGTTGATTGGAATCGAGTTTTAACCCAATCTAACCCAACCTAACCTAAGTTAACCTTATTGATAAAGTTTAACAATAAACTTTGACCATTAACTGATTCCCGCTGTTGATGAGGTCAAATGGATACTTAAGTAACCAAAAAAGTGACCAAATTTTGTGCCCATTGTTAACAGTTATAATGAAGGCTGCAAGATAACAGAGTAAACTTGATTTCCAAGCAATTATATCAATATTATTGAACGTATACTTAACCCAGTTTTACGAGTCGATCGCTTCCATTAATACCTTTTTATTTCATGGGAAATGTTTTGGATCATGATTAGCCTGAGATTGACACAGTCTGAGTATCATTTGACACTTTTTTGCCTCAAAAAATAGCCAAATTGAGGGAAGCTAAGAATTGATTTTGAAAAAAAACTCAACAAAAAACAATAACAGGAAGCAACAAAGCAACGCAAAGATGGTCAACTTATTGCAATTGATTACTTTTGTGTTGACCATTTGGCCAGAAACAACAAAAAATCCCAAAACTATCAGCTAATAACAATCAAGGGAGAAATGAACACAAAGAGATAAAATTGTTGGAACACAAAAAAAGGATAAATAAATAATAGTGAAGTTCATTTTGATTATTCAATGTTGAGTCATTTAATCTGTGCAAATGTTTGATTGCTGTTTACAGTTGCTGGTTAATTCAATCACTTTACATATTAACAAACAATTTATCAAGTGAACCAGTAAATTGATTAACTTTGTATCATCAATTATCGCTCAGAAAATTGAACCTTTCATTTAAACGATTAATTTCAATTCAACTTAAAATGTTGATTTGAATAATCAACGATTCAAGTCATTTTTGACTGAATCTTCAACTTTTTTTCTTGAACTTTTTTTCCTCTTTTCTTATCTAAAAGATTGCGAATGTTTCAGCGAAAAATTGATTCAACTCTAACTTTTTACTCGAAATTTCAACTCATTTCTAGTTGATATTCAGTCATGTGATTGAACAATTGAATTGATTAATTTTAATCTGAATTGGAAATGAACCGATAATAGACTTTCCAAGAGATTTACTTGACAAAGGCATGTTAATTACATTCGTATTCAATATGCTTCATCATTTGGTTCAGCAATTCAGTTTGTAATTTTAAGCAGTCAGGTTCGATTTTCACCGAAAAATTGAATTTTGTTCTGGTTCAGCTGAATGGTTTTATTTCCTGAAAATCGAAACAATAAATCATGAGATTCTTTGATTAATTTGTCATTAATTTCTAATCATTTGCTTAAATTGGGTTCCATTTTGTCCAATTTTTCGTAGTTGATGATCAACTTTTCAAATCGATTATTATAATGAAATAAGCTCGATAAACAGTTGAGTTCATTTGTATTCAGTGAGTTAAAGTTTCACTTTAGTAATTGATTCAACTCGAAACAAATATCATAATTGAATTACCTTGAATTACCTTTGCCAAACTTGTTGAACTTCTAGTTGAACTGAATGTTGATGCATTTTGTTCATTAACTTTTGATATCTTGAGCTTTCAAATGTTTAACCATTTCAATAAAGTGTCAATTTATAACGATTAGCATTCGATTCATGTTTAGATTGAGATTCAGTTAGAGAATTGTTACTTTCTGAACTTTTTTTTGCAGATTTTTTTCTTTTTCGTTTGAAAATTTTCAGATGAACAGTTTTGTATTTTTTGCTCCATTTTAACCTTCATTTAGAGATTATTCTGAAATTTGAAACTTGGAGCAAAGTTGAAGAAAATCTCTTTTTGGTGAGTTTGGCGATTCAATCATTGTACTAATTTAGATTCCCCTGATTATTCAATAAACAGTTTCATCTTTCATCAACTAGAATAGACTTTATTTATGAGTTTTCCTTGAATTGATTAATTGACCTTCATATTGATCAAGGTTTCGATTTGTACTCAATTTATTATCCAGTTTATGATTAAAGTTTCAACCTTTTTGTCTATCACTCACAATCAGACTTGTAATTGAATTTTAATCATGCATGAGATGACCACGGTTCAAATGAATCGATAAATTATGCATTCGAATAACAATAAAATTCAAATTTAGTCTTGAAATTATCTATTCAGATCAAGTTCCAATCGCCAATTTCCGTGCAATTATTCAAAGAACCTAAATACAATTTACTTTTGAAGACAAGTGAATCCTCAAGAAAATTCAAGTTCGGTTCTGATAAAGTTATGAGAAAATTCGATTTTAAGCTTAGAATTCTTTTTGCAAATTTTCTTCTTGAAAATGACAAAATTATCAGAAGAAATAAATTCGTAAATTTCATTGTTCAGTTCTTGAGATTTTTCACTTTTCCAAAAGTTCCAAAACTTTATCGAACCGTTAATGAATATTTCTTCTTGCAAACCTTTGAGGTTCGAAATTGAAGGTTGATTCATTATCTGAACAATTTGGCCAATAATTTGAAACTCACTCAACCCATTCAATAAATGACTTTAAATTAAATTTCAGTCAATCGATTTTAAAGCAATTTTTCATTAAAATTTGTTTTTTTCTGTGAAAAGAAAATAATTTCAAAGCTTAATGATTGAGTCAAACTTTTCATAGACTTTTAATATGAAGGAATGTTGAAATTGATGAACAAGTACAATTGAAAGGTTAACCTGAACCTTGACTTACTTTTCAAAAGGCGTCTTCAGTTGCAATAAAGTGAACTTAAAAAAGTCGCAAGTGTTTGATTAAACCCTCGAAACCTTTTGCTTGACGAAATGAAATTTGATTGATAAACTTGGTTCTGTTAATTAAACAGTTTGAGCTTTAAATTGATGTGAAAATCAGGTCTGAAAGTCTTACTTCAGCATTTATTATTGCCTGCAATGCAAATGTTTACCAGCCTTAAGAGTAAAGACGAGGAAAAAATACTTTGGTTTACAGTCGAGAGTAACAAGTAATAATCAACTAATTCACTGGATAACTTGAATTAATTTATTTTCGGATAAACAAAAATGTCTCATGTAATCTCATTTTTGTGCCATTTCAGTCTCGATTATTTTTATCACTTTGGCCGCTTGTTTCCCAATTAATACACTGCTGGCAATAAGTATGAGGACAGCAGATTTTTTTGAATATTTCAGTGAATTGATCCAATTAGTGAACTAATCCAATTGTTTTAGCAAGATTATTGATTTCTAAGAAATATTGGATGAAAGAGATTCCGACTTTGAACGCTAATTAGCATAGATTGGATTAAAAAGGGAGAAAATGGCTTAAGCATATGGCAAAAATTATGAGGACAGGATTAAAAACAACTACGGATTGGCAGCAGATGATGATTTAGGTATAAATATTGTCAGAATTGGTCAGAAACACTCAGTCATTCAGTTAACTTCAGATAATTTGTCAGAAATTTTTCATTTTTCAACTTTTTTTTCGATTTTTTGTGCTTTTCTAATAACATTACATAATGCCATCCGGAAATAAACTTACAGCTGAAGAAATTGGTGCAATCAAAGCCTACCATGAACAGAAACTATCGCTGAGACGGATTGCTGAAAAAATTGGTCGATCTAAGACTGTAGTAAGCAATTGTCTCAAGTTAGGTGAAGATTATGGTGCAACACCGAGGTCTGGACGCCCTAAAAAGTTATCAGATCGTGATTGCAGACGGATTTTAAGGTTATCATCTGAAGGTAATCATTCGTGTGCTGATATTCTCAAGGAAACTCAGCTTCCAGTATGCCGTAGGACAGTGTTAAACGCAATTCAAGATTCTGGATTTATGGAGTACGAAGCAATGGATCATCGTCCAAGGTTGACAGAGAACCATATCAGTGCCCGATTGGAATTCGCTAAAAAACACATGAGTTATGGTGATAAATGGATACAAGTAGTGTTCAGTGATGAGAAAAAATTCAATCTTGATGGTCCTGATGGACAGAAATGTTATTGGCACGACATTCGGAAGGACAAACGAATTTTTTCTAAGCGCAATTTCGGAGGTGGTACGCTCATGGTATGGGGTGCTTTTTGTTTTAATGGTGTTCTACCGCTAGTTAGGATATCTACGAAGATGAATAGTGAGGATTATCAAAAAGTTTTGTCAGAAAATCTAATTGAAAATGCTACAAATTTGGCTGGGAATGAGTGGATTTACCAACAAGATAATGCTCGAATTCACACTTCGAAGTCATCAATGGAGTTTTTCCGGCAAAACAATGTGCAACTATTGGATTGGCCATCATGTTCACCCGATCTGAACCCGATCGAAAACCTTTGGGGCTTGATGGCGCAAAAAGTTTACAAGAATCAGCGACAATTTCGAACTGTGGATGAACTTTGGGACTGCGTTCAAGAAATCTGGTACAACATGGATCCAAGTTACCTACAAACACTCATTAGGTCTATGGACACAAGAATTTTTGAAGTAATTAAGGCTAATGGATCGCAAATCGATTATTAATTGTTTTTAATTTCTGTCCTCATAATTTTTGCCATGCGCAAAACTAATTTTCTCAAATTTTTTTATCTAATTTATTTTTTTCCTCTAATTTTTTTTAACTTAAAATACGTAATTTTGCATTGACTTTCAATTGATACTAACCAGTAAACAAACAAACACTTCACACAAAAATTATTCAAAAAAAACTACTGTCCTCATACTTATTGCCAGCAGTGTAGCTATTTAACCGCCTACAGTTGAGTTTTGTTTATCACTGATTATCATATGGATGAAGATGAGAAGAGGCAAAAAATAAAACATAATTCTCGGTGGAAATTGATTCAGAATCTCATCTTTTCGTTGAACATCTTTTCATTTTCTCATTGATGTTTATTGCTTATTTTCATCTCGACAATCAAAGCTGATTTGTTTATGGTCAATATTGATTTCATGATTATGAGTTTAAACTCGTTTCTGTTGTTTTCATGTCGCCTTTCAACTGACAGTGAAAAATCGTTTGAAATAACATTGAATGTTCATCTTTTATTATTATTTAGACAGTAAAGGTAAAGATAATGTTGTTTTATAACAATTTGCTGAATAGAAAGTAATTATTTTTCTGACAATTAATCTTGAAATTTGTTGACAATTTGGTTAAACAGTTGATTTCCTTGCTTTTCAAAACAAAAAGTCTCTGAATATAGTTGACTCTTGTGATAGACTTGATTATTAATGAAAAAACCAAAGCGCTTTCATCATCGTCTTGACCCAATTTTCAAGTATTTTCAAGTTTCCACAAATTAGTTGAATGTATTTTTAATCAAAGCCATTTTTAATGCCAATAAGTATTGTAATCAAGATTGTTATTTTAATATATTAAACTGAATAATTGACACGATTGAAGTATTTTTGGATTGGTACAAGTTTCCTGTGTTCATTTATTATTAGCACTATTTACGATGATTAAAGTTTCATTTTAGTTCAATTTTTGATCAAATTTAGTTGATCATTTCATCAGCTTCAATGCCTTTAATAAATGAATTAACCATTTAAATGTTTCTAAACAGCAGAAAACTTCTTGTTCGTTTGAATATTTTATCGTTAAATGCAATTATTTTGCTATTAATAGCCATTTATTGTTAAACTCAAAATAAATTGGGTTTAAACTCGATTCAAATATCTTTTTTCAGTTACTTATTGATTTGAAAATTTAATCATTTTTTCTTTTCTTTCCAGGTTTTTGGCAATTTGTTATCCGTTAAAGTGTCAAATGTCACGTAAATGTGCTCGACGAATGATAATCATAATTTGGCTTTTCTCACTGGCAATTGCCTTTCCCTGGGCTCTTTACTTTACCCTGCATCCAATCCCCGAGACTCATTCAGAAATGATGCTTTGCATTGAGAGTTGGCCTGACGAGTTATCGGAACGCTTATACTTTTTAACGGCAAACCTTTTACTTTGCTATTTGATACCATTAACCGTGATTACCTGTTGTTACATTGCCATTTGGTTAAAAGTTTGGAGGCGTCATATTCCAGGTGAAAAGGGTATCAAAACAGGTAAAAATTTAAACACCCAAATGGACCTGGTAATGCAAAGGTCAAAGTTAAAGGTGGCCAAAATGATGATTGTGGTTGTTGTAATATTTGTCATCTCGTGGCTTCCCTTGTACATAATATTTGCCCGTCTCAAGTTGGGCGGTGTGATTGAAGAAAATTCAATTGAAGAGAAAATATTCATGACTATGACTCCTATAGCTCAGTGGTTGGGCGCCTCAAATAGTTGTATAAATCCAATTCTGTACGCTTTCTTTCACAAAAAGTATCGCAAAGGGTTTGCAGCGATTGTCAAGTCGCGTAAATGTTGTGGAGCTGTTCGCTATGAAAGTTCAATATCAACATATTACAATAGGAATACAACTCAACGTTCAACCCGTTACACTGCTCGAGTAGACACTCAATGTGAGTACATCAATTCAATCGCCACCATGAGATAATGACGGCATCCAGTCAACTAGTCAAACATTCACCAAAGAGAATAGAATCGGAGCAGCCGAAAAAGAAGAATCAAGAGCTCTTTTCATACAGTTTTCATGAATTGCCTGAGTTTCAGTGTTGAACAGTGAAAAAACAATGCAATTCCCAGCAGAATTTTCAAGAAGCGAATTGATTGTACACTAAAAGTGCCAAAGATTGAACAAGGTTTTCTTTTGTTAATTTATTACCAAATCAATCCCTAAAGATATTTTATAACTGTTAATCAACCTGTAATTGTGATCATTATTTTTGACCAGAAAACTCAAAGTTAACTGAAAATCCCTCCTAAACTCCTACAGTTTAAAGGATCCCAAAAGCAGAACCAAAAAAGAGCATAAATGATGAATATATCTCAAAGTCAAAGTTATTATTGTACATTTAAAATGTTAACGATTGAATCAAAGATGGCCACAGTCTTGAGTAATGATTACGCTTGTACTTTAATTGTAAATCCAGGCGATTTAATCATATCCAAGTGTGTTGATAAATCATAATCATAACACTTTTAATTGTGAATCAACATAAAACATTGTTTCAAACCCAATATTAACAACGAGAAAAGCAAAATATCAAAACTTTCAATTGTAAAATTGTATAAAGAATGCAAATTTAAGCAAAACCGACAATTGATTTTATTTGAGAAACCATTTTGTTTGTTTCTTCGATTCTCCATCCAAATGTAATAAACTGAACTCTTCATTTTCATCCATTTTTCATTAATCAACAGATGATACTGATCATGAACTTCAACTGTTATTTGATAAGCAAACCCCAAAAAACTGAATCAATGTTTTGCTTCCTTTTGTAACCAGAAAGATTGAGAAAGATTGTAATTGTAAAAATGAAAAGTTAATTAAACTCATCATTTTGATATTGAAACAAATAAAATGTTAATCAATAAAATGTTTATTTATTTCCCTGAAAAAAGAGTTTCTTGAAATTTTCTTTTTCAAGATGATGAATGATGAAGCGAAAAGGACTTTCAAGTCTACTTTTCAAATGAATAGTTATTTACATTGTTGTCTATCAATACAAGAGTTATGAACAATTGGTTAAGATTAAGAATTTAAATTGTGTGAAGATTTTGATCAACTTTTATCGATGCAATTGATGGTGAATTGGAGTTAATTGGTTCCATTGCAAGTTTAGATTAGAGTTTTGAATCACTATTGATATGATTGGCACAGAATTGCATGAAGTGCAAGACTCGAGATTTTAAGTTGAATTTTTCTTTCATTTTTTTGGTTCAATAAAAGTCAATCTTTGATGAACATGGAACCATTGACAGTTGATGAAACTTGTGGGTGCAATGAGCATAATACATTTAAAAAGATGAATCCATGATTCCATTGATGAAGGAAGAGGAAGAGTAAACATTGGAAACAGTTTCATCATATTTTTGTTCATCAATCAGAAGATGATGGGAATGACTTTGTCAGCAATAACTACGTAAAAAGAGTATCAAAAATAAACATAATCATGTTGATGTTTTAATAAAAGTAACAGTATGGAATCAAATTAAGGCTGTTCTTCACGTCTCGCATTTGCTTTATTTGATGATGAAAATGATGTTGATGATGAGGATGATGGTTGTGATGATGATGATCAGGTTTGACTTGATGCTTTTTTATCCACGAGAAGAAGTGCAACGAAAAAAAGTTAATCCATTTAGAGGTGAAAATTGGTGAAATATTAAGGTGAAAATTTGCTTCCCTTCATTGACAATTAATCTTAACCAACAAATGGCTTTTCACTTTTACATCAACTCAAATGGAAAAGGTGTTTTGTTTTTATAAGGTAAGTTTCAAGATTAACTGGCTTCTGGTGATGATGGATTTTCAATGTAAGTCTAATTTTGTATTATTAGGTTTTGTTATTAACCAGTTATCGACGATTTTCATGGAAAAAAAACATGAACTTTTTTTTCGTTTTCTTTCTCATTACAATTCAGTTGCTGGACTTCCAGAGTTTCGCGATTTCCTAGAAGACCAACTTGTACCTGTGTAAGCTGAGCGTGCGGAACGACCAGAAGCACGAGAATAACCAGAAACTCTGTAAAAAAGTAAAAAAAATATTCATCAATTATCATGAAAAGAATAAAAAAGCGAGAAAAAGGCGATTTTTTGGGAATGAGTTTCTCGACATTTGTTATGTTGAAGAGTTGAGTTTCCACTGAATTTTGATGGTTGAACATTTCATGAGATAATTATGTTTTCTTTTGGATTGAAGTTAAATGTTTAAATGTTGCTCTTAAGGTTAGGCAAGAATGGGCTTTAAATATTGTTAATTGATCGTTAAAACTAATCAACTTTGGTAACCAATTTTTGTTTGTCTTTTTGCTATATTGTGTCTATCAAAGTACTCAATGATGGATCAACTTTTCCTCTTCTTCCTGACAATTTACGTTAATAGTCTTTAGCTGTTTAAACGTAATTAGATGATGATGACGCTAAAAGTGTCAATAGTTTAAACTTAACTAACCAATTGGTTTACCTTGACGTAAGGATAATTCATTCATCTAATGGTGATGCTATTTATAACAAAAAGACTTAACAGTTGACACACAATCAAGGATGAGGCTTGGGCTTGTGGTGAAAGAAACGATCAGCTTAAGTTGATCTTTCGAATGTAAATCATTCAAATGATGCCTTAATCTCAAGTTTCATATTTTCTTACTCTAAACATTTGAACAGCAAAAGATGAACTTCATTATAAACACATTATCATTGTAACAAAGGTCAATAAGTTGAATAATGATTGTTGACAATATTGATGGTTAATGTTTCAAAAATGAAGATGAAATAAGTCTAACTTGATGCACTGAATAAAGTTTATTCAAGAAATGTTGAGACGAAATTTGCATTTTGAAAAGAAATTAAATTTTCCAATTTGTCAATGGTTTTGATAACGGATTTGGAGTGGAATTAATGACTTGAAAATGAGAGATTCATGATCTAAGATTAACATGCAGCTCAAGGTGATTGAAGATGATCAATTGTCGATTTCATTTGGAAATTCAGGCAAAAATAGATTTTCTTCAAGTCTCGCAATTTGCATCATTAATTGATTTGGAGCAGATTTCTATTGAGGACTTTTCTTCAACTGATTGACTTTGGATTAATAATAATCTCAATGAATTGAAACAATGAACAGCGAAATGATGTTTGACAGCAAAAGTGGACTTTTGTACTGTTTATAATGTATGTTAGTATGTGAATAGATGAGAATCGGAAATGATACGGAAAAAAAGATGAAAGGAAAGGAAAGGGTTTCAGAAGCAAAAGAAGAAGAAGAAAAAGAAACGATTATTATCATGAGAATAATGAAAATGCTTACATTGATCCAGTTGGATCCTTGTTTTCCAGCCAATCATGACTCGAATCTAAAGCTGTAACTGAAGGTGGCATTGCATTTTGACCGACAACGGTTCGTCCTCGGGTTGAATATCGATCACTGAATCGTGGACTTCGAGGTGGGTTAAGGGTTGAAGCACCATCAGGAGGAACTTGTTGACGGTTACATTTACCATTGGGAATGACACCGCCTAATCGACTGCCTGGTCCACCTCCATTGCGCTTGTAAGAGGCCAGTGAATCGACGTATTCACTGCTAACCATCAATCGAACAATAATTGGACAGAAGAATGAGAAAATTGTTAAAACATGAAAACACAAACAAGTCGAGTCATCAATATGAGAATAAGAAATTAAATTTCTTTTCATTGCAACAATTGATTGCTGCTCATCATCATTATCATTATGGACAAATCTTCAAAATCTTGATACATTTGGTAAGCATTATTGTCTAGTTAATTGTAAAACTGTTATTCATTGTTGAACAAAATTGTCTTTACAATTGTTTCCATTGTAATCAGTTTCTTGTCTTTTCTGGTTTCATTAGGTTTTGCTGGTATTTTACAAACTGCAAATTATTTCAACTTGTTAATGGTGACATTGACATTGGCCATGTAATCATCAACTGAACTATCAACAGACTAACCATCATTAATATTATCATTGCCATCAATGTTGATTCAATTCTTGTTGTTACTCTTTTCTTTCATTTACACATTAATGTATTGCAACTTCAAATGGATGAACATGAAGAAGAAGAAGAACAAAAAATGAACCTATTTTTTTCAACAGATTTACTAGCAACACATTGTAACACTGAACACCATCATGAACTTGAAGGAATCCAGCAGAGTTTTCAATGAGCCAAGACTACATGATAACGCCATCAGAACAGTTTGTTGGCCTTTCAAACCTTTTTCCCTGTTCGCTTTGTCCTAAACATTGTCAACAAATTAGCAAAGGAAATGTAATTTAATTTAATTGGATTAACCTTAGTTGATACATAATTTGTGAACCCATTTCAAATGATTTAACTATTAAATGCAACATTCAAATGTTAATTGAACTTTAAATTGATTTTTTCACTCTCACTGAAAAGACTCAGAAATTCAACTTTTACCTTTAGTTAATATTGAATTATAATTGTTGGTTATAAAATTGCTAGACTTTAAATTGTTAAAGGCTATAATTTGGTTTATAATTTTAGCTTTGCTCGTCAACTGGTAAAGATTGTCTGGTAACTGTTAGACTTTTCATTTCAACTTGAATGGTTTGCCTTTTTTTACCTTATTGATCTAAACTTGCAGCGACTAAAAGTAAGCTTATTTGGTACATGATAAGTTAATAATAACTGGATAACTTGAATGATCAAAATGATAACCTTTTGATTGATTAATGAACAACAAAGAGTGGAAGCTCATCATGTCAAAATTTACGCTAATTGTAGGTTTCAATTCATCTTTTCTGATGTTTTCATCGTCAACACTTTACAGTCCAAAATTACTCAACTTTGACAGAAGAATAAAGATTGAAATGTTCAATATTCAGATAAATTTTTACTAAATTTTTGTTAATTTTCTGTTGAAAGGTTCAAAGAGAACGGGAGAAAATTTTCGTCAAGTCTGACGATCTAAAAGTGAAATCTGAATATAAATGAATATAAAGGAAGGTGAAATTTTTTGTGTTCTTAAAAAGTTTGGTTGGAATCACTTTTGTTTCTGTTTTTCGCATCTTTCGGTACTTTGTTCAGTTCGATCATTACTTTATGTCTTCAGGTCGTGAAGATTGCGAGTCTAAATAACTTGACAATAAAGTGATTTATCCAAGACGGTCAAAGAACGAAACTTCGAAGTCTTATAAACTGTTCGCAATCAATTATAGACTATTGAGTGAAGCTTGTAAAAGCTGAAAGAGTTGCCAAGTTGATCAGAATAAATGGAAACTTTCATCAACATTTCATGTTATTGAGATAAATCTTGAACCATTGCAGAATCAATTTGAAAAGTGGAGAAGTAAACTTTTCAATGTTGAGTCTGAACAAGATTACTAAAGGATTGGAATAGAGGAAAAGAAGAGATTAATTTTGATTCTTAATCTGGTCGATGAGAAATTTTCCAGTCTAACAGTTATCAACCCTTGAACCAACATCACTGAACATGGCAACATAAAGTCTAAATTTCTCAAGTGGTTTAGTATATTATTGAAGGTGTAACTGAACATCAGTTGATGATGATAAGTAATAATGTAAAAGAGAAGACAAAAAGTGATGGAAAAACAAAAAAACTTGAAATGAAAAGGGAATGAAAGCGACATGAGGAAAATGATGTATTTTGATGAGTCCATAAAAGATTAATGATGAGAGGATTGAATGGAAATGGAGAGAAAAAGTGAAAATGAAAATTTTCGATTTTTTGTCCTTCGAAAGAGATTAATTGTCTTACCCTATTCCATCTCCCGTTGAATAGGTTGATGTACTGTGTCCATTAGGAAGTCCTCGGGTTCCATAAGGATTACTTATACATTTGGACATCAATGGATTTTTAATGCTGTACAATCGCTGTTGTTCCCATGCTTTATGTTCCTTGCGGAGTTTTCTGGATGAAAAAAGAGTCGAAAAAGATTTTGATGAAAAAACAAATTAACATGTTTAGCAATTAAATTACATTTCGATGGTTAAATGATAAATGAAAGTTGAAGACGAAAGGCTGAACCAAAGAAATCGAAAAGTGAAAAGTGCTTTTTTCCCTTTTCAATGTCATGGCATTTGTAATGATATTTTTGGGATTCTCCTGATTGTGTGTTTTATAGCATTTTAAACTTAATGATTGCCTTATGTTATTATACTCTAGCAATCATTATCAACCTAAAAGGCTAATGCTCTTCAACTGTCTTTAATCGATGGAAGGAGAAAAAATTGTCCAAAATTGATTAATTAACTTTTCCTCTGTACAACAATGGGTAATAAAACAATGGCAATAATCAACAATAAACAATGTTAAACTTTCAATGTTCAAGCTTGTTTAATGAAATGATTTACTCGACATTGGTCAATGAAAAGAAATTTTAATTAAGAGAAAAGTCAAATTTAACATTTTCATCTTTTGGAAACAATCAAAATTATTAACTTTTCTCAAAGGTTTGCATGAGTTAAATTTATTGTATAATCAAGATGGATAGTTTCAGTTGGTTTAATGCAAAGATTTCAAGTTCAGAAGGGAAAATTTGCTCTTTCAATGAACATTCAATGAAAGTTGCTGCAAATGCAAATCCAGTAAACTTAAACTAATACATTTAGAAGCTCAATGTGCAGAAATAGATTCACTGTAAATACAAACTGCAAAAGTAAATTATAACAAAATCAGTTTTCGATGCAATAATAACAATATTTGGAAATTTTCATCGCCGAACCGAGAACTACATATCTTTGTATCTCTGTATCTTGGTTAATATTGACTGATTAATACTATTTAATGCACTTATATCGAATTGGATCAACAATTCCTGTTGGATTCCCTTTATTCTCATTCTTACAATAATCTTAGAAAGTGTCTTTAAGTTTCGAAGGTTTGCAAATTCAAGTTTAGAACCAAAGTTGTCAACTAAATGATATTCAAACTGAACTGTTCTGTTATTTGCTTGTGCTGAAGGTAAAGTCAATTCATATTGCGAATGAACGTAAACTGAGATTGAAACTTTGAAGCTTTTATTCTTAACTCGAAATGGTCTTTGAATGTGCAAAGTTCAATTCACTTTGAAATGATTTCAATCTAAACTGATTTTACTTTTTCATCTCAAATTAAGATTCCTATCGAATGCTCGACAGTTTCAAAATGAAGCTCAATGAGACTAGAAACATGGACATTTTTATATTCATAATAACATGGAGTCTATTTAACTTTAGTAGTTGCTATAAAAAGTGAAGTAACAATACTTTTGAGATATTGAGTTATTCCTTGTGAACAATAAGTTTCAGTTGTTGTTGTTTCTGATGAAAGAAGAAAAAATTATTCAAAGAATCAAGATGAAAGTTATCATGATATGAACACAGTTTAACCTAGTTATTTGTGTTGCTTATTATCATCGGATCATAAGTATAATATATATATTTCGTCTTCCTTTATCCCATTTATTAAATGGATGCAATATGAAAAATAAACTTTCTTCAAGATTGGAACTTTCGGAGAGAAGAAAAGTTTGTCAAGATTGAAATTGGTTGAAACAATAATAGTAATAAATGGCACTTGTCATCTTTAGATCAATCTCAAGATCAATAAGTCAAGATAAGTGATAGTTAAACCACTGCATCGAGAAGTTATGAGATATAAACTACGAGGGCGAAGCCCGAGTGTTTTATCTCATAGCTTCGAGATATTGTGGTTTAACTGATTTAAACCACTATGTAATCTAATCTCAACACTTTTTTTTAATTTTCAAGACACATTTTTGTCTTGATTTTCCATTGCTTTCAATGGGTTTTCCTATTTTCATTTTAGGTTTCTTATCATTTTCATTTTTCATTTTGACTTTTTTTATCAGGTCTAATCACTCTCTTTATCTCTGTCTTAGACCAAACTGTGCATATTTAGTTAACAGTGTTAGTTAACCATCAAGTTAACCAATTTCAAAATAGCGTCAGATTATACAATATAACCATTTGATTAAATACTGGTTACCCTAAACGTAGTGGTTTAAATAAGGTTACACTGTTGGTCATCAGTAAACTTCAACTATTCAAAAACCATCTCAATAACCCAAAACAGTAACTATCACATCTCAAGATGAACTCAACAAAACTTGGAAAATCAAATATCATATTCTTGAATCTCGATAATTTATAACTTTTCAGCCTTTTTCAATCTTGTTCCTTGTTTTGATTCAATAGTTGAAACATTGAAAGGAGCAATTTTTCACCTCAAAAATGATATAATTTTACACTTTCATTTCAACCAACATTCAACTTGAACGCTTTCATACGATATTGTGTGTTACCAGATTTGGGTGAAGACAAAACAAAACAACATTTCAAGTTGCTTTTTAAATAACTTGGCCTAGTTTCTGGTTTTGTCTTGAAATGTTTTCGAAGAAAATTTTGATTCATTTGCCAGAGTTTTTCAAAGTTTGACTTACCTTTCTTTACATGATGAACATAGCAATGCAATGGCTAAAATTGTACCTAAAAAGATTACACTTGATAATGCGATAATTGCTATTTCAGTTGCACCCATGTGACTGATTTTTTCTTGCACTGTAACTCCCTGAATGCGTCTGATTTTAAATGAACGAAGATTATCGACAATTGAATGAGACTTTTCACGAAATGCTCTGTAAGAAGAAGAAGAGAAACGTAATTAGTTGAGTCATTATCTTGTAAAGTACATTGGCTTTTCCCAATTTTCAAGGTTTCATTCAATCCAATATGAATTAAAGTTATTAATTTTTTTCTACTTTTCTACTTTTCTTTCTCTTCATCACACATGATTAATGGATAATGATAATAAGATTTATGGATTGAATTGGGCGTTCAGAAGATATTTGTATGTCTCTTCTCTGTGAACATTATTATTCCCCAATAATGATTATAATTATGAGATTGACTCAATCCTAAGCTTTGAAAATGAAAAGAGGCCAAAATTGAGTGAATCATAAGCAGAAAATAAGAATCACTTTATTGACTAAAAATGGTAATAATCATCATCATTATCAACATATTGTCGTCATTCAATTCTCATAGTTTTTCGCCACTAATTTAGATCCGGTCAGATTGATTGTTCAATTTGATGAGAAGCAACAAAATAGATTAAATCAATTGATTTGCAATTAGCATCATTTTTGCCTCTCAATCCATAAAAGCGATTCAGTTATAATATTGGCTTCAATGGGAAATGTCCAGTTTTTTACTTAACCAAACTCTGACTACAACTTGAATTGGTTTATTTTGCATTATGTTTGTGTCAAGAAACGCTAATGTAACGTAAATTGCTTTGATCAATGAGGCTTTCATGATAAAATTCACTTTAAAGAAGTGACAAATATTGTTTAACCTGATATTATCATAAAAGGTTTTTGATCTGATGCAACACCAGGTTATTTGCATTATAACCAAAACTGGTAAAAACCTTTTTGTCAACAACTCATCGCTTTAATTTGCTTTAAAAAGGTTTTCTGCAAGTTGATTCAAACTCGATTTGGTCTAATAAACATTCAGAAGAAGAAATCATTTGTTATCAAATCAATCCAGGGTTTGGTTTATATTGGAATCAGATTTGTTTCTTTCAAACTTTGGTCAGGACTATTCGCTTACACAAAATGAGTTTTACTTTGATCGCCTTTTCAATTATTAGTATCTTATTAACATACGATTTTTTTCATTCTATCAGTTCTTTCTATTCTTAATTGTTTGCTTTTTACTGATTCATTCATTTCGAAGTGAGAAAAATTTGTTTAAAGAAAATTTCGACCAAAAAGCTCAACTCTCAATCTATTGACTGAAAGCAGAGTTGATTTGTAAAGCAATGTTTCAACCAGACTTTACTTACTCTAGAAGTGTATCTGTATCAACAATATCGTTTGTTTCAGGGTTAACAGCGTAAAGGAAAAGATCCGTTGAATGAGCTTCTTGAACTTCACCTTCCATGTGAGGTTCAAGTTTAGCCATTTTAACATTATATCCAGTCACATTGCTTAGGAATCCTAAAACTTCACCAGTTTTCCTTTCAACCATTATTGGCTCTGAATCGGCCACAAACAGGACCATCCGAGTTTCCGGTAAAACATAAACCTTTTAAGAGAAGAAAAGATGTTGATTAGAATGGAAAGTACAACCAGATTAGCATGGAAATCATGTAACAATGAATAACGAACCATGCAATATCCAACAATTGAGTTGATTAAACCCAAATATTGGTAGCAATAAAATGTTACATTAAGACATTAATATTAATATGAGCAGATTATTTAGTTATATTGAAATGAGTTGATATTTGTTTATCTCTAAATGAACAATAACAATAAAAGCTAAATGTATCACAATATTAATAATCAATATAAATGGAACCAGAATAATGATTGAAGTTCAGTTGATGTAATCTGTTCAGTTACGAGGATAAAGCAATCAATTATCAGCTTAAAAACTTAATCCGCATCCTTTGTTCATCCATAACTTGATCAACTTCATTCGCTGTAATTTTGGGTAAATGTTGAACAAAACAAGTGTAAACACGATAAAAAAAGGTTTTTTTGTTTCAACACCTAAATTTATTCATTACTTTTTACTCTGATATCATCATGAAGGGAGTGATGATATTAATAACAGGAAAGTGCGAAAAAGTTCAGTGATCTTTACTTTTGTTGAGCTTAAAATTAGTCTTTAGTGTAAATACTAGGACATTAGGAACAAAGTGGTTTCAGGATAATTTAGTGGAAAATTTTGGCCAAATAAAAGTGCAAAGTTTTACTCTTCAGGTTTAGTCCATTATTGTATCGACTGTTCATCATTGTCATCTATGTTTTCATCAACCTTTTCATCATTCCTCATGTTCCATGTTTCCCTATTTATCTCTAGATTTATCTCTTTAAATGAACCTTGAAGATGTTGATGAAGACAAGGGAAGACACAAGTTGCTTATTGTCAAGGTTAATCAATGGAATGACCGGACAGTTAAAGGTTGACTGGACATTGAATCTTTTTAAGGGAAAACACAATAAAGTAATAAAGATCAACTCTTGGACAAGATTAGAGTAAACATAAACATTTATCCCTATTCTTGGTGTTGTCCCTTTTCTTTTGTTTCATTCATTGCTTCATGATAATCATGATAATCATTTGCAACCATCTTTTCTCATTTCTCTTTGTCTCTCATCTTTTTCCTTCCCTGTCTTTTTACTCCTAACCGTTAATGACCTTTTAATTGTAATCACTATTGTAATTAGGTAAATTACTGTTCTCACTTACTAAACACTGTTTCTCTGTTTGCTTTCTGTTGGTCGTCAGCAAGAAAACAAAATCAAGTTCAATGGATTCTCAGTGTTATAAATTAATCTACCTAATGTACCATTATTAATACTCTTTCTGTTTCTTCATGGTGTTTATCATTACAGTTCAATAATCTGCTGGTCTTCAATCAGATGCAACTTGAAGTCTCTAAATTTTCATCAACATTTAAAGTTTTTAGTCAATTCCAGATTCTGAAGAAATCATAAAACTCCAATCATTTGGTTCAACTTTAATGATCGCTTATTTTGCATACTTATTGTAACAAGAATCTGATAGTTTCTTGAATAGTTTATTCTGATGTAGTTTTATCATAAAGCTTCCATTGAGTAGTGAAAGGTTTTTCGATCTGAATTATCTTTATAAGTGAAGAGTTGATTGCTCGTCAACTCATCTCGATGACTCGAACTGACTTATCTGTAGAGTTCAGTTTTCAGCTTCGTTAGCTTAACATTTTTTATCTTAACTGATCTCAAAGTTGTTAGGTTGATCAACTTACAAAAACATTGGTAACAGCCGAGTTGCCCGTTTCACTTCCTTCCCTGTCTGTTGCTTTAACATCAAAGCCAAAGAGCTTTCCTCCTTCAAGAGCAAAGGAAACCATTGACCGGACAACTCCAGTAACAGGATCAATATAAAACTTGGAGGAAGCATCATCACCTCGAGCCAATATCTCATAACGTATCGCCGAGTTGACTCCAGTGTCTGCATCAGTTGCCTGTAAAAAAGCGATTGAATGAATGGAACAAAAAAAAAAGGTCAAGAGTAAGAAAAAAAATGTTTTTGTCGATACTGTAAACACAATACTTTGACTCGTATTACAACTTGGCGAAGGAAAAAAAACCATCAATTGTTTTTGACCCCTAATTTGATAATGGTTTTTACTTTTTTTTCTGCCCATCAAAGCCTTTTTTCTCTTCGTTCATCATCACCATGCTTTATATCATGTTTAGAGTAAAATGAGTAGATGATGAGGAAAGAGAGAGAAAAAAAAGATGCTCAATTTTACCAAAAACGATTCATCATTTTGTGACCAAAGTGATTCAACATTTTGCTGTCTTCAGCTTCGCCATCTTTCCATTATTCTTATTCTCATTGTTCACAATTGTGATTCACTGAATTGACTCTCTTGTCGCTTTGAACATCAACCAACCATGATGCCAAAACACTAACCGGAAAGTGACAATTATATGCTATGAACCATTGAGGAAAAGAATGAGATTCCTGAACAATTCATTAGTCGAAATTTCCATTTACATGATTCCAAGAGGAAGCAACTTGAAGCTCAAAGGTGACGATATCATTTGATAATTTAATGCAGGCAAAATGATGATCTTGATTAATATGAATAAATTGTAACATAATATGAGGTAAGGAAAAATAATATTCAATGATAACTTTTCATCTTATTGTAATAAAAATAAGGAAAAAAAGGTTAATCGTATTATCTGAATCTTAAAATAGACGAAAAAGGAATGGATTTCAATGTTTCATCATTTTACGATACAAATGTTGAGTGAAACAATAAAAGCATTTTTTTCTGTTCGATGTTCAATGGATGACGAAAATCAAAATTATTCAAGATCACCTTACATTATGATGAGGAATGATAATGAAAGGGATGAACGGAATGATGTAAGATGAAGAGGAGGAACTGGCATTTGATTATGGTTGAAGGATAATCAGGGAAGGACAATTTAAAGCTATTGACAAGGAAAACAAGTTAAACAAACGAAATGAAGGAAATCAAATGCAATTGGATTAATCATTATACACATTGGATGATAATCATTATGAGATCATTGGCCTGATGAGACAATGAAAACATGTTCATTTTTGGTTCAACAGGGAGGAAAGAAAGATGAGAATCTGTTCATCTGAGGAGGAAGATGACAAGGGATGCAAGATGAAAAAGATCAGTTCAGTTGTCGAGATTCACAGCAGTCAATCTCTCTTCATTGATAAACAAGCTCAACAAGAAGAGGAAAAAAGGCAAACTCTGTAATGATGAGGATGAAAAAGAGTGAAAAGAGGAGGAAAAAAATGATGAGCAAGATGAAAGGGAAGACCAAAAACCATTGGAAACTCCTACGTTGTTACAATGTCATTGGCATTATTATCATAACTGTAACTATAAATTAATGAAGTAAACATTATTAATAAATTAAAATGGCAACGTTAAACACCTTGTCTGAGCAAAGATAATACGGAAAATTTTTGATTTACAGTTAACTTTTGTCCTGAAAAATTTACATCAATCCATTTAATGACCTTTTAATTGTCAAATTTTGATGCAAATTCACTCTCGAGGGACAAACAATGAAACAAATGAGTTTTAAGAGCATCTCGTCCAGCCATTGCTTTCATCTCTGAGTTAAGTAATCAGTCGCCACAATGATGTCTCTTAGGCAGCAAACCTTATGCAAGGAAATGCAGTCCTTTCCCATTGAAAAAGTCTCTATCTTAGCCTCTCAAGTCATCTTAAGTAATCCATGATTTTTTCAGCTTCAGAAGACAAACTTCATTTTTGATTGAAAAGATCAATCCTCAAAATTTATATTTCATTCCGTTCGACTTAAAGATTTATAAATTCGGATTAGGCATTTCATGAATCGATATCCAATTTCATTACTAAAGCAAACTGTAGCTACTGACAGTGGGATTGTAATATTTCAATTCATATCTTTTCAAAAGGTGCTGATTGACGTATCAGAAGTATTGTAGGCGAAATTCATCAATGGTAAAATCTGAGTCCAGCGAAGTTTCTTGACAATAATGACTCAACATTTGACAAATGGTTCGGTTCACTCTATTCATAATTTTATTGGTTTTTAGATGATAAGAGGTTTATCCTCATGTATCGTATTGCATTACTAAAGCTAACTTGATCGGAAGTATATCAATCCCTATCTTTTCAAACGGTGCTGATACTTCGACTTTATTTGAGAGAAATTTTCGATTTTATTTCCCTGAAAATCTTCAGAAGATCTGTTCAACAATTATTCATAGTGAAACAACGTCAATCTGTCCATTTCATGTTAAGATCGTTGACTTTACTGCAACTCATTACATCAAGTAAAGACTTAATTATCATCTATTAATAACTTTGTTCAATGAATTAACGTAAATTCATTTGAATTTTTGTTACGATTGATTGTTGGTCTTGTTTCACTCAATTTCTTTCTTACAGTTTTCCATCTTTGATTAACTTTGATTAAATGCTGAGAAAAGTTTCTCATCTATTTCCAGGTCAAAAAACTCGAGAAAAACATCATCATTCATGTAACGTGAAAAAATGTTATTACTTGAAATGAAAATGTTGCTATTCAGCTGCAAGGCATTCCTTCCTCTTATTCATTGATGGTTTCAAAAACTATTTACATGTGAATATGATGATAAAATGATGCTATTTGACATTAAAAAATAATAAAATTGTAATCCTGTGAAGAGGCAAAAAAAAATTAAGTTTAAATTTATCACCATAAATAAATAACATTTGAATATTGATTTAGGGGAAACACACATCTGTGAAAATGTGAAAGATTTCTGAACTTTTCCTTTACACTTCAATTAGGTAAACATGAAAATGTAAACTGATTGCAAATCATGACGCAAAACTCACAGGTTGAATAGCATCTTATCAGAATGCAATCAACTGTCACAATGCAAAATATCTCAATGATTAATGAACTTTCAGATGGAACTAGACATCAAGTTTAATGAGAGATTAAAAGATTAAAAATGAAAACAAGAAAAGCGGAAAATTCAGTGTCAAATGAATTCGAACTAAAAAGAGATAAAAAATGAACTTGAAAAAACAAACAAAACGAGCAAATCTGTTGATGAAATTTCCATTAAAATCGCAATTTAAATCCTCAGAGCGACCATTAAAGTGAAAAATCCTAATTTCAAATGCAAAATGATTCTTCAAACTCGCAACATTCAAGTTGAAAGACTTCGAGTAATGAACTCAAATATGAACAAGATGAATTTCAGTCTGAGAAGAAGTTGATTTTTAAGACAATCAAGTAAATCAAAATGATGAGTGTTGAATGGTTGTCAATGAAAAGTTCAATTTTTATCTCTATTCTTCCCTGCAATTGACTATCACTTTGATGGTAAAAAGAGTAAAAAATGATGACTTGCTTTTAAACATGTATTTTTAGATGAACCTTTTTTATGGTCAATTTCAAGTTCAATGTCAGCAGCAATATAAGCGATTCTGATGATGAACAACTTGTGATTTTGAACTCTTTTTTCAACATCATTTCCCTGTAATACAAATAAATAAATTGAACTCTTTTGCCATACATTTCATTCTTGTCGACAATCGTTAAACTAGGCTTTCCATGTACATTAACATGCAGATTTAAAATTCAATATAGCTCAATCAATCAGAGCCAATGGACCACAGAATATTCATGATAAATCAAAAAATATGTTATCATTGATTTTGCTTCTTTTTTAGGTTCAAACTGGAGTTGAATGTAATCCAAATATAAATAATAACGCTTCTAATAATCAACTGAATATAAAGTGAAATCTATTATTCTACAATCTTTGAATAGAATTTGGATTTTCCCATGAAAAACATGGAATTTTTCTTGTCATTACATTTTATTCATCTCAATTCATTGTGTTGATATTTTGTAAACACAACTTTTCTTGCAGAACTTTTCGAATAAGAAAATGTAAACATTTCTTTTTTTCGACTTTTCTTCAATATCTTTTTGATAATATTTTTCAACTTAAGTTATTAGTTGAATGGTGAATGAACAGAATTTCTTGAAATTCCATTCAATTGAAGAAAACAATTTTTTTCTTCTTTACTCATTAAACCTTTTCATGGATTATTAACCAATGCAAGTTGAAGGCAAATTAAATGGACATTGGCCTTTGGTCAGACTTGATTATCATTTTTAACTAATGTATACCTTGACATTCAAGACAGTGTTGAGCTATTTTTGTCCATTAATTTGATGGATGGACTTTGGTCAACATTTTTCTCTTTCCTTTCATTTTACCATATTTGTGTACAATTGTGCATAAAGGTGTGTTAATGTCCAATGGATTGAAATGAATCAAACTTTTGTCTCTAAAATGGTTGATAAATGTTGTCTTCAGTTCAATGAAATTCAAATTGAAAAATGAACATTCACTTTGAAAGGTTTAACCATTAATTTTGTTGCGGATTGAGTCAAAGTATTTGTTTTTGCATTTATTTTTAGTTTTTCATTTGAAATGCTTTTTGCTATTTACCGTTAATTTGATTACTTGATAACCAAAGGCAGCTTCTAGTGGGATTGCGGCGACAGCGGGTTTACCTCGATTGGTGAAGATTGGTGAATTGTCGTTTTCATCGTCAACCGAAACTTGGACTAAAGTCTCATCGAAAGCAAGATGATAATCAAATGGATCGTTGAGGGTTGACTTAGACGGAGAAGAGGATTGGGATGAGCTTGGAATGGCTCTACCAGCTCGATGGTGTCCCAAGTTTTCGGCCTTGATTTTAATGTTGTACAAGTCACGAGATTCCCTGTCAAAGGGACGAGTTACTCGAAGTAAACCAGTCTTTGGTTCAATGTCAAATAATCCGTCGTAATCAGTGCCTACTATAGCGTAATGGACTGGTCGATGTGCCAGTTCGTCGGTCGAGTTGAGGTCAATCAGGTCTAGAGGTGACTTTTGATTTTCCATGACTGATATTTTGTACAATCTTTTGGGGAACAATCTGACTCCTTGACCAGTTCCAATGAGAATGTTAATCTAAGAGGAAAAGAAGAAAATTTTGAAATAAAGAAATTCTTTTCAAGTTGGATTCAACTTTAATTGATTTAAATTAACTTTAATGATTAGCTGTGCTTCATCAATTTCAATGAGTAACATCATCTTTATCAAGCTCATAATGAGGCAAACTGTGAAAGTGATGAGCAAGGATAAAAAGATGGATGAAGAGGATTGAGGGAAGAGATCAGTGAACTTGAAATGAAAATGTCAAAATGAAGACAAAAGATGAGGCGAAATAATGAAAGGGAAAAATGGCAATTAAGCAATTATTTAAGCTGATTAACAAACAATGAAAAGTATAAAAAAGATGAAACATTAAAATAAGATTAGGAAAATGAAAAGAGTTGAAAGATTAATTAATGCGCAAGTTGATCAGTCAAAGGATGGTGAAGGTTGAAAATGATTTAATACAATGAGATATAAAAAACTCTAGACTCTGAGTTTTCATGTTGAGTGAAAATTTCAAAGTCAAGGTTAATATTCATCTTAACATTTTTCCCTTCAACTTTTCAAGACCAATCTGATTAAGAAGTAAATTGAAAGGTTTAATGTTGAGGTGAGACTCTCCATGAAGCGATCAATTTTTGTCTCATTTTGCTTGCAGCCTTTTGATGGGACAAAGATCATTAATGATAAAAAACAAAAGAGGAAAAATAATTGTCTTCATTATCAAATAATGATTAGAGTGAAAATGTTTCCATTTGCAATGAAATAAGATTGAAGATGGTGAGAGGTCATTGAACATGATGAGGATGAGCAAAGTGTTCATGTTGTTGTTGATGTTGATGATGGTTAAGGTAAATAAACTAACAAGGAAAAGCTAAGCTCCTACTCAGTTAACTTAATTAAGATTAGGTATCAAATTGTCCCTATCAAGCAAGTAATGAAAAGAGATTTCTATTAACAGGCAAAATGAAAGAGAAAGAAATGAAAATAAAAAAAAGAGATTTCCTAATGCTTCAGTTCTGTAAACTCCCTGAAGGATAATGAATAGAGTTCATGTCTTGAGCCTTTCACCATCCAATGACAATCATTATTATGGTTAATCATCGATAGTTGAGTGTTAAATATTGAGATGGAAATCATGTTTACAGGGAAACATTGTCTAACAATTGATCAATTTTTTCAACTAATTTTGAATGTTGATGGAAATGCTTTTTTATATTGTTTTCAAGTATGGATTCGGTTTCATTGATTTTTGATATTTTTCTGCATCTTTTTCATTCTATTTGTTAACATGATTATTGAGGGATAAATTGCTTTATCCATTAAATTATCAGTTAAACAGTTTAATCTTTTGAGGTCAATTAATTTAGTCTAAATTAAAGTGCATCAATCTTTTCAACACTCAAACTGACAATGATAGGAGTCCGTTGAGATTGAGATTTAATTGCTTGTTAACAGTGGCTAAATTTTTCCCAATTAATCTTGACAGACACTGGAAATCCAAAAAATACAGATTTTTCATTCTTCTGCTTTAAGCCTAAAAATGGACTCAAAATGAAAAAAGTGAACCTTCTCTAGTCACAGTCGAAGAGATATTTTGTTATCAATTTTAGATGAAAGTCTCGTAAATTGAAAGAATCAATAATTTAACTAATTCTGAGTTTTTTAAAATCAATAAATGCTTTTAGCTGTTTTAAATGTTGGCTTTACCTCTGCTGTATCAAACTTGGGAGGTTCACTGTCATCTTCAGCTTTAACCATTAAACTGTAATGGTTACGTTGAACACTGTCCAATGGTTTGGCCAATTTAACTCGGCCCGTTGATTCGTCTACGGTAAATGTATCAACTTGATTAGCATCTAATGATTGGAAAGAAAAGGAATGAAAATTAGACAATGTTGAAAGAAGGGAAGAAAAGTGACATTGAAATGACAGGGTTACACAAGTTGACCACTTACTTAATAGACTATACTTGAAAGGTCCTTCACCAGCATTCAAATTAAAAACAGTGTCACCAACTTTGGCATTTTCAGCCACCTCAAGAGTGTAAATAGCTTTAGGGAAATCGGGAACAGCATCACGAGTATCAGCTACGGTAACCCAAAGTTTGGCTGTTGAACTCAATGATGGGTTTCCCTTGTCATAGGCAACAACCGTAATATTGTAAAATTGTTTATCCTCGAAATCCAATTTAGCCAATGTCCAAACAGTTCCGTCTGTGGTTGACAATTTTGACAAGTAACAGGATGGAATCAAGTGACCATTGGCCAAGTTTTGGGTCATGTTTTTTATCATTGTGTGTTTGTGCATACAGAAGATCATGAGCCAGGAATGAAAATGTTCAACAAGATCAAGAACAGAGTGGAAAAGGTAAAGAGTATGATGGCGGTCATGAAGATGAAGAAGAAGAAGAAAGAAGAGAAAAGAAGAATAATTATTTGGTTAAATAAAATGATTTACGTGAGAGAAAGCCAAATATATTATAAATTATTTCATATCAAAGTAATGTTGATCAAAACTATAATTGACCTGTCAATTGAGATTATTTTCATTTCCAATTCAACCCTTTCTGAGGTGAAACCTGACCAACAGTAAAACTTGCAATGAACAAATCACAATCAATGATAAAGTGATTCTAATTAATCAACAAAATCATCTAATTGTTCATCCAAGCTGAAATGTTGAGAAATATTTACAAATTGAAATAAAATGAAATTCAAAGAACAGTTTTGTTTTGAATGAAAACGTTGAAATGCAAACAAATAACATCAAATATCGAGTTTTCAACCTTTTTACAGAATCGATGAGAATTTACATGAAATTATGAATTTCTTATAACAAAATTTCCTACAATTTAATAGCAATTTCGGTTAAAAGTTACCTCAATAATCATCACTTTTCTGATGAAACCTGTAAATCTATTTTTAATATCATTTGTTAACATTTGTTCAATCGTTTGAAATCAACTTTTCTGAATTCGAATATTTCTAAATTTTTTTGTTTTGCTGAATTTATTGAAAAAATAATCAACAGAAATTTCAATCGACCAAATAACCATTTTTAAATTGAAAGAAATGGCTGGTTGTGTTGATCAACTCTAGACTTTGGTATGAGCTTGAAATTGGCCACTAATACTAACCTTTACCGTCGATATAAAATTTATTATCATGTCCTTCACCCAATTTATAAAAGACTTGGCCATTTTCACCAAGATCTGGATCATAAGCAGCAATTTGAGTCACCTATTTAAAAGTAAATAAAAATGGGTTAAAAATGGCAATTATTGGCCATTGAAAGAAGATTGAAAGCAAACAAACCTTGTAACCAGGATCTAAGTTTTCAGGAACATGGGCCAAGTAGGGATCGGTAAAGAAACGAGGTCGTTCATCGTTAATGTCTTTCACTTTAATTGTAACCTCAACACTTGAATTGTGCGATGGTTCACCATAATCCAGAGCCTGAAGTAAAGAAAAGTAAAAACATTAAAAAAATCATTTCCAACATTCTTAATAGCCAATGTTAACACTTACTGTAACAGCGAAATTGTAAGTTTCCCTTTGTTCTCGATCAATTTTACCATTGGCAAACAATTCGCCAGTATGAATATCAATGGTGAAAGGAAAATCTGAATAAAGAATTGAACAGAATGATAAATTTCTTTATTAAAAGACAATATTGAAAAGAGTAAATTGTTTTGAATTTGCAAAAGTTCTGTTGACTCTGTTAATGAAATATTCAACAAAACATTGATTTTTGTTGATGAAACTTTGTCTTGTCTTTGTCTTTATAACGAAGGTTTGAATAGAGAAATTTTGTAGAGAAAAAAGGAAAATCATGAAAAGGTAAAGAGAAACAGATTCAATTGAAAAGTACATCAACACAGGATAAAGTGAATTAGAGAAATCAGAATCAGATAACCAACAGAATTTGAAAAAAGGTTAAACTTTGAAAAGGAAAGGTTAATCTATTTAAGTTTACATTGAGATGTTCATTAAATGACAAAATACGATTAAAGAAGCTTTGGTTTGACCTTAAATTGAATTTCATCTTTTCTTTTCTCAGCCGATACCTTTTCATGGTAAAATGAGAAAACATTTTGAGACAAAATTTTGAAACAAAAAAAATGTTGAATTAATGAAATTCAATGCTTTTGATTTGTCCATTGTTACACTTGGTTACACTTTTTTATGAATCAAAATTGATTTTGAGGTTTCATTGTTTTTTATTTATAGATATTAATATCTGTTCAGGACAGAGCAATTCATCATGTTTCAAGATGCAAACACAGGCAAGGACAATGGTAGCTAAATGATAATAGTTGATATTAATATGAGAATATAGAAAAAGGCGAGAAAAATAATTTTTCCCTTTTTTTATGTTTTCACATTTTCCTTCTTAAATTTGGCATTTCTTCAGTTTCCCTAGAGCATTCATTGTTTCGTCTCATGATAAATTGTATTGAGATAGAACATGATTATATGATATTAGATGAGCAACAAGATGGGAACAACAGTAAAGGCCAAGCTTTTGTTGTTTGTTTAGTGCATGTTACTGGGAGTGAATGTACAGTCACAGGGAGGGGAGAAGAGTGGGAGTGAAAATGTTTAAGACAATCTTATAAAGATAAATTGCATTTTACAGTCAATGTCTTCTTGCCTTACAAGGAACCGGTAAAAGATTTTTCTTTCCCTTTCTCAGTGCATTCTGAAGACTCAATATTATGCATCAAGAGATTCAAGTTCAGCCTATTTTCGTCTTCCAAAGGTAACCTTGAATTAGATGAAAATGATTATTGGACTGAATGCTAGCATTAAAAAAGATCAATGAACTTGATCAAGATATAGAATAATAAAATTGAGGTTGGAGAAACTCGAAATTTTTGCTTCTTCTTCTTTTTTTTGCTTTTCTCTTTGATTCATTATTTATTTTGTATTTGTGAAAAAGTAAAGTGAAAAGTAAAGGGAACAAAACATATTGAATAGTTGATGATGAAAAATGGTAAAGGGTAAAGTGTTTCAATGTTTGCCTTTTGGATAAACTTCAATTGTTGGGTTTACTTTTGCTTATTAAGATTGAAACATAAAAAGGGTTTGCAAATGTAAATGAATAACCATCATCTTGGACTAGGGTTGTGATGGGTTAATGATGAGCTTGGTGATAGGAATCATCATTTTGCTTTGTTTCAATGTTCATCGATATTATACATTGTGTTAATGATGATGATTCCGATGGAAAAAGGAAAATAACTGAAAAAAGGAAAACAATGTTAAACATTGTTTTATCATCAATTACATCTTAACGATTATGATTGAATCACATGATAATATTTGCAACACTCTTTTTTTGCAGCTTCTCAAAAAGAGTCAATGAAATGAACATTATCATCGCTTCTTATGAGATCACTCACCTATTCATGAACAAAAGGATAAGAATATTACACTTTATCAATTTTTCACCCAAAAATGAACAACTTTTTTCTCGCCTTTTCTGAGAAAAATGAGCAAAAAATTGCTAATCAATTTTAGTCAAGAGAAACCAGAAAATGTTTGAAACTAAAAATGTTAACATTTAATGAGTAAAATGTAATAATATCAATGATTAAATAAATGATTAAAGGAATGATAAATCAGTGAATAAATAAGGGAATAAATGAGTGAATAAATTATGAAAATGTTGAGTTCGTTACAACTTGAGATTGAAATGTTATTGGCATTTTCAGAGGTAAAACTGAGGTCAGTCTGAAGTTGCATTTCTTTAAAAATCACAATTCTAATGATGTTTAATTTATCCTTTCACTTGGGTGAAGTTACATGGTTATTGAAGGAGGAACAGATGATAAATCTCTTGGAACGTGAAATTGTATTAAAAGATGAAAAATGAAAAGTAAAAGGCAACAACAGATGACAGAACTTTTCTCTTCATCTTTTTGTGACAATTTTGGTGCAAGTACAAGTTACAATTTACGCTCTGGTATAATAATATCAATAACCTTTTTTGCTCAACATCTTTATCAACTAAAGTTGTAACTCATGTTCAATCTGAATTAAACGAAATGAGTAGAGAAAAAAGGCAAAACTGACAATTTCTCATTTCTCTTCATCATCATCCTCTTTTTTTCACCCAAATTTCCGTTCTCATATCTTTACACATCACTTTTGTATACGGAATTACACCGAATACTTTATAACTTGATTAACATCCAAAGATGAGACAAAGGCAAGAGTTTGCCATATTTTGCTTAACATCAACTAGAAGTGAATAAATTATTGGTTTATTGTGGTTGAAGTTTCAAATTGATAAATTACAGTTTAAAGCAATTCTTTAAAAGTGTTCAGATTTCAATGATCGATAATTAACCTCATTCATTGGAAGAATTGAATTTAGAAGGGAAAAGTGAATCAAGAAAAATGTTGAATGTTCAATGAAAAAAGGACCAATCTGACAGTTTAACCAAGTAACTTATTCACTTGAAAAAAATATCATAATCTTTATTATTTTCATGCGACATCAGATGACAGATTTCTTGATTCAATTCTTTTTCTTCATGACCTCATTTTCTGGTTGATTTTGCTTGTATATTGAACTATTGTCGGGGAACCAAAACACGGCCAATTTAAACAGATAAACATGTCATTTGAATTTATTATGTAAATGGTTTGCTGATGGTAATGCTGGACAAATGAGTGGATTCAATTTTTGCGGCCAATAAAAGGTTCTGGTAAATGATGAATAGTATCATGAATATTGAGAGCTATATGAAATAATTGATGTTTAAATGTAACAGATCATGGAGAAACCTCATCAACCTGACAAATGTTCATCATGTCTGTACAGTTGTATACACATTCAGGTTAAAGGCTTTAGATTAGTATTGCCAGCTAATTAAGATATTTTTAATAAATCAAGTTTTCGCTTTCATTTTTATTTCATTTTCTTGGATAATTTGAATGAAAATTTTCTGGCAATCAAATTATCTTAAAATTAGAGTTTCTTAATTTCTGTAAATATTTGCCTTTGATTCAATCAAATTCAACTCTCGGTTTAACCTATGAATCTGGTCAACTCTTGAAACATTGGATTGAGATTGAAAGCAAAGTTACATTTTAGGTTGACTTGGATCTATTTCATGTGAGAATGCAAAATCTGATGATTTATTAAACTTTAAATCTTTGCTTGTGTTTAAAATGAATCTTGACTATTATGTTTTATCACCATGGTTGAGGTTATGGTGACCGCAAATTCACCTAGAAATGTCTATGATTTAGATTACTGGGTTAATCCTGATTTATTAATACATAGTCATCATTGTTGTGGCTAATAAAGATGACACATTGAGACCTTTTAATTAACTTGGTTGGTGTAGTGAAGGTGAGAGCGATTTGGTTAACTCAGTGACAGGTTATCGTGTTATGAGCTTGTCTATGTAATTGTTAAGTTGACAAGTCAATGTATAATCATTGTTGTTGGGTTAACAATGAACATTGATAAATTGTGTTGTACATTTTATATCATTATTCAACTAATTATTGGAAAATAATGAATGGCAAGAAATAAAAAAGTAAATACGAAAGGGTTAATCAATGAGGATATAACAAGGAATAATGAAAATGAATAAAATGGGAAAATAATTTGTTGACTGATTAACCATTAAACCAATGGTTTACTGTTCAAATCAACATGTAATAATGGATTAAGATTTTCATGTTAGCCTGTTTCTGGGAAAAGCTTAATGATTAAGTAATTGTGTCTCCATATCATCAATTTTAACCAAAATAGTTGATGACTTAAACATACATGGATATAAAGTATGTATATTAACAATTTATCTTGCGACAGTAAACCAATTTATCAACTTCACACCAAGAATCGTCATTAATGACATTTAAGTCTCAAGTTGTAATCATTAACAATCACTTATTTAATGGAGATGATTATCATCAGCCAACAATTGTGCCTTCAATAGGCAAATGAAAAGGCCTTTAACAACGGCAAGATGTACCATGTTAGTCCTTGACCAGAATATCAATGATGATAATGATTATCGAAAGATGATTTTGATCACTTTCATGTTGACTATTGTGATTATTTTGGTGACCTAAAGAGACACTTCACATTTAACCAATTTACTGTTTTGACAATACAAAATCTGGTAATCGTAAAGTTGTCTTGTCTATAAAAATCACTCTCTATCCATCATAATGTACATTAAATATGAATAATAAATGATTCTGTTGATGATCAACAGATCACTATCAATTGTAAATTAAATTTCTATTCAAATTCTTAACCTTGTTCTCTTTCTCTTGATTCATGTTTTTCCTGAAAATCCCTTTACATAAGTTATGAGATGGATAAAATTGTCAGACAATCAATTTAAAGGAGTTTTCCGATAGAAACAAGAATGGATTTGACAAAAAATATCCCTTTTCAACCTAAAATGGATAATTTCAAACAAAGACAATACTCAACATTCAAATGACCAGTTTTCAGTTCCTAGCTGATCTCTTAGCTTATGACTGTCAAATCTTTTTCGGAGATAATCTGGTTAATATGAGCTTGTGGGTTGAAACTGGTTAGGCCTATTGACTTATGTTTTGCAAATTCATTATTCGGATGGGAAACAAAAGCCGCCACTTACCAATGCCAACATTATTGGACATTGTATATTCAACGATTCCATTGCGTCCAGTATCTTCATCGCGAGCTCGGAAAACGCCAAGACGAAGTTTCTCTTTGGTGTAATTACCTTCCAACACTTCAAACTGGTAAAATGATTGATCAAATGTTGGCTTGTGATCATTTACATCGACAACAGTTACATTAATATTGGTCTTTGAAGCCAATCCAGCTCCATCAACGGCTGAAACATTTAAATAATAAACTGAATCTGGTTTAAGGGTACCAACAACAAATATTTCACCGGTTAAACGGTCAATACGTATGTCACCTTTACCACCGGCTGTAATGTAATATTGAATCCTTGAATTGGGACCTTTCTCATCGATATCGGTAGCCTTTACTTGGACCACTTTTGACCCTGGTTTGGCAATTTCAGGAAGCAATACAAATAGTGGTCCATGTTGAAATACTGGTGGATTGTCATTTTCATCTTCAATCTCAATGGTTAATTGGGTTGTTGAACTGAGATTTCCATTGTCGGTTGCAGTTAATTTCAATTCATATTTTGCTTTGGTTTCTCTGTCTAAAATTTGGTTCATCTCTTTAGGTGTAAACAAGACTGCTCCTGAATCTAAAATGGTAAACAATTCTTGACCTTCTCCAGTCAAACTGTAATGGACAATTGAATTGTTGCCCGAATCATGATCAACTGCTTGAATTGTTGGTGGACCAATAATTACTTGGGTTCCTGGAGCAGAGTTTTCCTTGATTGTTCCCTTGTAGGTTTGGGTGAAAGTTGGTATCTCATCATTGACATCCAAAACATCTACCATAACTTCACTGACGGTCTAATCATAGAGAGAAAGAAAAGGAAAGCAAAATGATTAAATTAACAATCAATTTGATCAAGAAAATAACAATTCTTACAATTTTAGTTGTTGGCCTTTTCTCTTCCAACATTACAGTGAAAACATATTTGCTCTTCTTTTCTCGGTCAAGTCCTCTTTTGGTGTAAATTTCACCGTCCTACAAATACAAAAAAAAAGGTTAGTTAATGGCAGTTGACGATTAAATTTATGGTGAAAGTGTTTCCAACTTACAGAAGTTATATTGAATAAACTTCTCATCTCTGTATTGACAATTGTGTATTTCATTAAAGCATTAATTCGTAATTTACGAGGCTTCAGTTCAACTCTACCAACCAAAATACCAGCCATGTTTTCAGGAACAGCAAATCGATAGTGAATTTGGTCAAATCGAGGATCACGTTCTTCAGCTTCTCGAACATAAATTTTCAAATTTGTCTGAAATACAAAGATAAACAAAAGGTTAGAAATTTTTGTCAACTCAAACAACTGTAAGAAAAAGGTAAAACAATTGTTGTTATTACAAGTTGCTGACTATTCTGCATCAACAATTTAGACAATCAATAGACTTTAGCTTCAATCAGAAGTTAATTATGCAATTTGAATGAATGACAATCAAGAAAATAAACAGAGTTGAATCTGGTTAACAAGAAATGATCACATTTATGGTTAATAAATTGAAAGTAATTTGAAAATCATCTATCGATCTATATGTTTGGTCAGTCATAATTTACTTTCTGTTTACGCCATTTTCATGATCATATTTGACAAGCTGGACATGTAAACATAATGATTAATTTCAATGTTTTTGTTTCGCCATCAAATTTAACCTTCACTAAGAATGATAACCTAAGTTTGTCTAAGTCTGACCTCAAGGATTTCTTGATTCTAAGCTGGCAGATTTGGTGATTATCACATTATTTATTTCAATCTGTAGATTTGTTGTTCCCTGTTTCCCTGAAATAACCTTGTTATTGTTTTTAAAAACAAAGCTTAAGATGGTGGATATGGTTTAGCAACGTAAACAAGTTGAAAATTGAAATTGTCCAAAAAATGAAAACTGGAAAATGGTTTGTCTTTTTGCTTGCTTTCAATTTCATTGTTTCATTGGCAATTTGCTGTTGTCCTTTTTTTATATCAGTTGACCAAAAGGCTTTCACTTGTAATAACTGGTTGAAATTTAATCTTCAATCAATCATCAAACTAACCATTCCTTTCCAGAGTCCATCAAATACTTCAACAGTCAGTGAATATTGTACATTTTCAGAGATATCCAAAGGTCTTGAAACGTTGACAATACCATTCAATGGATCAATTGCAAATGGAACTAGAAGAAAGAGAGAAAAAGCAAATAAATTGAATGAGATGAATGTTTGATTCAATGATAAAGATTTAGTAATGATCATGACATATTATTTCAAGTTCAATAAGAGTTATGATGATTCAGTACAAAAAGACAAATAGTGATATAAAAATAAGATAGGAAACCACTCTGAGTATGAAATCACAAGAACCGTTGATTGAACAAATGAATGATACCTTTAATAATGAACAAAAATAGCAACGGCAACGATGTTGACAAGACAATTGTCAAATAACCATTGATTTGGAAGAAAAAATGTTCACTTGGATTATTGTTCTAACAATGAGACATCAATAAAAAATATTAAACTCTTGAATGATGAAAAATTTTACCAGATTAATCAAGATTAAATGATCAAAATATTTTGATTTATTGAATTGCACAAAACATGAAAAATTGGTTCCTCTTTTTGTAGTTGGTTGTGTTCAACTTGATTTTCAATCACTGCTAATTTTACAGCTAAACGATTGTCGGATTAAAATCTATTCGATTGGAAAAATAGGTTATTCTGAAACAATTTACTTAAAATTCAATTTAATATTATTTTCTAGGTTAACTTGATTAGTTTGAGTTGAAGAGTCAATTTATATTTTTATCATCTATTATTGACAGTAGATGGCAGTATGGTAAACGTATTCATCAGAAGAGTGACTTTGAACTGTTGATTTATTATTTAGTTTTTTGACGTAAACAAATTATTAAATTGTTTCCTGACAATTTATGTTTATAATGGTTTAGGTGACATCGAATGGATGAATTGGACAATATTCAACTTCAAGTAAGCGAAAGTGACTTCAATGGAAAAGTATTGGTTTCATTTTTAAAGAGTTAATCTTTCGGTACAAATGAAAAATATTTTTCTGATTGATACATTTCTATTTTTCCAAATCATTACCCAATTGTCTCATAAAAATGTCAAAATTCAGAGACTTTGTCAAATGTTTTTGTTCTCATTTTTGTTGTTATTAACTTAAATCCTTTTCCTCTGTAAGAATCAATTCTTGAACAATTTTTCATGACATTTTTGTTCATGACACACATTTCAACATAATTGTTGATTAACTCTATAATTTATTACCATTTACCATATTGATTTCATAGGTTTTATCAGCTATCATGGATTGAAAAAAATTAATTTACCTTTTCCAGTAGATTTAGCAAATGAATAAACCAAGGCAGTGTTGGTTGGTGAATCTGGATCAGTTGCTTTCAAAGTGGCAATAATCGAGCCAACAGGTATGTTTTCAGATGCAACCTCAAAGTAAGAATCTTTCTCGAATTTTGGTGGAGTGTCGTTAATATCTTGAATAACCACGGCAACCTGATGAAAATGAGAAAATCAAAAATCGATTAATATGACGATATACTTTTATTTGCTGTCAATGAATATTAATCTTGAAACATACCCTTGTTGTTCCAATTCTTGGCGGATTGCCTCTATCTTTGGCAGCAATGGAGACAAGGTGAAGAGCTGATCCTTCTACCTTGTATTTTTCACGGTCAAGTTCAGATATTATGGTCAGTAAAGGTCCACCTTCATCAACATCTAATCTAAATTCACCATCAGCATTACCATCAACAATGTAAACTTCCATTTCTCTATTAATGCCATCATCATAATCAACGACAGGCAATCTAAGACGAGTTCCAATTGATGTTGGTCCTTCGGTTACATTCATGAGGAAAGTTTCATTCAAGAAAGTCGGTGTCCAATCATTTTCATCTAAAACTGTTACGTGAATATTAGACCAACCAGTGTTGTTGGCTGCATCAACGGCAACAACTCGAAGTACATAAGCTGGAAGTCGTTCACGATCTGGAACAATTTTCACAGTAATAACTCCGGTTTCTTCTTCCATGTCAAAAGCTTCATCTTCATTCCCTTCAATTATGTGGTATCTCAACTTGTTTCGGTCAATCTCGTCCTTGTCTGATGCTGATACTGTTGTGACAACGTGACCTATTGGTGTATTTTCACGTAGTTCAACTGTGTAATCAGTTGTGGTAAAAACTGGATTGTTATCATTAACATCTTCAACCATGATTTTAATTCGAGTACTAGTCGAACAACGATGGTTAGCAGCTGTTACTGTTAGTGTATAAATTCCTTGTAAAAATTTGGGCATTGAATCTCTATCTAAAGGTTTCTTCACTCGTAAGGAAACATTAGCTGAAGCTCCGACTCCACCATGATGAACATCAACATAGAAATTATCATTGGAATCATCTTCGGTTATTTGATAATCTAATCTAGATCCAGACATTTTCTCAACATCTTCCACCAACAAGTTTGGTAATACAGTTGTGTCGACCTGAGAGTTTTCCGAAATTGAAGCATAATATTGAGTGAATGGGAATTTAGGGCAACGGAAATTAGCGTCGGACAATTTAATGACTACACCAGCTTCTGAATAATGTAATGGTTCTTTCCTGTTATGAGCTGTGACAATAAAGTGATAAACCAATTGCTTCAAGCTTGGGTCCGATGGATCAATTTTGGTTGTTGTTGTTACTCTTCCAGTGTCATGATCAATGGCGAAACGTTTGTATTTACCCGTTTCTTGAGATGTAATATTATACCAAATGGGCGCTCCATTGGGTGTTGTTGCTCGTGGGGTTAAAACTGAAGCACCAGCTTCTATTACGGTATCACTTTGAACAAAGTATTGAACAGAAGTGAAAACTGGAGTTGGTTCTTCAATTGAATCTCTGTAAACGTCAATTCTCAACTCGCGTGAAGTTGACAATGAACCGGTAGTGGCTTTGTCAGTGGCAACAATTTTAAGAACCTCAGTTATTGGTGTTAATGGTTGAGTTGCAAATATTTGACCTGTTGTTGGATTGATGGCGAAAAATGCTGATGGTGGAGAAATATCATAATTGACTAAATTGTTACCATTTCTTTCTGAATCAGCATCGATAGACCTAACAGTGTAAATTACTTCATTGTTAGGTGAAGTTGATTGGGGAACACGAAGGATCCGAGGCATTGAAAGTATTTGTGGTGGATTATCATTAACATCATTGACAACAACCTGAACCACTGCTGTACTAAATTGAGGTTCTCGAGCTTCATCTCTTGCTTCAACCATAATCTCTAAATATTTAGTTTCTTCATAATCCAATGGTTGTTCCAACAACACTCGACCCGAGTTACGATCAATACGGAAAACATCGGGCTTTGTAGACTTGACAATTTTATAATGAACTTTACCAGCTTTACCTGGATCAGGGTCAATAGCTGTTACCTTTAATAACGGTACACCAGAGATGTTTTCATCGACAGCCACTAGATATGAGAAACGTTCAAATTTAGGTGGATGATTTTGGGTGTTTGAAGCACGGACAATTAACATTGCTTTGCCAATATTGGGTGTAACACCATGATCTTGAGCAAAAACTTCCATTTCAAAGGTTGAATTTTGTCGATCGTTTGGAAGACGAGCAGCAAGGCGAACTAAACCAGTTTTGGCATCAATTTCAAACATTCCATGCGTGTTTTTAATCCAATAAGTTACATCACCATTGTTTGCTAAATCAGGATCAGTTGCGGATACTTGAATAACTGAACGACCTGGAGGAGCATCATATGGAATTGAAACCAAATAAGATTCAGATTCAAATCGAGGAGGATTATCGTTTTCGTCCAACATTTCAATATTGACAGGTACAAAAGATTCATATTTTCCATCAGATGCAACAATTGTAAACTCATATTTATCTTGAGTCTCTCGGTCCAACACTTTTTTAGTACAAATATCACCAGTGTTTCCATTTATTCCAAATGCATTTGAATCTTTAGTTTCTGCTATCATGTATTTAATCTTATCAACAGAGTCACCAGAAGTTGCTTCAATTTTCAAGAAACAATGGCCAGCTGGAAGATTTTCAGGAAGTGATGCAGAATATGCCATTTTACTAAACATCGGAGGGTGATCATTAACGTCAACTACATCAATAGTGACCATAGTTAATCCAAAAAGTGGTGTCTTATGAGAATCTGTTGCTTGAACTAATAAAGTAAATTGTTTTTGTTTATCATAATCAATTTTTGATCCTAAGCCAGCCATGACTCGAATTTCTCCAGTCATTCTATCAATAAAAAAGATTCCTTGTTCATTGCCTGAAGCAATTGAATAAGTTATAGTATTGTTTTGTAAATCTTTGTCCAATGCTTCAACTTTAACAATAACCTTGTTTGACTCTTGTTTTTCAATAACTCGACCTCTGTAAGAGTTGGATGTAAACACTGGTGGAAAATCATTAGCCTCTTTAACAAGCACTTTGACCTGTACTCCAAGTGAATAGTTTGTTGGTAAACCGTCGTCTGTTGCTCGAGCAACAAAGGTATATTGCGTTCGGGATGCAAGACCTTTACGAACAAAGATTCGTCCAGTCGTCTCTTCAATGGTAAAGTAATCAGTGTCACCATCAGTTATTGAAAAAACAATGTTGTTTCCATCTTCATCAGTTGCTTTAACTTGACCAACAGAAGTACCTTCTTGTGCATTTTCTTGTACCCAGAATTCATAAGGAAGTCCAACAAATTTGGGTGAATGTTCATTAATGTTTGTAACACCAATTACTACAGTGGCAGAGCCAATGTTTGGAGGGTCACCACCATCTAAAGCAATAACGACAAACTCGTGGGTTGCTTGAGTCTCAAAATCTAATGAACCACCTAAACTGATTGTTCCAGTTTTATTGTCTATTCGGAACATTGCTAATTCAGAGTCACTTCCATTCAAATGATAGCTCACTATTTTACCATTTAATCCAGCATCAATATCTCTAGCTTTGAAAAATGACGGGAAAATTGTTCCTGGGGGAAGACTTTCGGGTAATTCTAACATGTACCTTTCTTCGTCAAAACTTGGAGCATTGTCATTTACATCGAGTACATCAATGATAACAGGTACACTTGTGTTAAATGTGTTAATGGATAGGGAATCACGGGCATAAGCTCTTAGTTTAAAAGAATGCTCAGAGGCTGGAGGATCACGATCAACAGTTTCTATCAAAAAGATTTCTCCAGTTTTAGGGATTACTTTGAATTTTGGTTTTTTAGATCGATCTTCGCTGAGCCAATAGATGATATCTTGTTCAGAACCACTTCTTCTTGGATTTGTTGCATTCAGTTGTCCTATCATTTGATTAGGAGCCATGTTTTCAACAATCTTGAAATGGTAAGACTGTTGATCGAAAACAACCAACTCATCATTGATATCTTTTACTTTGATTATTACTTGAACCGCAGGATTAACAATAGATGCTGCTTGAGGACCTTGGAATGGACGAAGATTACGAGCAGCAACATGAAGAATGTGCTCTGTTTTACGCTCATAATTGAGCTTTTCTGTGGTTGATATCAAACCCGTGTCAGGATTTATCGCAAATGATTTATCTTCATTTCCAGCTAAAATAAGGTATTTAATGACTGCGTTATCACCATAATCTTTGTCGGAGGCTGTGATTCGAGCGACATCATAAGGTGGTTCAACCTCTTCTGGTACTTCGACTTCATAAGTTTCTTTCTCAAAGAAAGGCGGGTTGTCGTTAATATCTTCAATTTTAACTTGAACATTGGTTGTTCCACTGAGCTGAGGTATTCCACCATCAAATGCGATGACAACAAAATCTACAGTTGATTCAGTTTCTCTGTCCAATCGACGTCTAGTTCTAATGGCTCCATTAAATGGATCGATAATGAAAGCATTGTTTGCTTGATCACCCACCAAACTGTATCGTATTTGACCATTTTTACCTGAATCTCGATCTAAAGCAAGAACAGTGCCAACGGTATCGTTTCCACTAAGCTCTTCAACAACCGAGAAATTGTAAAAATTATGAGCAAAAACAGGAGATTGATCGTTAATGTCAACAACATGAACCAATATTGGAGCAACAGCTGTATTGATACCATCCGAAACTTGAATCAATAAATCATAACTTTGTTTCTTTTCATAATCAAGAACAGCCGAGGTTAAAATTTTACCATTCCTTGAATCAATGAAGAACAATTTATCATCATTACCAGCAATAATGGAATACTCGAGAACATCATTGATTGAATCAGCATCACGAGCCAAAACTTGAGTAACATAAGCTCCTTCAGGAAGACTTTCACCAACATAGGCTTCATAAGGTGCACCAATAAATTCAGGGACTGAATTGTTGATATCGGTAACATTGATACGAATGACAGCTACAGAGGTACGACGTTCAAAAGCAATTTTAGCTGAATCAGAGGCAATCACGAAAAAAGTGTAACTCTCTTGTTTCTTGTTTAAAGCCAAAAAGGAATCCAAAACATAAATCGAACCATTTCCAGGATAAACATCAAATGGAACTCTTTGAGAAAGAGAATCATTTTGTTTAAAGTAAACAACTTGTCCGTTTTCAGCTAAATCATTATCATGAGCAAATATGGATCCTAAAATAGTTTTAGCTGGCGCAGTTTCCAAAACATTGAAATTGTAAATGTTGGATGGGAAAAATTGTGGATTATTGTCATTGGCATCTAAAAGGTTAATCTCGACGGTTGTTTGTGGACCTTGTTTAGCAGCATCTGGGTTAACATTGGGTTTCCTCTCAATGGCTGTAACTTTCATTTGAATTTTTGATTGTGTTTCCCGGTCCAATTTAGCTGGATCTTTAACGCTAATCCAACCAGTCGTTGAATCAATTTGAAAGCCATCTGAATCATCGTGAAGAACATATTTAAACTCGGCATTTTCACCTTTATCAGCATCAACTGCATAAACCTGAAGAACAGTAAATCCAGGAGGAAGATTTTCCATGACCGTAATGTTGTACATGTCATATTCAAATTCAGGGCTATTATCATTAATGTCTTTAACAAAAACATCAACACGAGAAAGTGCTTGTCTTAATGGATTGTCAACTTGGGTTGCCTGTGATGAAAAAAATTGAAAAGAAAGAACAGAATATTAGTAACAATTACAATTCATTAATATGCACAAAAAATGTGGTTAATAATTTTGCTTCTTTTTGTCAGGTAAATGCGTGTGAAAACCATGTCTAGATGTTAAAGATAGAGTTTAATATAATTATCATTATCACAATGATCAACTAATGAATATATGAATGATCAAGTCGTGCTTGTCCGCTTAAAAAGTGTTTCAATCAAGTAGGCGTTGTTGGCATCCTTTTATGAATATGTTTCAGTTTTTTCATGAGAAACTGAAACAATCAACATTTTTGGACTAATATCATATTCAGGTAATTTACTGTTTCTGTGGTATCACAATTTCAAGGTGCTTTTCAAGTTAATCGTTTGAAATGGGTGAAAGTGAATGCTAAATAGTCCAAGTGATTAATGATGTATCAGGTAATTTGGATTAAATATGATGTTGCATGAGTTTACAGTAAAATTAGTCTCTTGAGTGTAATCAAAACGTGGGTCGCTAAATTGTATCAAATAGTGACCTTCACTTTTCATCGCTGCCTTTCTACTTGGCATCGTCCTTTCACTTTTTAATGTCAGTCGACGACCGAAATGGTAATACAAGTAAACCTTTGTACTTGTTAAACTGTTTGTTGTGGTTGTTGGACATTGAGACAATTCAGTTTGCTGTTATCTTCGGATGCGTAGGAATTGAATGTTGAGGCGCACAAAAAAATCAAGTTCAACCAACATGAGTGGCATAACAGTTAATGAAAGTGTAGAGGTAAACAACAACAGCATATTGGTTTGATTATGAAGGAAAAAAACACACACAAAATGATGGTTTGATTGTCCAAAGTCAAGAAATGGAAAACAAGTTGATATTCAAAAGAAAATTGATGTTGATGAAGTAAATGAAAGTGGTCCATTATTTTGATTGTAAGAGTTGAATAGTGCTGTACTTTCAAGTGAATACTTTCATTTCTATTGTGATATTGCTCCGGATATAAGGTAATGTCAATCTTGCCATTTTAGTAATTGTCCAACAACTAGATCGTTCAATCAAACGTTGATTTGATTGTAAAATCTTTACAAACCAATTTTTATTGTATTTCCAGATACAATAGAGGAGGGTGCAAGCACAACTGTACACATAGAACCAAACGTAATTAAGCAACACTTAGTCGACATCATCAGCGTTGAATAATTATAAAATGAGCTGCTAATTGATTGATATTAAAATAGCTGAATGTAAATGTCGATAAAAATATCTGCTTCATGGTTTAACGAACTTTCTCCTTCTTCTTCTTCGTTTTTTTTTTCAATCAACATTTCTTTTCTCGTAGCCACCAGACTCAGGGAAATTTGTACAATCATGAAACAAGGACAACGATGAAATGAAGAGCAGCAAAAATGGAATGTTTCAATTGATCAATTGAACCAACTTTGTATGACCTCAAGGGTGTTTTGTGTGGTAAAAGCTGAATTTCATGTAACCAAAACATTTTCACTTGATTATGAAAATTATTGAAAAAATGTGATCCATTGAAACCCACATTCCTGGTTTTATCGGTTCCCATCATTCTCATTCCAAACAGTCCATTTGTGGTGTGTGAGTGTAAGTTTCAATTTTTCCCGTTGATGTTGCTATATTAAAAACAATATAATTTGGTCCATTTTAAGTGAAGAAGGTTGATTCCGTTCTTTCGCTCTGAGTCTTCATTTAATGGTTATGAGTTTTCCCTTTTTGTTATCCATTCAAAATCTATAGCCTTCAGCTGTTTCAATTCAATCACTTTTCCATTGGGTCACATTTTGTCAGCACAATTTTGCTCCGGGTATTTAGCTTTCGATGATGATGTGAATTGATGTTTTCCGTATTTAAGGATTATACCATGATTCGTTGCTTTACTCAGCCATCAATTGTATCTGTGATAATAAATGTTGCACTTCTTGCTAACTTGCTCATTTCATGATTGAACAATCATGATTAATCTTTTGAAAAGGATACTTGGATTAGCTAAATCAAAAACTAGTTCAACCTGGATCAAGACAAATTGGTAAAAGTTTGTTAGCAAATTGAAATATTGAAGAGGTTTACAAATCTTGAAGTAACCTTAGGTGCTTTCAATCTCCAATTGTGGAGTATCGATAAGGTTAAATGGTTGACAATTTGATCGTTGATTAGGCTTGAATCCACCAAATAAAAAAGGCAATAGCAGGGTGAAAAAGTCATTCAGACTTGTTGAAATGTACTCAAAATTTTGAAGATTAAACAACTCTTGGATATATTATCAGCAACTTCAGGAAATTTTAAGCTCCATCAGGACATGTTTGCAGCTGTCATCCGAGTAAATCAGGTACTAAATACCAATTTAATTTGAAATTGTATGATAATGATGTCAGCTTGTTGGATAAGTTTACCAGCTATGACAACAATGGTCAAGTGATAGACACGCTAAAGTAACCATCTATTTATCATGGCTTTACACACATTTACAATAAATTTTATAACCATCGATAACCTGATAACCTCCTAATCATACCTGAATTTGAAGAGTAAGAACAGAATTGGGTAAAGATTCCAAATCAATTTCTCGGACAAGAAACAGTTCACCTGTTTGATCGTGCATCTCAAAAAATCCACCTTCATTGCCTGTTGAAGTTAGTGGTGAAAAGAAGAGAAGATAGAAAATAAATTAATTGAAAATAAATCATTATCAAAGGATATGAAATGAGAAAAGTGTTCAATAATTAATTCAAGAAGCGAAAAAATCAGTTGAAATAAAGCTATTTTTACTCACCAAGAATAATGTTGTACCGAAGTCTTGCATTGATTCCCTGATCCAAATCAAAAGCATGAACCACCGGATCAACTATTACTTTTTCTCGTATCCTCTGTCCCTGTTTAAAATAAAAATTTAAATATCAGTAAATAATCAACAGCAATAAGTTAATAAAGTTTAATTTACTGATTGTTTATAATTGATGCAAAAAACCGTTAAAAACTTGGATCTTGTGACTAAATTTTACGAAAGAACCGCCATTGAAAGTCTGACTAATTTTGAAAAATTTTAACCAATGAGCTTTGTATTAACTTCTGATTCATTGTCTCTTATTGTAACCGTCAAACTAAAATATCTTCACTAATTTTGATTCCTGGGTTTCATTGTATTTAATTTAATTAACTTCAATTCTCAGTGAAACTTTGATCTAATGTAATCACGAACATTTTGTGTGCGGTTAAAGATTCAATACAATTGATATTTATTGTGTGTAAATTGATTTCTTTTGATTACCTCTCGTGACTCTGGTTGGATCAGTAATTTGATTGAGCTTTTATTTTTACTTTTCATTATTTTCATCGTTTCAATTTTCTTCTTTCAAACATCTTCTGCTAATTTAATTTCTCTAAAACTGTTTCACCATCATCATCACCACCACCAATAAATCGATTTGAATGAACCAGATAATAAATTGGGTAAGTAATCAATTAATCTACTCTTCTACTCGCATACAAACACTTTTGAGGTAACATTTATCCATCACTTTCGCCAAGAAAATTTTGATTTCAATCAAGTTTTTAACCTTTTTTCCTCTTCATCATCATCACCATCATCTTATTCAATTGTTCCGCCCTTGATATTACTATTATCATTATTAACATTATTATTGTGTATGTTTTGGTCACTCTTCCTGATTGTTGCTTGATTAAACTCGGAAATTCAATTGATTAGACAATAACAAAGATTACTCTATTTTATCAGATTTGATTTTTATCATTCAATATAAATGTGTGAGAGAAAAAAAAAGATTCATTCAATTTTGTATGCAAAAACGCCATCTTCATGATCGTCTGCTTCAAACTTTCAACCATTTTTTTCCCACTTGAGCACGATTTTGGTGGCAACAAAATCAATCTTGGTCAGCATGAAAGGTTAACCAAATTGTGTTGTTTCCCATTTTAAATTATTGATAAATTGTTTCCCATTTGATTTATTAACTTAACAAATTTCTATTGCAACAATTAATCACTACAGTTCGTATCTTATTACAGTTTATTGCCTTCATTAGTTGGATAAATTAGCTGATTAATTGTTGCTCTAATTGTTTCCTTAAGAATATTGATTGATTCTGTTTACATTGTAGATGCTAATTTTTTTGCTTAAAAAATTCTAATCCTTTGTTTGCATGGTTTTATCAGATTATTTCACTGTAATTTCCAGAAATCCAGGATCTTATTCAAGGATATTTGAAAAAAAGTATCTTTTGAGATGTAACCTTTTTGTCATTGTCTGTTAACAAACCATTTGATTAGCTTTTCAATTGGCGGGTCGCTCTTTTGTTATCAAACGTCTGATATTACAATAACAAAAAGACGTTACTTTATCTCTTTTGGGTTGATTTACCGATTGAGCTTTATTGCGGCCATGATGATTACAAGTGTCAACTTAAACTTTCAATTTCAACCGGCTATTAATTTTTGATGGATAATCTGAAGGTGCATTAGAGATAATCTTGCGATTAAACGAGAAATTCGTGTAATTTTTTGAAGGAAAATTTCAAATTTGAACAAAGTATTAATAAGTAAATACTTTTTGACCACTTTACTTTTCAAGATTTTTATCGTCACTTAACCTTTTACTTTCTGGTCAAGATTAAGTTTTATCTCAACTCTTCTAAATTTTCAACTTTCTTTTTTTTCCAGTTTCTTTCTCTTGTCATTCAAAACGGCCAAACAATCAGAGCTCGACCCAGTTGACAAAACATGATAGTGATGAGATCAAGGATGGGTAAAGTAGCTATCGAGGTAAAACCTAAATTGTTGATCTTTAAAGGTAAAAATCGTTTTGAATCCCATCTATCAAATTATCTTAATTCGTATTTGTTATTCTGTTTTTTTTCGGTCAACCCAGGAGTCTCCTTTCATGCACCTTAACCATCGTCTTTCATCATTTAATTTAGTTCGTAACTAAATTAAATTGTTTGCATTAAATTTTGTCGTTGAAAATTTTCTCAATCCCACGTTTCACTTTCTCCACTAACTGAGCATTACCTTTATTTTCATTTTATAAATTCATTATTTTAGCTCGTTATTAATTTCATTTTTTTCTGATTTTCTAGGACAATTGAATCTCATGAGTCTTAATTCAGTCAAGGCTACAAGAATGGTTAAATATTTCATTGTTATGAAGTCACAAGTGAACGATGCTAATAACCTAATCAAATGGATTTGCTATGGTCACCATTTATAAGAGTGAGATGCTGATTCTAATGAGTAAATAACGGAAATATTTTTATTGACCTTAACTGACCTAAACACTGTTTCCAATGGACACAAAGCAGGTTATTGATAGAAAAAATAATTCGTACAAAAAAGTTCATTTTCATTATGTTCATCGATGCAATGTAATAATCGAGAGTATCTAATTTGTATTTTTTTCATTTCTTTTCAGTGCTGTGCTGCTCATTTAAGGAGTAGCACCATTATCATCATCACTGAACTTGATAATATTTTTTTCTGGTTAACTTTCGAGTAATTGATTCTCTTTCTCTCCTTACAATGGACCAAAACTGTGAGAATAATTTGCACCAAACATAACCTACTGCGGAGAAGGAATTTTTTGATAACTTTGAAATCTAACGTGAATGATACTTATCGCAAGATGTTACAAAATGAGTGATGAAGATGATGGCCAGAAGAAGATGATTACTGAAGATAAAAATAAACAATTGAAGCCTGAAGGTTGGTTGAAGTGTAATTTAAAGGTTAACAACAATATTGACACTCTTTCATCTCTCCTTTGCAGATTTATTTATCTATTTTGTATCAACAGGACCAACTGTGAATCAATAATTTTAAATTGGGCCATTCTAATAATCTAAATGTTGCTGGTTAACTCTTCACTTGTTGTTATAATTCAGAGTTGACAAGGAACCATTTTAAAAGGTTAGTCAATCATTTACACTTGCAGCAGACTTGTCGATCGTAATCTTAAAAAAAAATGTTTTACAAACATTTCTATCTGATTGTTATTGATTTGATTTAGTTCTAACTCGTGTTAACTCTTTTATGTTTCTTATTTTCTATTCATTACAGTTGTCATCATCATCTTGTTTCTATTATCATGATTTCGATTATTATTATCATTATTTGTTGGTACCTTTAACTATTAACAGCAACAACGCTATTATCATCATGATCTGTGTTGCTCAAAGGCTGCTGGTAGTAATAATAAACAGTTTAACCGGTTAATAATAGCACCAAAGCTCAATCTAAAAGTACAGAATTGAAAAGTTATTGCTGCCAGCATCAACACGCCCTCTCATTATCAGCTTACTGACCTGACTATTTGTCCACTTTTGGAAATAATTTCACTTGATGTTTTTCAATTGCAAAAAAAAGAGATTGGTGAAAGAGTGGAAAACATGGTAGCGAACAATTTTTGAAACCTGAATATTTAATATTTCTATTGAAAATGGTTGGCTCATTCAATCAATCTGATTACATCAACTTTGACAATAATAGGCATCTTCATAGATCCTGTTTTCTGGTTGAGCAAATCTGAAGATTCAAATAATCAAGAATCGCCACTTTCATCATCCTCATCATGACCAATAACGAAAATTACAAAACATTTTCCAACATGCATCAAGATTTTCAATTATTTCATCATTAATTCGTGAAAACTGTTAATTTAAGGACTACAAACTAAAGGCTGTCATGATGCAAAAACGTTCATCACAAGAGAAAGCCTCGCCATCAACATCAATCACATCACTCATGTCTTACTTACATCACCATAATCATAATAATAAACATCATCAACAAATTTGACAAATTTGGCTCATTATACAAGTTGGTTTGTGTCAAAGGAGACTCACAATATTGGGATCAAAGTAAATGGTACCAAATGCCGGAGTTGAATAATCAAAATTTGACCTCGAAGTGGTTTCAATTAACTCTTTACAATTGATGTATCAAAGAAAGAAAAAAGATTTCATCAAATTTCATTGAAAAAACTGCGCTGAATGGTCAACTGAACAGATTCAAAGTCATCGGCTTCAATAGCATATTCATGAATGGAGATATTGAGAAAACCTTTCAATCTTTATCATAAAAAACAAGTCAAAAACACGATGAAAAAACATGAAATGAAAAAATGAATCAGGAACCAATGGTAACCTCCAAATTTTCTTTGGCCTGTAAAACTGTAACATACACTTTCAATGATCAGGTTGATAAATGGAAATAAGATTAATTCACTGCATGGGTCTAGACAATACATCTTACAAGGAAGGGATTACTATTTAATCAAAGAATTGTCAAGGTTAGTATTTAAATATAAATTGTAACTCGTCCTTCGGAAGCATGATTAGATTAAATTGAATTTGAATCAATTCATCTAAAAATTGCCACTAAAAAATTGACTGACCTTACTTTTTTCTCTCTTTTTACCCAGAAAATGTAAAAATGTATCAAAATAATACAATCAAGTTCAATATTTTATCCAATGATATTTACACTGTTCAACCCCGGGAATAATCAATCAAGATAAATTGTTGGCTTTATTGTTTGGCCAATAATCAAGGTTATATCCTGATTCTGGATGGTGCAGTTATTTGACTGAAATTTTCAACAAATAATGAAAGGGTTATATTGTTTCTCTAAGATTATTACTTTTATGTTTACCTATCATTATATCATGTTAATAACAATATTGAGAGAGTGAATTCACAGTTAAAAAGTTGAACACATAAAATAGATGTTTATCACATGAAACATGATAATGCCAATTTCATTATTTTAATGATCTTTCCTTTTTCATCAGATTTAGAGTTGACCATTGGCCATAAACTTAATTGTATAATCATTGAGAAACCCCTGAAGACATTTAAAATGACATGAAAACCACAAAAAACCTACACAATCAACATTCTTTGATCAATTTTCCTTTACTGAATGAAATTTTCAATTTAGCTGATTAACTTTTCCCCTTGATCAACTGTTGAAAATTTTGTTCACTCACTTAATGACCAATTTTCAATTTTCAGGATTGGTCACAGTTATTGTTGATCAATTATTAATATAATTAAATCGATACAATTGACTGTTTCCAGGTCCATTAAAAACACTTACAACAATTCATTTTCACTCTATGTAATTCAATACACTCTTTAAAGTTTAGGTTCAAATTGCGATCTATCCTTTTGGTTAAACTATTGAAAGTGAATATCTTTTTGTTAACCAATCAATTAGGTTAACACAATTGATTCAATTATCATTGTCGGTATCATTGACTTGATTAAATGGTTCCAGGTTGAACAAGATAGTGAAAACTACGTTACAATTTTGATTCTAATTTTTTCTCTTATTTCTTTACAGGCAATATAAATAAATTTTGTTAAGGCCTCACAGTTGGATGAAAAGATGTATTGGTAAATATAAATTGAGCATTGTAATTAACTTTTTTGTTGTTCTGCTTAATATATATTGCTTGTTAAATCATGATTCAAATGTGCTTTATGTTTACTGACAATTAAGATTAATAATTTCATCTTTTGTTTTCTAGGTCAACCCGTGTTCATGATGATGACCCTTACAAAACGAGTTGAAATCACAATCAATCCACTAATTGTATTGCTGAAGACGGAGAAGAAGAAGAAGAAGAAAGGAGAAATTATTAAACAAAACCATCTTCCTTTAACTAAATCAAATTTAACTAAAGGTTTACTGTTAACAGCAGGTAAATCCAGTTTTTGTTCAGCTCAAATTAAAAACATCACTAATCCTAATTATTATAATATTAGTCAGAAAAGCAGAAAGGAGTGAAAATTATTAGCACGATTGTAATATTCAAGTTATGCCAATGTTTTCAATAAATTAGCTACAGGAATATGGAAATGTTTTCCGTAACAAATGATGATCATCATGATGTACATCATTTTCATTCTCATAAACAGCAAATTGACCTTTTACTCTTTCTCGCTCTTCCCGCGCCCATTATCAACGAAATGAAGTTTATCTTGACCTCGTTGAGGCAATGAATCTTGCTAATGGAATCAATCATGATCATGAGCCTGTTGATAATGATATTGCTGTGTTAATTAGCAATGTTTAGCTAAAATGAACAAGTGATAATGACCATTGAATGAACAATATCAACCTTTTCATTTATCCTCAACTTGAGCCAATCACCAGAATTCAGGGAAAAGCCATAAACTTGAATTATTTACCTCAATTAATTGAATCTCTTGTTGCATTGTCATTTAATAGGGAAAAGATGAGTTATTTGAAAAATGAGACAATTTGCTAATTTGTATTGTTGAAGAAACTTGCCTTCAATAACAACTATAAATCTTTAAAAATGTGACAGAAAACATGAGTAGATTAATTTGTTCATTATTAAACAGTCAAATGCTTTGTAGTTATTGTTAATATATTAATCTAATTGTTACAATTAAAATGCGCACACGTAGTTTTAATGATAATGATATTTTCTTGATACAATCATTGTTATTAATGACTTTAATATCGTTAAAAGAGTGAATAGATGAATGATGACAATGATTGGGTTCAATGGTAAAACAAGTGTCTATTTGAGCTGAAAAAATATTAAGTTAATCATTACATGAAGATGATTTTTACCCAATATTAATGTATATTTTGTTGTATATTTTACATGAAAGGAAAAGTGTTTCATTGAAAACAAAAAGATGAAACATTCAAGGTAATGAAAGATTGCGTGAGATGGATTCATATTACATGGTGATGTTGATCCGGATGATGATTATAAAGAAGTGTAAGATTTTGTTACTCTTTTAACGTTGTTTTCCTTCTTCTCTTAAATTGTTGACGGAATGACAAAAATTGTGTTTACTGTAGCAATTGTATCTTTGCCAAGTTGCAACTCGATACCGGAACTTTAACCTCAGCTTTTTTATCATCATCATTTGATCCAATTATATGTATAACCTCTCACTAACTCTCTCCCTCACCTTTCATCCTTTTTTAAATTGACTACAATATTTACGTTTCTGTCTTTTCTTTCAGGTTACTCTTGTTTTTTTCCTCATTTTTTGGTAAATTGCTAATCTTAAAGACGAAGTGCAATGTTCCTCTAAGGCCATAATATCTTCATCATCATCATCACCTTATAGCCTTTAACTGTCATCTCTTTCATTCTGTTCATCACTATTATCGCTGGAGCCACTTTTTTACCTTCAAAGTCTTATAATATTGTTGCATTGAAACGCGTGGCTTGACTTTACACGCTCAACGATTTCTGGCTAAACATTCGTGTTATTATGAAATGGATAACGTTTTTCCGAACGGAATAAGGAAGAAGATGGTGAAGATAACATAATCAAGATGGAACCCAAATATTGATTCAAGATGGTTATCAAATTGTTACCAATAATAACAATAATATTGTAAAAATTGTTAACACTTTTTGAATACCAACACTTGGCTCTAGTAATCATCAATTTTTGAGCTTACAAATTTTCTGGTTCACAAGCAATCACAGTAGCTGGTAAACATTTACTGGAAATACAAATGAAAATTGTTATCAAAGTAACTATTTTTATTTGTAACAAAGTGTTTCAATATAATTATTCAATAATTTGATTATCTTCTTGACTGTTCATCAGCTCTAATCAATGAGTCGATTTGTGTAAACACCAATTGATTGAAAGTGTTGAGTTGCACAATTAAACAATCAATTTAACTGTGAATGTTAATTTGTAATCGTTTGATCATTTCAACAATTACTATTTCTCCATTCAATTGACAGTAATAAGCTTCAATTGCATTTCATCATACGCGGTTGTTGGTCATTTTTATAACAGTTGATGGTGATGATGGTCAAGTATTGATGTATTACGTTTTAAAAAAAGCTCTAGTCAATATTGAAGGATTTGCTGATTTATTCAATTACCCATTAAACTTGATTAAAATAAATCTTTCTTCCTGACTTGAATCTTTTGTTATTTTATTATCATTAGTGTAAGCAGAAAATACTAATAATACATTTTAATATGAATAGTGAAGCCAAAATTTAATAGTAATGAGATAAATTGATTGTTCGTGAGAGCAGCAACTTTATTAAATTTGAAATTAAGGTCAAACGGTAGGAGTTAAATAACCAGAAAAAAGGGTCCAATTGTGATGGAAAAACAAGTCTCTTTGACAGTTGATCATAAAAATATGAATTATCATCATTATTATAATCATTAAATTTTATTTAAAAATAATTGAATTGTTGGTGAAGAGAGATTCCTCATTTACTATAAAATTTGCTAATAAATGATGAGAAAATTGAAGATTAAAGTGAATGTGAGATGAGAAAAGGTATTGAAATTGTTTATATGAAAGGGTTTTTGATTAAAAACAAGAAACAAAGATGATTGAAAATATTGTCAATCAGTGAAACAACAATCGATGAAACTAGTTTCATGAAAGCTTAGTAAACCATGAAAAGAGTTACATTTTAATTTCTCAGCTTATATTTAACTTGCAATTTACCGCAAGTTAATTGCTGGACAATCAAAGTCATTAGTTGTAACTGGAAATGCAAATTTGTCAATCAAATCAAATTTAGCGGTCTACTAATGGTTGTCAGAGAAACCGTTTCCCATTGTTTCACCTTTCAATTAAAGTCACATTTTGTAGCAAAATTGAAGTCTATTTAATTGAATTTACATTTTAATTCATCTTCTCAGTTTCTTAATTATTAATTTGTTGACAACTTCAATTGTGATTGACTACAAGTAGCCAAAAGAGACGAGAATATCTGGCTGGATTGGTTGAATTCACTGATTACTGTAATTTGGATTACAGATCTACTTTTCCATTATACATTGCATTGGATTTTATATTGGATGTTTCTGATTTAATTGCTAGTTTGTTGAATATTCATCTTTAAGTTGGACTGTACCATCACAATTTGGTAAATAAGCAGTTAAAATCGATTGTGGTTACTTGCAGTCAATATGTATAATTACCTGTTTTACAATGTATAGCTCAAGGAAATCAGCTATTTGCTTGAAAGACTGAATTTTGATCAGTGATTGAATTGAAAGTGAAACTGTGATTGAACCAATTAAAATAATCTGAATCTTCTTCCTGATCAAGTTCATTTTCTAGCTGTTAGCTTTTAATTTGCACTCAATTTAACGTTTATCAATCAAGTGTTGCCCAGTTTCTTGCATCTCATCGAGTTAATCGCTACAGCTCATTCATTTTTTCATTTATACACAACTTAAAATTTAATCATCTTAAACGAAATTAATATCCATTTGATTAATTATTCATAAGATACTCTAATTTACCTTGAAATCTATAAGCTATTGACGTTTTCATATCAACAGTTGGTCTTTCGATGAAAACAGACAAACATTGGTTGAAACAAATTCAACCGATGAAATGTATCATTTTAATGGTTTTTGTATTTTAATTTAATCAACCTATCAATATGATGATCAACAAATAATGTATATTGACAGTTTGATTCAATGATGTTGATTAGATATGGTAATGTTATTCAAATGGAAAGCAATCAAACCTAAATCTAATAATGATTATACAAATCGGATCAATTGCGATCAACATTTGAGAAAGATTCAATTTAAACTGTCTAACAAGCTTCACACCTTATTTCACCAAAATCAAATTGAATTGAAAATTTAACTTTTACATTAAATCCCATTTTTCCTCAAAAAAAGCTTATAATTCACCAAAATAGTCATTTAACTGACGATTATGACATTAATGTCAAGCAATGGCAATGAAAAAGGACAATTGAAGATATTGTACAATTGAATGTTGAACCAGTTAATAGCAAATAACCAGATTTATGGATAAGACTAAACTGGTTAATCAAGGTTAAACCATTTAATATTATGATTACTCTGAGATTTGGTGATACAATTGATGAAATGACCTTAAATGAACATCATAACTCTATTTCAATGGAATCTGATCATAAATATATGATAACAATTAGAGTTAACCATTTATTTGTAAATTAACATTTTCAAGATGATTACGATTGTTACTGATGTTCAAAATGCTGTTCAAGTAAACATCATTTGACCGGTTTAACAGGAAAAATAATGTTATTTTTTTTCTGCTCAGTTTTATATTCTGACTTTGAGCTGATTAAAGTTGATTAAATACTAATCATTTTCAGCTAATAACAAACAGCCTCGTTATTGGTCTTATTACGTGAGACTAATTTAAATCAACTGTCAATTTGAATAATTTGACAAAGTCTTTTCACCAAAAGAGGCAAAACTGTTAACCAGAAATTAACAGCAATACAAGTCTAATTACGTTTTTCTTATGAGTGGGTTCAATTAAATTCCTAAACAATTCAAGTGATTATCACTCAATTTAGCTTAAAATACTGATCAATAGAAATAAAAATCAAGTTAAACCTTCGATAATTTCATTTGGTAAATCAGAGCGACTTCAATATGGTTAATTAAATCACAAAAACATAATGATTGTAAACTGATTTACTGAAAAGTGAATTATCAAAGGTTGACTTGAACCATCCATTTCAAGTATTTCATTGATAAATATCTTTTGGTTTTCACTTTCTGTGATTGAAGCGATATTGAATTAAACTGAATTAAATTGTCTCATGTATTGAAAGTGTAAATTCAAGTTGAAACAGATTATGAACAAAACTAGAGCAAAGATAAAGGATTGAAAGCTGAGTAACTGGATTAGCATTGGAAAAGGTTGAATGATTAAACCATAAACTGTTTAATGTTATTATACATTGATGATAAATTGATATCAATGTAATATTTAGTGGTTTTAATCGCTAATTAAGTTGCTCTTGATTTAAGACAATTATCAAACATTGTTGTCCATCTTGTACAGTCCTGGTTAACCCAAAATTTTGAATCAAAATTTCATTCGAAATTTTAATTTTCAATTTTCAAACAATTACGCTTTTAATTGAAGCAAAATTAAAGGGCAAGGCTAGTTAATTAACCGGAAACTTGGAATAATGTTAATTGACAAATGAGTTAATCACGGAAGGAAATTGTTGATTGTTAATGATGATTAGGATTGTAACAAAATAGGTGTCAACGTAAAAATTAAGAGATGAGACTTGAATTGAGACTTGAATTGAGACTTTCAAGTTTGTACGAAAACATTAATTCAACCTTTTGTTTAATAAAATAATCTAATTGATGTTTTAAATTGCACTTTCATCTTCACAATTTGAATTGTTAACTTGCCATGTTTAATCATATTTACAATTTACATCAACATCAAGTGCAAAGGTTTGTAAACCTTCACGAATCTGGTTATTAGATTGAAAAAACTGGTTAACTATGGTTATGGCCATTTTAATGGTTGTATTGTTAAACAGACTAATTGATCCAAAATTAATTGCTTTATTAGTAAATCCTTTTGTTTTGGTAAATTTGTGTTCTGGTTAATCCTAATCAACTTAAATCATCGGTCAAGTATTTATAAACACTCCCAGCCTTGAGGTGATTGATTAATGCAAAAATGGTTCATCTTGAACTTGTAATTGTAACTCATCTGCTAATCATCTTTTCCCTCTTTTCTGATTTCACTTTTAATTCTGATATTGTTCTTGATTGTAAAATGTTTCAATGTTAACCTGTAAAGGATCGTCTTTACGGGTGAAAGTGGCCTGGTTAAGGCTAGTAAAAGTGAAAACCTGAAAATTTCAATTCAATGGTTTCTGGTTGTTGTTTGAAAAAACTGGTTAAAATGTGAAAATAACAAACAAGTTACAAGATGGACTTAACCATGATTCACTCGTTAATCATTCATTTATTAATCATATGTCAAGTGATTTTTATTAAATAATATTTTTTCAAAAGGCTTAAAGTAAATTTGATTAAAATATTTTCACTACGATTAGAGGAGCTTGGAATTGGGAAAAAAGGTCAAATTTAAAGTCAAAGTCATGGAGGGATTAACATGGTTTTTGCATTGAAATAACATGTATTTAAGTGTAAACAAGGTTCAATGATGAGATTTACACTTCTAATCAACACTTTGATGATTGACTGATTGACCCAATTAAACGATGTTGAAGAGAAGCGAGAATCTAAATTGAACAAAATTTCATCTGAAACCTTGATAATTCAAATTATTAAAACCTAAAAAAGGATTGAGACAATTTCAATGGTTTAATGGTAAAAGTATCATTTGACAATTTGTCTGACCTCTCATTGAAACTGGTTAAAATTTGGGTTCAATCTAGACTGTTATGATTAAGATACTTTAAGTTTGTTTGTGTAATTATTTACAAATTAAATTGAAATAAAGCTCTGATGATGAATTAAGATTGATTGTCTTGAATCAACGGCAAACAATGAATCAACAATTAGTAAACAATAAGGTATATTAAGTACAATAGTGATTGGTGAAAAAAATGTTGGTTAAATTAAGGCTTTTAAACAATACAAGATGCAATTGAACAATCAAAGGTTCAAAAATTGTCTCAACAATAAACTATTGTTTTATATTTCAATTGAAGTAATTAATTGTTTAATAAAAGTGTTCATCTTTTAAACGATTCATCGATTCATCGATTCATCGATTGATACCAAAATGTTGTCCTTTCAAGTATATGTTTAGGGCTGAGTGATTTGATTTTAAGGTTGGATTTTGATTTAATCTTAAAATTAGCATCTAGGCCTTAATCACAATTGAGATTGACAAAAATATCGATTGAAAGGTTACAGTTTTACAGGTCTATTTATCATGCAAATCAAGGTATTGGTTAAAAAAATGAGATCATATTTTCAACAGCAATGACAAGACCTAATATCAGGTTGAATAACCAATTTTTTGGGTTTACAATTTAAGGCAATTTGAATGGCAATGTTGACAGAAAATGTCTTTCATTGACATTTTTTATGTTCAGCAATTGGCTAAATCACTGATGGTTATAAATCTAATTTGGTGAAATTGGAAGAATCGTAAAAATTTGTAAAAATAGAATCAACTTTCATTTCTGAATTGATTTACATGTTAATCAGGTGAAGTCTGAAGCAAAATTGAAGTCAAAAATTATCAATTGATTACAATTTAAAGTATCGTTTAGTCAACACTAAATACTAATCGACCATTAAATCTTTCCTAATGATGATTATCATGGTGATGGCGATGATTAACATCAATATTTAAATGTAAATCATTATTTATGAGAAGAGCAAAGATTGACGATTAAATGGATCGTGATGTTTGATTTTTGCCGTGTTTTTGTAACGGTTGCCATTGATCAATTGATCATCAGATGATTAAACATTGATGACAATCAGTGATAAATTTACAATTTAAATTAAAATTCTTACCGTAATTGTTGGTGTCTCTGAAACACTTGCTTTGTAAACCTCTTGAGTGAAAACTGGATTCTGATCGTCAGCGTCTTTAATCCTGATTGTCATTGTTGTTACCTGGGATAAGCTAATGGGATCTCCGTGATCCTGGTTAAAAGACAAGAATCGATCAGTCATTTGGTAAAGTTATGGTCAAGGTAAAGGGTCAGTATTAAGGCCAATGTTAACTCTTTGATTCTTTTTTTATTTCTTAATCATTTCTTAATCTCTTTCCATTAAATTAATTTCCTTCTTCAACAGTTAATCAACACTTTGGTTAAATAGATTGTAATTGTTGGAAAACAAGAAAATACATTTTAACCGTTCATGGTAATAATCATGATTGTCTAGTGATGGCAAACTGGTAAACTTGACTCTAAACCACGCAATTTAATGATTAACTTGTCAAAAGTTAATAGATCAATTTATTAGTTTATTTTCTGTAAAAATGGTTAATCAGTTTTGGTCTAACCAACAATCAACTAAATATTAATGGTTAAGTAAAAGCTGTTTATGTTGGTTAATGAAAATAGCAAGAGATGGCGATGTGAGAAATTTTATATTTGAGCTTTTGATTTAACTAATAAACACGCAAATGATTAATAAATGAACGGTTAAATGAGATAATTTGTATTTTGACTTTTAGATTAAACTTGAATGATAAATATTTTTTTCCGCTCAAATGAATGACAATCAGTTTATTATAATAATAGTGATTAAGATGATTTGTTGGATAACAAATAAAGACAAATCGTAAGGCCCTTTATGTTACATTAAACTTGACAATGAATAGGAGCTGGTTATTGTTATACTGATGATTAAAATTGATAGCAATCGGTATTAACTGTCCACTTACCGAGGCTTGAATTTGAATTTTGAACTCGCGTATTCCATGATCATAATCAAGAGCTTTATTGACAACCAGAATTCCTTCGATAGGATCAGATAATATAAATGAATTGTTCTCATTTCCACCCTGAATAATTAAAAAATGGTTAGAAATTGAAAAGGGACAAAAATTAGTTGAATTGTAGACTGAGAGTTAAATTAGGTTTTGATCATTTAATAATCAACATTATCATGATAGACAATTGTGACCACTAAATGATACCAGATTTGATGGAAAGGTAAATTGGGTTTTTAAGGTTGGAAAGGATTGAAAGACTTTGGTTTTCATTAACCAATAAAGCAAACAATCAATTCAAACAATTGATGAGTTAAATTTTATATCACGAATTAAATCATTAAAGTGACCAATTTGAAGCCAAGTTAAAACCAAAATTAAACCCAAAATGAACCAGAAAATGAACCAGGAATAGAAACAGTTTAGACAAAAACAATATTTTGTACAATATTAATGGTTGATAAATTGGTTAACCAAGGATGTCTTCTGATATTAATTTGAATCGTGTATTTGATTAGAGTCGCTTGACAATTATCTTTATTGTCTCAGCCTTTGGATGGTTAATAATAACTATTTTTTGTTCAATTTGACACATTGATATTGATTGTACTGAAGATTCAATTGTGAGAACAAGTTTGTTAATGCAATTGTTGTTGTTGTTTTTTCTGGCCTCATCTCATAACCTGATAACAAACAACTGTAAATCAGATTGTTGTTGATGATCTGTTGATTCATTACAATTATTTTCAACAAGTTATTATTATTAAATAATATAAAATATCTAAATATAAGTAGCAACATGATTAATCAGCAGCATCAGTACAATAATATCAACATTGTATTATCAACATATATGGTTACTTAATTATGGTGAGATGTTGTTGTTAAGAGTTAACTGTCATTATTTTCAATACTATCAATTTGTATTGCAGTAATTTACAAATCTATCAATTCATTGACCTCAAAATTTATCTCTACTTGAACATATTTATATATTGGTTGAGTTAGTTGGAAATGAAAATTTTAAAACTATTATTGGACAACAATTAAGTGAAACAAATGAACAAAACGATAACCCAGAAAAGATGTTTCTCAAATTGTGTTTAAGTCAATATTTAAATATCGTAATGGTTTCATTGATTTTGGATTATATATTGACAGTTGAAGCTGATAACAATTATCAACCGATAATAAGCGAGAAAAAAACAGCTCAGTTTTGGCTTGTCATTGAGTAAAATTGAAAACGATTCAAAAATAATGCTTTTAAATGTAAATATCAAAACTGTTGCCAAGTATTCAATATGCATCAGTTAATAGCCATTTAAAGCATTATTTTTGCTTCATTTACTGTTTCGGTTCCTGATGATTCCAGTGCAACATGGTGAGCTTCATTTCCTGATTTGTTATCTTTATCTATCGATAAATCTTGCAACTTGAATGGATCATTTTTTTCGGTGTCAATGGAAAGTCAACGGGAAATTTTGTCTCTTCAGGATTGACTTGAAATTGGTTTAACTTGGTCTAACTTGGCTTATTAGGTTGTCATTAAGATCTGTGATCTGCTTGTGGTTTGATCCAACATTACATACCACAATTGAATAAGTTATATCGGAATTGGCAGTATTTGGTTTGTCTTTATCAATTGCATGAATACCACGAAAGATGGTTAATCCAACCGGTGTAAGCTGTAATGTAAAAGATATTGATTAGTTAATGGTTGAGGTAAAGGAAGCTTTAATATCACATCAAATGTTCAGGTAAAACATTAACAAGGATTGTTTGTCAGTTGCATTAAAAATCTAGTGTTTGATCTTTAAGCAAAAAAAGGTTAACCTTTGTCATTATGATTGAGATTCAATGAAAAGTGACAAGAAAAATCTCAGGTTATAAAATGATATTTTTTTAGGTAAACTAAATGTCAACAGTGTAAACAATTGTTGACAATGTTGACTGTTGGATGTTTTCACTTGTTCCAATGGCTGCAACTATCTTTTTGTCAACTACACCAAAATCATGTTTCATTATCATCAGGGTTTTCTTGTTGCTCCTTTTTTGTCTCATTTATACACTTGATAACAATCAGTTATTATTGAAAATGAAAAGGTTAAGTGAAAATGATCACTGAACAAGTTGAAAATGGTTATAATCATGAAAGAAACATCTTTGACGTTTGGAGTCGACCAGGTTACAAGTAATATTCAGTTGAAACAGTCAATGAAACTGAAGAACCAGACTGTTCATTCATTGATAGCTCACTTTGATCAAACTTAAAGACTGGTAAAGCCACAAAATGAACCTGAAATTTCACCTGTTTTTACATTCATTTGTTACTGGTCAGTTTACTGCCTTAGACACTATTGTAAGTTGAACATTTGATGCTACAAGCTATTAGAAGGTTCATTAAATCAACTCACCTCGTCAACCTCCAAATAATATGGGACATTTTGAAATTCTGGTGCATGATCGTTGACATCTTGTACATAAACAGTTACTGGGAGGAAAGCATCTTCCTGTTAATTGTAAAATAATAGAAAGTTGAATTAAAATCAAGAAAATAAAGCAAATGCAACAAAATCTTCATCAATGTGTAAGCTCATTATTCAATCCATAATCTTTGATTGGTGAATCTAATTGATTTGAGATCCGAATGCATCTGAAATGGAAAAGGTGAAATTATTGAAATGATTATAATTTTAAAGATTGAAATGAAATTTGATTCAGTACCAACTATTGATTAAAATGCAAATCACAAAATTTTACAACAACAATATTGGTATAAGAATTAGCATCATCAGGTGTTGTATCAATATGATGATAATCAAATGTGTTTTGTTTGTGAACAAGATTAATATTATTGAAACAATATTTTTGCCATGAAAGGTTATTAAATGAATAAACGTGATTAACTTTAATTTGTGTTCATTGACAGGTTTTCACTTTTGATTGTTACCTTTCAAATGTTAACCTCTTTGTCAATGTGAGCTCAATTGATGACCATTTGATCATCTTATTTGCGATTTAATGGTTGATTAGGTTTCATTTAATCAAACTCAATGTTAACCAACGGAAATAATGTGAATTCAGAAATATTGTGAAGTCAATATTGTTTCCGATAAAGCAACTGATCAACTTATTAAAATTGAAGTGATTAGGTGAAAGTTTAACTACAAAAATTCATCCTAAACCAGTTGTTGAATGTGATTGGGTTAAGAAATGGCTGTTACTTGTGAAATGTAATCATTAACTTTAAACACGCAATCAAGTGCTACTAAAAGTGCACTATTTGGTCACCATTTGGTGTTGTTTTTGTTAAACTGTTCAGTAAACAACATTAATTTACATTAAATTGTAACATGCAATCATATTAACTGATAACAGAAGTAAATAGGAAACTTGATTCAAGATGGTGACAGACAAAATTCATCAGCAAATTCAGACCATGTTTGGATTCAAATGTATAGCCAAATGAAGAAGACAAATTGACTCAAATTAACCTGTAATTAAGAAGTAAATAAGATGATTAAATAGAGTAAAAAAGACAAGTTAAAAATAAATAAATCAGTAGACTTGATTAGGAAGTAAACTGAATCTGTTGAAAAAATTGACCAATATTGTGGTTTTTAGGTTAAATTTCTGTACTTTCTCTCCACAATCAGTGAATTAATAAAATTTAAATTAATCAAATTAAGATTTGAATGGCAGATGATGTTGATACTCTTAGTGGTTGGGATGAGGATGGTAATGAAGACTTAGACTATTGTAAAGATGGCAACATGAAACTGGCAACAAAAAGGTGTTAACAAATGAATTTTAACAGCTCGATGAATCTTTTATCAGATTTAAAATTAAATTAGAAAGTTAATAATGAATAGAAAACATGAGATGGATGTTAGTTGAGTGATGATGTTCAATTAATGTGATGGTTTGTTGGTATTGTTTTCAATGTAAATGTACGGTACAATTTACAGGTTGGATAGACTATCATTGTGATTCCAATATTGTTAACATTTTGCTTTGTTTTCGCGATAAACAAAAGGGTAAGATGGATCAAACGGAGCCTCAAAAATCAAATTAATTTGGGAAAAATGATGAAGCTGTGTTGATGATCACTACAACAATTGATGATGATGGTGGTAGTGGCGATGAAAAGTGGGTGAAAGGAAAACAATTAACAATCAATCGTCATTAAACACAGCATATGTATCAGATAACGTAAAATGTTGAAAAGTGAAACTGGTTGAGTTGGGAAAAGTAGAAGTAACAAGAGTTAACTAGATTGGCTAACTATTATTATAAATGTAACCGTGAGAATGATTGTTGAACACATTTTATGAAAAATGAGCAACAATCAAACGTTGTAATTACAATTATAATCATTATTTATTCATTGATTCACAAAAAAAGGTTAAAATCAATGGAAAAGTTTAAAATTTGAATAATCACAATAGCGATTGAACACCACAAAAGTGTATTCAAAACACCTTTGCTGGCTTTGATTGATTATTCAATTTTAGCAACACAATCAATCTAATCTAATTCCTTAAATATAATATTTCTAATTTGATCCTTCAATTCAATCCATATTTCCAGTCTTGTAACAATCAAAATCCATGTCAGCCTTTAATGATCCTGAATCCAATTTGAAGCCATTGGAATCCATGTTTAGCTTTGTCTTTAAATCTTTGATTGGTCTTGATTGGTCTTTGGCTGGCCTTTGATAATTCTGGAAGTAAATGAGAAATGAATGAAATTAGTAATTGTAATAATTCGATTGTCAACTTAACCAGTGAATTAAACTGTTGATACAATAGTTGGGAATCTTTTTGTCAACAAATTATACACACACCCGATACTTTAATTTACATTTTATTGTGGTTATTATGATTATTGCCTTTTGATTGTTGTTATTGTTGATCATTTTTTTACTCTTCATTACCTACATATTTTGGTGAAATTTTGTTCAACTTGTTGTTCAGGTTTTCCAATGAAAATGATGGAAACCGGAAAAAAAGAACAGAATAAAAAGAGATGAAAAAAGGCCAACTAAACGATGTGTTGATAATGATTATCATAATTATTAATGGGAACTATGTTAAACACAATTCCCAAAGTTAACTAACTAACTAACTAGCTAAGTTATACCTAATGAGTGAACAAATATTTCTGACAAATTTACTGCTCATCTTCAATTCGCATCTACAATCACCACTTGATACAAAATAATTGACTTTATTTTGATTTCAACAGTTATTACAATCATCGCCTTCATTGCAATTAAATGGTTTTACAGCAATTCTATGATCATTAAAGCTTGTGTTTCTTTGATTCATAATTTAATATATATTATTAACTAACCAGGTTTCCTAAATTATCTTCCTGACTTTTGTTATTTTGTGCCAAAATAGAAGACAAAATAACTCATTTAGAAGGAACAATTTCTCACAATTTTACCTTCTTTTTTTACCTAAAATACGAGAAGCAATCATTTAATGAGTATTTGGCTTTGATTCAGTGTTTGATTGGAAACAAAGAGTTGCTTGGTTTGATGATTGTTCAACATCAAATTAATATTGTTGAGAATGGACAAACAGTTTCAATGAATGTTGAGTTGCTGCGCATATTTTAAATCATCAATTGATTTAGGCCTAAAACGTGATAACTAATGATTAATAGACAATCAAAATGATTATTGATCACGAAATCATGATTAAATGAAAATCAAACAAATGATAATCTTAATAGGGAATGGAGAAGAAAGTGATTTAACAAATTGTAACAAAGTTCACTGATACCAGGTAATGTTGATCTTAATTGTCGCTGTTCTGATTAGTTAAAATTGTTGACCCTTTGGTGAATCAACAATTATAATACGGTAAAGGTACAATACAAGAAAGGAGTTAAACTGTTAAAGGTATAAAATCAAGTAAATTCATGTTTCCATGAAGTAAAGTTATGTTGATTTATCATGCATTTATCAACATTTTTGCTAACAATTGACTTTTACAATCTTTTCTGACACCAACGCCAACAGAAACAGCAACAATCAAGGCAATCAAATAAACTATCAATTAGAGGTGAAAGAAATTGATAATTGAAACAAAATCTCAAGTTACAATTTAAATCATACAATGTAATTAGATAGGTTAAAATTTGATTATCGTTATTTGTTAAGATTGAAAACAAAATGAAATTTAATCATGACTTTTTGAGGAAAAAATGATTGAATTTAAAAACTTTCATTTTCAATGCTTAGAGCTGGTTAGCTTGGGTTTGATGAATCTTCCGCAACACTTGAGTTTAAATTGTAATTAATCTAAAGATCAAGGTTTCATTTGAAAGCTTATAATTTGTGAAGTAAATTTTAATCACTGGTGAGTGTTAAAAAATGATTTGAATGAAACATCAGAAATTGTAAGACAACTAACAATTTAGATGTTTAACAGTTCTAGTCACTTGTAGCAATGAAGCTTGTTGTTTGATTGTTGATAATTGATGCGATGATTTCAATGGCTTGGGTTTGAGTTATCATGAAATGTCAGTGTCACTACTTGTCAGGGAAAATATGATATCATCTAACTGGTTGATTGTCATTTGTGTTGTCTTGATTACGCTGATCTGTTGTGTTAATGAGTTACTGTCAGGTTCACAAGGGACTTGGTCAAACCTGACCTTTGACTGTGAGATAATTGAATGGCTTGTCTTGGATCCCAAGTGAACCTTTCCTCCATTAAGTATGATAAAGATAAAACTCGATTATTGCTGGTTCTAAATTACAATAATAATAATAAATGAAAACGCATATATTTGACTGGTAAACGCTGCTAAGACCAATTGCTTTCATCATCTGTTACGCTCTTTATACACTATGAATGGGAAAAGGACAACATACATTTATATTAAATAGTTTTCACGGGTTAATAACAATTAATAAATTAAAAGGTTAATTACCATAATCAAGAAGATCAAATCAACATGCCAACCTTTCCAATGAAGCCAGGGTTAACGGAGCAATTTAATGTTTTTTGATGCAATATTTTCAATCCATTTGATTCAATAAAAGTGATCCTCTTTTCAACGGCAACTATCTTTTGCATCATCAGCCTAAAGACATTTGAATGCCTTTTGAAATGTAGAGCGAAAAATTCATTTGCTTGTTTCCATCACTAACATTTAATCCATTGATAATAGTCATCATCAACATCAGCTAATTAAAAAATAACAAGCCAGTTAATTAAATTTACAGCTTTCACTGATTAACAGATTGTTGAGATGTTGATTGAAAGGAGTGGCTGGCATTCTTAGGTGGATATTGTTCAATTTGGTATTTACATTTTGGTGGTAGATTGGGTTATTTGGTATTAATAAACATTGATTTACTTACATTCATTTGCTTAAATTAATGATGGGCATTTGAAGTGGTCATGGATAGGCGATTGTTTTTTTCGTAAAACAAATCATCTTATAATGTTTACACATGATGAAGGTTTTGTGCAGATAAGTTGTCAGAAGACAAAGGAAAATGATTTGAATAGTTACTTACCGTGCCACTGGGTCCACGACAAGTTAATTTAAATTTAAGAACACTTTGAGGATCTCGCTGTTAAATTAATCATATCAAAAATAAACAAAGAAAGAAAAGAAAAGGAAAATTGTAATTAAATTAGCCTAATAAGCTAAAAGAAATAATTAACGTTTGTGTTAACGAAAGGGAAATATTTTTCAAAAGCCTTTCACTTTTCAAGTTTCCCGGGTTTAAGGTTAAGGCATTGAGTCATCGTCTTTTGAATAATTGCAACTCTTTTGTATTCAAGTTTACTTTCTAATGATTAACGTCTGACTTATTCTAACCCATGATGTTTTTGTTCTAAATTAACTGTAACAGCAAGCTGATTAATTGTTTGTGTTGACATCAGTGTAAATTAAAAAGGCTAAAGTTATCTGGTCAAGTTGTGGAAGGAATAATTCTTTGTTTATCTCGTAGCTTTGGATCAGATGGTATTGAAAATAACGGCTTTTGTTTTTTCTCGTTTCATCTAATGGACTTCAAAGGATTTTGATTCTTGCCTTAATTAGTTTTGTATGTATTTGTTTATTTTAAATCTATTCTCACTTATATTCTGAGTCTGAAAATTGCGATTTCTATTTTTCTGCTTTAGTAAACACACCATGGAAAGCAACGGTTAATACATCTTCTGGTTTTGCTTACCCGATCAACAAGATCCTCCAAGGAATGAGCAAGTTTTATGGCAACAGTTTTATCATCTATTTCTTCGTATTTGAAATAATTAATATCACTTAAACTATTGTCCACGGCTTCCAGTTTAATCTCCATCCGTGGGTGTACTTCTACTCTGAAAACCTCATGACCTGTGTTCAAGGTGTTGTGATTTGTTTAAAACCATTTGGATTCCAAGTGGTTAACAAAGTGTTTGGAACGATCGAGGGAAGAGAAAGAGTTTATCAGTTGTGATTCAATTGGATTGATTAATCAGTGAAAACCCAATAAACCGATCATTCGTGAAAGTCAGTTCAAGAAAACAAAAGATGGAAAAGCTACGATCTGATTAATTGAGCTCACTTTTGCAACTATCCTAGAAATAAAAGTTACTGTAAAACTGTGAACTTGAGATGGAAGGCAATTCACTTTCAAAGCAAGCTACTTAAAAGCCTTCTCAAGCTAATGGTGCACAATTATTCAGGATTAATTCAAATAAATTGGAAATATAAATTACCTGATCACTTTTGCTGTTTCAAACTTGATTCTGGTTAATTGGTCATTTACAAGGTATTAATATTTGATCAGCATTAAATCACATAATGTTTAAATGTTACTGGTCAAACGTGTTAGCAATAGATTTGAATTGAATCAACTAATTAATGTTCATATATTTTGTTTATGATCATAATTCATTTTGATTTTAGTTAATCATTTAATTATTTATTTTCTTTCATTGTTTGCAATCATTTGATTAATTTGAAAATATAATGACTCTTTTCTGTGACTTTTTGATTAGGTCTTATTGTTTTGGACTCAACATTATATATTAACAATTTATGTTAATCGAAATGTTTACCTGTTGATTACCACTGCTTATACCTGTAATACTGACACAAAATGGAACATTGAATCATCACATTTACTAATTGAAAAGTTCTCTGATTAGATGTAAAATTCATCTTGAATGGAAAACAATTCAAAAGAAATAACTAACGGTATGACCCTTGTCGCCTACTACAATTGTATTACAATTACAATAATCAATTCAATTTTACTTTTCTTCCGTCTCATCCCAGTTAAGGTAAATCAACAAAAAGTGAAATCAAAAAAGTCTCGAATTCTTGTCTTTCTCAAACTCATCTTGAAAGTTTACACCTAATTACTGTTTAATTATTTACAATTGGAACTCCGCTAAAACCAAAAACAGCATTAAACAAGTAAGAACCAAATGGAAACTAATCATCTCGCTTTTTTGTAAATATTAATTTTAACTTTAATCTTCTTTTCATCTTATAGCTTTCCAATTGTTTGATTGACTTCAGGTTCAAAGTAAAACCATAAAAAAACTTGAACGGTTTATTGGTTGACTACTGTTGAGCCAGTTTAGTACTTACCGACTTCGAGGTTCTCCGCAACTCTTTCAAACCTTCGATTCTCTCCAATTGGATAAAATTTACAACCTATTGAGCCAAAATGTTTATATTTAAACAAAAGAAGAAAGTGGAATAAAAAAACAATGATTAGTAAGTTAATTAACAGGAATCAAAATTGGAGAAAAAATGGATTACAAGTTGAACATGATGAACATGGCAAGAATATAGTTGGAAAAAAATATGTAAGAATAGGAATAGTCTGAAAATTAGATCAAATCAAAGATAATACCCAAATGAAACCTTAAACTGACAAAATGTATTAGGGTGTCAAATATATTTTGCGGTTCACTATGAAAAAAAGATTTGATTGTGATCTTTTTTGGCTAAAACATTACTTAGCCTTAATTAATCAGTATAAAACAAAAAAATCAAAATCGCACAAATATTCACAAAATTATTGCATTTTTACAGCTTTTTAAAGGGTACAAAAATCGACCAAAATTTTTTTTTTCACCAACTTTTTTCATCAAATTTTCTAGCGACGCGTCACAAAATTTTTAACCTCAGATTCTCAATACTTGCGAACCTAACCTAAGTACCTGATCTCATCTCTATGGACCCCAATCTATCTTAATTTTTAGAAAATTCATTCAAAGAAGACTAGGTCTATTCAGGAACGGAGGTCAAAATCAATTTTGTCGATTTTTTCGGTATAAATATTCGGACGCTCACAAAAACGACATCAATTATTCGATTTGGAAAATTGAAACGATATTTTAATACTACGAGTCCATAATTTGATTGAATGAAATTTCAGTCAATTCTAAGCTAAACTTCATACCCAACCGCAAAACTTATTTGACACCCTAATATTTCACTTGTGAGTTTAATTTCCAGTAATCTCAACAGTTGAATGTTAATTTCTAGGCGCTTTTACAAAAATACCAAAAATTTAGGGCAGGTAAACTATTGGGCTGCAAGTTGCAATTGGAAGTTTTCATTATATAATATTTAATTCTATGCAATCATATTTAAATGACGTTTCTGTTGGTTTATCTATTTTTTAGACTGATTTAGTTCTGTTTTATTAATAGGTTGTGCACTAATAAAGGAGAACTAGAGGAAAAAGTAAAAGTAAATTGTCACCAAATCATACGACGAACTCGTGTTAGTTGCTCAATTTTTATTGATGTGTATGTCTATTGTGTGATTCGTAAGATTTATTATCAATACAAATGACAAGAGAAAGGTGAAAAATGAATCTCGATTTATGGAAGGGTGGTGATCAAGACAATTCATTCCCGTGTTAATAGTTATGAGCACTTAGATGCCATTTCTGAGCTAATCAACCTTTTAGAATTAACCGTTTTTCATGTGAACACTTGTCAGAAAATTTGAAGCAATTTAGATTATTTTGATTAAATTTTCCATCTAAAGTAACAATTTGACTTGAATTAGACTCTTAATCTTGACCAATACTTATAAAAGATGATTTAACACAATATTCTCATATCATTAACACAAGTCAATCCAGTCAATTCACTAGGAATACTCAACATTAGTTATACTTTTTAACTGTGCGCCAAGTAAAATGAAGTTGACAGTTTATATTCGAACCCACCAGATTAAATTAATTAAATCATGGTTTTGTCTAATGTCTTTTATGGGTCTTGGTGCCTGCTGTACACTTCTGGGCTCATCTTTACTCGACTTGCAGATCAGGATGAGCGAAACGTTTGCAGTAACATCTAATTTAGTTCCAAGTCGATCCATTGGATATTTAATTGGTGGAATAATTTGTGAGTTATTTTTCAATGTTATTCAACGAGAAAAGATATTCATAAGATATTTAATGTAAAATTTTATTCAGCTGGAATAATTGGTCGATGGCTTGGATTCAATATGATTTTGTTCATCAGCAATTTTTCCGCTGGACTTTTCATCGCTCTTGCTCCTTGGTTCACCTCATTTTATACTGTTTATTCATTATTCCTGTTGTCTGGAATATCACAAGGAATCTTTGATATCAGTAAGTTATAAAAGCAACAACTGGTCAGCTGAAAAAGCATTAATAATCACTTTTGTTTTACAGCATGTAATACTTATATACTACAGATATGGAAAGGTAATCCGCAATTATCTAATTACATTCAAATATTGCATGGATCCTTTGGTATTGGCTCCTTATTGACGCCTTTAATCACTCAACCTTTCTTATTACCATTGAATGAAACTACAAATGGTACAAAAGATGATGCTGCCATTTTGGGCAGTTATAAGCCAGATGATGTTAAAGTTCAATATCCATTTTTGTGTGTTGGTTTTTTTCTGATAATTGCTTCAGTTGGATTTTTATCGTTTCATTTCAACGAGAGATCAAAGAAAGGTTCCAATAGTGATTCAGATGAAAATACAAGTAATTCCAATGACCCACCAAATTGGAAGAAATATTGTGGTATTGCTATGCTATCAATCATTGCTAACTTGACATTTGGCATCCAAACATTGATTGGTAAGAACTTTTTTAATTGTTTTAACCAATCTACTTGTGTGTCTAATTTACTAACATTTTATTTACATTTTATTTCTCAGGCTCATTAGGTCCATCCTTTGCTGTTAAATCAGAGCTTCACATGAGCAAGCAAACTGGTGCAACTTTGGTAACCATTTTCTGGTCCGTTTTCACATGTTATAGAATCATATTCATCATTTCATCCAATTTTATTCATGAAAATCACTTAATGTGGATCAGTTATGCATCCCTTCTGGCTAGTGTAGTCGTGAGTGTCCCTCATGCAGCATGGAATCAATTGTGTATCTGGATTACAATGGTTCTTCTCGGAATCGGATTCTCGCCCTTATTTACAGTCTCACTGAGTCGACTTCAAAAATATTTCCTCCTTTCCAATAGTTTAGCGTCCTTCATTTTTATCAATGGTTCAGTCGGTGAATCGATTCACCCATGGATTGCCTCTAAATTAATGGAATCGGATCCTGTATTATTTGTTTACTATCTTGGATTTTTATCATCACTATTTGTATTCACATGTTTCATCGTTCCAATTATATGTGAAAGGATTTTCAGAACGGAAAAGAAACGAGATAACACCAGAACAGCTTCTATTCGCTCTTGGACAAGATAAAACCTCATTAATCATTTAATTTATTACATCAAGTGTTGGAAAATTTCAATCATTATTCCAATAAGTCTACAAAGTTTGTAAAACAAGCTGATTTGTAATAAATTTCAACAATTTCCATTGTATTTGAGCAGTTTCATGTTTTAATTGTTGATTTTTCATTTTACATTTGTTTTCATTTGTATTATAATTCCTCAAACTCTGTTCTTTCAACATTATAAATGTATTTCGTATTTACTTTATGGTTTTTTTAATAATATTAGATTATCAATTCAATTGTTAGTCAATTAGATTAACCGTGATCCTGATTTTATTATCATTATTTTTTTCCCTTTTATTGCTTATTAACAGCTTTTACAAGTTGATTTAAGGTTCCTTTCATGAATTAACTCTTCTTTATCATTTATGCATTCCTCTCTTTTTTTGCAGGTAAATTAATTTACTAAACAACAAAAAAGGAGAACAAAATTTACCAACAAAACAACAACAATAATAATGATAAACAGCAATTACAAGAGCTAACATACTTTGGAACGTTTGAACAACCTCACCATAAATGAATCTGAAGATTACATATTTATATCTTTAATCAATCCAGATGAAGATTCAGATGGAAACAAGATGAAGTCTTTATGGTGAAACAAGATGAAAGAGGGAAGCTACGATAAAGAGCCAAAAAGATAAACAAAAAAAGGTGATCGAGAAAAAAAGGTGGCCTAAGTGTTCAAGATAGAGATCGATTTAAAGAGCAAAAAGAGCAATAAAGTAACCACATTGTTGATGTTGCCAAATCGTGATGCTGATTTACCTGGATTTTGAATCACATTTCTGTATGGCACTTCTGAACCAAGAAGGAACCAGAACAAGATGATGGCGATGATGAAGATCAAATGAGAAATAAAAAAGAGGGAAAGAAGATTTTCGTTTCTCCATTTGAATTTCAACCTTGTTTCTCATCATCGCCATAACCTCATCGAGCCAATTATTCTCAATCATCATCTTCCTCCTTCATCTTCGTTCCTCTTTACTCTTCCAACATCATTATCTACCTTGCTTTGCCTTTTTTGCATCTTATTTTTTATTATTGATTTCACTCTCTTTTCACCCTCAACATCTATTAATTTATTATTTTTAACCTCATATTCATTGCCTTGGATTTGATGAACTTCAGTTTAATAGCTTTACATGATTATTGGTATCATTTGAACTGTTGGTTTCACAAAAGAGTTCATTAATAGGTTAAGACTTGATCAAATTTGGTGAATAGGTTTCAACAAAAAAAGATGATTTGGTTATAAGATTGTAAATTGATTGTTTGTAATCTATTTATAAGCTCATTGTAAGCATTATTGATTTGATATTTTCTGCATCATCGTCCATATTAATCCCAGTATGAGCAAACTAAATATTTATCAATTCATCACTGCTTTGGGTAAACCATTACAGTTGCTTTGTTCAAGTTTGCATGTCCAAAACAATCAATTGAATTACATTTTCTCTCGGTATTATCTTTGTATTCAAATTCTGTCTTCATTTGTCTCCTGATTTTCTCTCATCCATCTTACAGTCGTTCATGACCCTTTGATCATGTTAAATTATGCAAACATCTAGTAACCTCTAAACCATGAGATACTGGTAAATGAATAGCAATAGGAAATAAAGGGTTCAAATTGACATTTCCTGTGTTCAAATGGAGCTTAAATTTGCCATGTAAGTCATGTTAAGAAAGTGAATGGCAAATTAATCTTAATAATTGATTTAAATTAAAAATAAAATTCATTTTAAACAAAAAACTTGATATCTTAAAATGCAATCAAAATGAGCCAACTGTCAATTCATCGAAGTGCGAAATTATTTCATAAAATTTTCACTCAACAAAAATGTATCTAATTTGTAATTGAGTTTAAGAATCTATTCACAGAAATTTTTACAGTTACAATTAAACTTGAAACATCTAAATTGTGCATCAAATATTGAAAAATCATTAATTGTAATTTTTTGTTTTGATTATTGAGGCTATTCATACTAATTTTAGGTTGAAATAGCCATTTTGGTTACTCACACTAACTGTAAGTTTCATTTTTTAAGGCTGATTGTATTATGAAGTTTTGTCCAGATAACAATAAGGAAATATCTTGCTTGCTTGCCAGTCATTTATTTATTTACCTTATTATTAGATGATTTAATTCAAATTTTTGGCTTTGCTTCGGTTAATGTCGTGCAATTACATTAAACACTGTCTACCATTCGTATAAAAGGTAATGTAATCCTTTTTAAAATCATTTAATTACATTCCATCTTGATTCCAATTTTTTAATGTCATTCCTTTTTCCTATTTTAAATGTATTATTAGATTTACTAGCTTTTCATTTAGATTGTAAATTGTACATCAACACTTTGGTTTCAACGGACATTAATGCAAAGCCATTTTCAACATCATCTGTTTAGTCTATATCACATCCAAACGATGATGGCAGCTACATGATGTTTTGATCACATAAAGCGGTAACCTGATCAGATGAGTTCGATTAAGGTTGGATTACTGATAAAAATGAAAAACAAACCAATCATGATTTTGAAGCTGGTAATTGAATAATTATCCACACAAATAATGATAATGGCTTGAAGAAGTCAAACAGGCGATGTCAATAGGAAAAAAAGCAAAAGAGATTCAAGATTTTTTAGGATATAAAGAGAGAGTGAAAGGTGAGTTAAATTTGGTTACCAGTTAATGATTATTTCCTTACTGAACTAACCAAGCTATGCTATTTTCAGGTTACTCCATGAGTGTTTGATAGCGTGAGAGACTGATCATCCGTTATGTTGAATCTTCACCAATCATTGATTATAGCTGTTTTTTTTTGTGTGATGCTACTTTTGATTTCTCCCTTTCTCATCTTCTATTAGCTGCCACTATCATGATGTAATTAATATTTCGAAATGATAATCGTTTTAATTACTTTTTTTCTCCTACCACTATCAGAGTGTCAACAATTCAATTTAACCTGGTTTTGATGGTTTCTCCAATCAACTGTCAAAGTGCCCTTTACATGATCGATCCTGTTTTTGTCGCTTTCATTTCAACTTTCATTGGATTACCAATTTTTATGGGGAAACATCTAATATCCAAACAAGGCGTCATTAGTGTTTTATTTGATAAACATCTAACTGTGATCAGTAAACGTTGGTTGACGGTTTCAGGGTGATCCTCATTTGAAACGCTAATGGTAAATCAAATCAGTTTTGCAATCGATTGGTCAGTCAAGCAAAAGCAACAGGAATTAGGGAAATGACTGTATAGACCAATAAGAAGACCCTACTGGCCAAGTAATCAACAAATAATCAACTCTTTTAGGTCAAATTAGTCAGGTCAATGTCCTCCTTACATGTTGACAACTCTAAGTTGATTACAATTTAATATATTAATAAGTATCTCTTTTTTTGCTGCAGTTGTCTATTCTTCCAATTTGCTGTTGTATTGATGTACCAGGCATTGGTTTTTTGGGTTCAGAATGGAAGAGAAACATGACAACACGAAAATGATGGTAATGGTGATGACAGTGTGAGATGATTCAAGATGAAGGTAGACGATGATTATCATGATGATGATAATGAAAGGTTTCATAAAAGGGCTACTACTAGCTGTTAACATCTAATCACAAGAGTTACAAGAAAAAGAAGAAAAAAGCTCAATCCTTTCAAAATTTATTTAAAATCAGCCAGTTAATCAACCATTAGTCTAGACTATTTTTGATGAAATAGTCAATTTTCATGGCTAAACATGGTTAAATATAATGCTTTAGCCAATATAAGATATTTGTAGCTTGAAAAATGGATAATAATATTGCAAGTTAGAAGAAGAATAAGAAAAATAAAGGATTTTATTAAAGTGCATTATAATGCATGATATTAGTTGAAAGGAAAGGATTAAACGATCAGTTGAAACGGAATGATATTTTTATTATTTGCCGTATTCAATTTACATTTAACCCTTTACCTATTTTATGGATTACATGGATTAAAAAATACATGTAAGCTGGTTTATGGTCTATATGCTAGTCGGTAGTAAATAATGCAATGATTACAGCAAATAATGATGGTAATACTGCATTTAATAATGAGATAACAGACAACAAATAATCTATTTTTTTCTTATTTAATTTCAATTCCATACAATTGGGCCAAAGTCAGGAAAGATTCATAAAATTTCAACTATTTTAAGGTCAAATTTTTAACCCTCAACCACTGGAACAGACTTTTTCCCTAATCCTAATCAAACATCCAATTTTATTTCAATTTATTGATTGTTTTTTTCTGTTTTTTTTCAGTGAAACTACCAGATTGAATTTATGAACCAAAAGAGATTGATAATGAAGAGCCAAAATAATCAACAACGAATTCTGGAGACAATTAAATTTGTAAATTGAAGCCTTGAATGATACAGAAATAAGTCTTGAAATTGAACGCAATCAATGGATCTGGGTTGACCAGTAACTCAAGCTAATACAAAACAGCATGAGTACAGTCCTGATTTGTTTTACATCCTCAGCATACTCTTCATTTGGCTCTTCACTTTGCTCTTCATCTTACTCTTGATAGTATTTTTAAAGGTATTCTTGATGAAACTCTTCATCCTCATGATCTTCACTTTTATAAATCCTTTTTTTTCTAACTCATCTTTATTTTTGTTGCTTTCTTTCCTCTCCCTCTGTGTGCTGACAGGTAAAATTTGGTACAATTTACTCTTGGAATGGAATAAAAGGTTTAAAGGTTAATTCATAATGGATGCAACTTGTTGAGAATAATGAAAAAGAAATGAGAATTGATGGCGAACAAGAAAAAGTAAAATTTCTCTTCTTGAGAATGGATCAATTGAAGAAGGCTTAAAGTATCTCAAATGAGCAGACAAGAAAGAAGTGATCTCTAAAAATTAGATGAACTGTTAATAATAATGGAAGCTGATGATTTAAAATGGTTAAAATAATAATCACAATAATACCAATAATGATTCAAGATAATCACCTTTTTATTTATATCGTCCATCTATTGCAATCTATTGGTTCATTGATTGACGGAAAAAGGTTGATCTTTCAACGGAATGACCTTTATCTTTTATCTTTCTTTCATTCCAAGATTCATTAGATGATTATTCCTGAGTTGAATCACTTTTCACTTTTATTTGTTTGATTATAATTATAATGATAATTTTCACCTATCACCTGACTGATAGCAATGAACAAAATTAGATTTGAAAACAGTACTGGCTTGATAACTTATAATCAAATGTTACTTCCTTGTCTTTACATTTGTTTTGCATTTTATTTACCTATTGACTTATATCTTTTGTACCAACTGATTGAAAACCGACTCTTGTATTACAACAATTAAACATCCGAAGTCCATTTTCAATCATCAGGTTCATCTGAATGTCTAATACTATGAAATGGCTTCAATAGGAATGTTCAATGTTTTGGTTTCAACTGTAACCTGATATACAATGTGCTTGAGAAGGCTAACATGTCCTGTTTTTTGAAAAATTGTGTTTACTTATGTTTATGTCACCTTGAAGGGGTCAAGTGATTATGAAAAACATGAAAAGGAAGGAAAAACTCTGAAAATTTTACTGAAAAGACAAGATTTTCATCATTCTTGATGTCAACTTAAACAAAATTAACTTAAACAGTCAATAATCATCGTTTAACCAGATTAAATTTCGTTGAGATGTTGGCTCTCATTAATGATAAACTGTAGGATAAAATAGCCAAATATCATTTTAAAGATGATTCTAATCAATCTGAATTTGAATGGAAATGATCTACAATTTCACTTCAGTTTAAATCCATTGCTTAATTTATTTTTCAAATACGTTCAATTTACTTAGTAACAAATTCTTGGCCCTTTTTTATGCTAGCTTTGAGTTCAGGGATGGCAGCTTTAACAAGATCTTCTTCATAAGCAGACAATTGACCTAGACCCAGATTTTTGACCAAACCGTTTTTGCCTAGATGAACTGGTGTGGCGAAATAAGATGCATCAGTAAGGTCGGATTGTACGTAAGCACATTCGACAACATCAGGTTTTCCAGCTAAGCCATCCAAAAGAGAGAAGGCGAAACGGGCAGCAGCGAAAGCCATTGATAAAGTTGCAGATCCAGCTCCAGCTTTAGCTTTGACTACCTCAGTTCCGGCGTCTTGGATTCGTTTAGTCAGTGCATCAATGTGGTCCTTGTCAAAACTAACTGAAGGAGTCACTCGAGATAAAAGTGGAATAATGGTGATACCAGCATGACCTCCAATAACCGGTACATTTGTTGTAACTGGATCGAGTCCTTTAGCCTCGGCTACAAAAGTATTGGCTCTGACCACGTCTAAGGTTGTAACTCCAAACAAACGAGCTGGATCGTAGGTACCCGCTTTTTTCAAAACTTCAGCAGCAATAGGTATGGTAGAGTTGACTGGATTGGAAATCACCCCAATTAAAGCCTTGGGGCAATTTTGAGCACAAGCAGCTACCAAGTCCCGTACAATTGATGCATTGGTATTGAAAAGATCATCACGGGTCATACCGGGTTTTCTGGGAACACCAGCAGGAATCAATACTACATCAGATCCTTGAAGAGCCTCTCCAAGTTGTTCTGGTCCCAAATGTCCAGTAACTTTGGCTCTAGAGTTGATATGGCTAAGATCAGCAGCTACACCAGGAGTATTGGCTACATCATATAAACTAAGGTGGCTAATTAATTTACTTCTTTTCAAGAGTAGAGATAAAGGTTGGCCTATTCCACCGCTAGCACCAAGAACAGCGACTTTAGCTTTCAACATTTTTAAGTAAAATTGTTGTAAAGGTCTGAGACAAATCAAATCAGCCTAAAGCTGCCTAAAGATACATTGTTATACTAATTTTTGCTCCTAACACAATCAGTTTGAATCATGATTATTGTACACTGATTCTGTATAATAAAATTATTTTGGTTGCTTAACCACTAAAAACCAAAAAGATGAAAAGTCCAGAAATTTTTCTGTTTCGATTGTTTTTAGTTGAGGAATTGTATAATGAACGGATGAATTTAACCGGGTTACTCATAAGATGATTCTAATCAATCTGAGTTTGAATGGAAATGATTGTCAATTTCACTTCAGTTTAAATTCATTGCTTAATTTATTTTCCAAATACGTTCAATTTACTTAGTAACAAATTCTTGGCCCTTTTTTATGCTAGCTTTGAGTTCAGGGATGGCAGCTTTAACAAGATCTTCTTCATAAGCAGACAATTGGCTCTATTGACTCTGACCACGTCTAAGGTTGTATGGATCAAGTGATTATGAAGAACATGAAAATTTAGGAAAAACTCTGAAAATTTTACTGAAAAGACAAGATTTCCATCATTCTTCACATCAACTTGATGTAGGTAGTTTAATGTTATACTTGTCATTGGTTTCTTGATTTTTTATTCATCTCTCATTATTCAATGGTAAATGGGTTGAGATTTTGTGAAAGTAAAGAAACAAAAAACTGAATGAAAAGATGAAAATATGATGATGACTGTATGATGATAAAAGGTGAAAGAGAAAGAGGATGATGGCTTTAGACAGAAGAAGATAAAGATGATTTGTGAGTCTTTCCCTTTTTGCTCTTTACTTTTCACAATAATAATGAAATACTCAAAAACTGGATTGATAAGTGGAACCAGAAAGATGATGGTTTTCAAAGCTTAACCCCTGAAGAGTTTCAATTTTTGATTTCACATTTCAATCGATTACATATTACAGTTTGATTCAAAGCTGCATCTTATTGATCATTTTATTGAATGTTTCCGATCTTATCGTCATTAACATTATTTCATATTAAGCCACTAATCAAAGCATGAACGAGAAAAGAAGAGGTTCAGAAAGGTTGAAAAATTTCAGTTAGCTGGTTACAATGTATGATTAGGGTTGAACAGGACAACTCGATTAGTAACGAATGAGCTTTATGTTTATTTAAGATGAATTCTGGTAACCGGTAGCATGATAAGCACCAATTTCAATTTAACATTTGATTAAAAATAACTCTTCTTTTCCAGAATCCAACAGGTCAACCCAATCGAAACCCGATTAACCAATAAATGTAACATGTTTGCTTTCAATTTGTCACTCCTTTCAAATTTGATTTTGATTTTTCTCTAATTATCTTTTCTATCTTTAATTATTCAGACAATTCATCAAAATATCATGTTCAAAGTCATCTTCAAGTCCAACATTGGAATCAAGTTAACCATTGGAAATACAAAATAATGTTTAACCGGTTAATATGAGAATCACAATGAATGTAAATTGGATGCTTTTAAATGTATGTGACTCTGTCCCAGTTGATCTTTCAGGCTAATAGCGTACGACCCGATAAAGTGATGGGTGACGAGGTTAACATGATAATGATGGTTATGAAGATGAAGATGAACTATTGCTCTCATCTTAACCTTTCTTCCTTCACTTCTACCTTTTTAGTTACACTCATTGAGCTCATTTGATTTTTTGAAGACAAAACGGATTCTCGGAAGTGATCAAGATGACATTTTTATTCATTTTTTTCTCCTTCTTTACCTGACATTTCTTGTGTTCGTGTTTTACTCTATTGAAAATTACATTAATCTTTCAAACGGTCAATTACAACTCATTTTACTGGACAATTCATCGTTCCTCTTAACCAACCTTAAAAAACTGTAATCACTTTAACACAGAAGTTTAATGAGTGAAATGAAAACATGAAAATTGTATCAGTTATTGAAGCTAAATGAAGCCAGGAAAGTGATTTATCACAGCATTGTATGGTGTTAATATTATCAACTGAATGGTAATTATAATTGTATAATTATAATCTGGTTGTCACAAAATTAAACTGAAATACCATTTACAAGGAAATTACGGGTTAAGATAATTTTCAATTGAAAATCCAAATATAACTTGATGTCTTTTAACGGTTGTCAGGAATCAAAGTTGCTGATGATATTTTCATTTCTTCATCATTTTTTAATTATTGGATCATCGATGGAAAGAGAGACTGAATTGAAATTGAAATTACTCTTTAATTCCGACTATTAAATTGTCCTTTTTTCGCAATTGTTTACAGGCTAGGTTAAGGTAGGAAGTCAACCTTGCGGGTTAATTGTGATGGTTTAACTTTCCATCTTTAACGGTTAATAAGGATTGTCCAAATTAATTTGATCACGCTATTTCAATTGTAGAAACTTTCATTTTCATTTCCATTCTTCAATCAAGTATGTATTTATCATTTAAATGCCATCTAAATGGCTTAACATCTTGAGCCTTACTGCTTTCCACTAATTTAATTGTCCATTTTCAATTTTATGTTCATCTTCAGGATCATTGGATAAATCACGGCAATCGGCCTGATCACGGAATCTTTTAGTTACAATCATTTAATACTTGTACAGACTGGACGGCTTAATGACAACGAGTTACACGAGTTAAATATTTACAAAATTTGTATCAAAATTGAAAGGAAGGAAGTAAATTTTGAAATGTAAACGAGTCAAAACAAAACGCTAATTGTCATGTTCATCATGTTCATCATTAGATATTATTATGAATTTAGGAATCAATGTTTACCTGAGGCAAGAGTTGAAGGTGCTTGGGATGCTGTTAATGGTATTAACAGGCCAAATGTTAACAAATATATCAATGGAGTTGATAGAGATGACATTTTTATAAATATATTATTCCGATGATAATGTTTGGTTAAATTTAAACTCCGTTGGAACGGTTTATTATAACGGTCAAACATTTTGTAAATTGACACAATTTGATTGTATGACACTTGATTTTTGTGAGATTGAACCTTTTCTCCGTTTGATTTAATCTCGCCACTTGATTTAACCTTTATGTAGTTGGTTTATTTCAAGTTTGATTATCAACAAACAGCTGAGATATCAACCATTGGTGACACTTTTTTTAACTCTCATGTCCATAATGTTGGCCGTTTGTAAACAAGTTGAGATGTTTCACTGTTTAAAGATGATCACAAAATATTCAATAAAATTTACCTTTAAATAATCATCAATGTTTTTTCAATCAATGACAATTCACTTTACAATTTACAAAATCACTAAATTTTAACATAGATATTTATCCGATTTGCATTGTTACATTTGCTTCTTAAGACGCTTTCATTTATACATGTTGTTGCACGTAATTTATTTTATATCAACAAGTAATCAAAATCCGTTCATTGGTCACTATGAATACAGATTGATTGTGATGATGTTAGTGAAAAAAATCAAACGGATCAAAATGTTGTGTTCAATGTTCACTTTGAAAGGCTGAAATGCCTAATGAACGAAACGCTTTTGCCGAAAAAATGTTTACCTTTACCTTCTCCTCCTACTCTTTCGTCTTCTTCTGTTTCTTCTTTCTCTTCTTTCTCTTCTTTCCCCGCTCGTCTTACTTTCCTCTTTTTGACCTCACTTTACTTTACTCTCTTCAGCGCTTTTTCAGGTTTTTTTCAAATTTCGCTCACCAACTAAAACTGGTATCTTAAACGCCATCTAACGGTATTCTTGTTGAGTTTGATTGCGATTGTTTACTTTGATAACGTTTAATATTAATTTCAATGTTGATTATTTGACAATTTGTGATTTATTTATGTGATTATGGCAAGGGATGGTTAAAAGGATCAAATCAAGATGAACGATTGGAATGGCTAAAAAAGAAAAATATCTGTTTTGGATAAATACTGTAAAGCATAAAAATGTTCATATATGCTTGTTGTGTGTAATGTATCTTTATTCATCTGCTCGCTTACCTGATTGACGAGGTAGAAAACATCAATTTTAACCTGTAAATTGTGATAATTGTTGATATAGATAGGTAAATAGAGAGAAAGAAGAAAGAAAGAGAGTAAGGAAGACAGTTTAACTGTTTTTGATGCTTATTTCCAGTTGGTGAGAGCTGACATAATGTTTCAAAGGAACTCAACCGGATCACATAATAATATTCGTAATGGATTCAAATGAGCTACGAATTTTTTTACTTTAATTTAGTCTTCTTGGTTCCTTTATTTTGGTCAATTTTTCGCTATACATTTGGACTCAACTGGTCAATTGATTGAATCCTATTTGACCATAATCAATGGATTGTCTCATGGCTCAACCAAAAGTATCACAACCAGAACAAAGTGTAACAAATTATAAAGTGTATTAGCATACATTAATTAACCATTATCGACAGTCACAATTTTAGATTGACAATCTGCTTAAAATCAGCCCAGCCCGTTACAAATCGTACTCTCACCTCAATAAATAAGCTAAAATTCAACGTTATTATCGGGATAAAGTTACATTCATCTAGTGCCAAAAAAATACTGAACCGCAAATCTCTGAGCCATCAATTGATTTTAAATGCTGCCAGTAATCTCTTTCAATCCAATCCTCGATTTGATTATTGTTCAACTCAGCTAATCACAAATATAGACAAAGGTTATCAATATTTGAGCTCACAATTTGATGCACACAGGTTCAGTTAGTTGAACTGTTGCATTGAAATCTTGTCCCTTATTCAAGCAATTGCTAAAATCGGATAAATTACCTTCACAACTAGTAGTCATTTGAAAATCTTTTTCCTCTCCAGGTAACTACCCTTTTTACTTGATTTAATTTTGTCATTACTTTTACTTTTTTTACTGACATTTAAGGAGTAGAAGTGCAAAATTGGTGAAGAAAAAAATAAGAAATCATTTAACGATGAAAAGAGGTTTTTGCTATGATTTTTTATATTTAATATCATCAATTGGAAATCAACTGTCAATCGTCTAAGGTTGATAATCTTTGATTATTGGAAGGGAGCGAAAGTTATCAACCGATTCATTACTGAATCTAGTTTCATTGAGGTTCAACTCTTGAACTAAACCTTTTTTGTACTCTATTATGATATTGTATTGTTATCGGTTACTGATGGGCTTAAACTGAACAAATTTTACTGATTAATAATTATTTTTAGCTGTCGTCTCTTAACCTTTTGTTTATATCGTTTAAGTTATTCACAATTTAACATGTAAGCGAAGTGTCGATTTAAACTGATTTGATTCTGATTATAGACGAAATATTTGCATTCAATTTTACTGTGTTAACTTGCTACAGTTACAATATGTTGAAATATTATGAATATTATATTATAACCTTTTACCTTATTATTTACCTAATTGTTAACGTATTTAAAACACAAATTTGAGACCGTTTTTTCACTTTATTTGACAACTGATTACACAAATCACACCTTAATTTAACTCTCAATTCATTATCATAAAAACATAATTAGTGACAAAAGAAAAGCAAAGCGTATCGATTTTTAAATCATTGTTTTCATTTCTTTAACCAACATTTGTCCACTTATTTCTCATTTAATAACATCACCAAGCTTCCAATTTGCGTATATTTTAGAGTCAAAATAACCTTAACTAATGGGCTTTTGTTTTCAGAAAATGAAAGAGTTAACTCTATTAATATATAAATTAGTTTATATTTGAATAGATTCATCAAGTGGATCAGTTAAATTAGACAATCAGCTCTCTAAATTAACCAATAAACAACTGTATGGTAATGATGAAGCAATGAACAACAGGTAATAGTTAAACTTAAATATTCAAGATAGCTGGAATGGTGATTAACTGTACTCAACGCTTTTATTTGATGTTCACTGGTTAATCAATTGTCAACAGCTTTTTTAACTTTTCTCATTTCCATCAATTTACGTTGAAAGCAGAAGTCGATTACTTTCAGGATTTGTTTTCAAAATTAACTTAAACAGTCAATAATCATCGTTTAACCAGATTTAATTTCGCTGAGATGCTGGCTCTCATTAAAGGTAAACTGTTGGATGAAATAGCCAAATATCATTTTAAAGAAAGAGAAATGGAAAACAAGTAAAATATCTTTTAATTGTTGAACCAACAAATAAGTTTTGACCAAAATTCAAAGTTGAATTTAGGATTGCATACTATCAATAAATAATAACAATTAATGGGTATTACATTACAATGACAAGTTGTAAAGGTCTGAGACAAATCAAATCAGCCTAAAGCTGCCTAAAGATACATTGTTATACTAATTTTGGCTCCTAACATTGTCAGTTTGAATCATAATTATCGTACACTGATCTGTATAATCAAATTATTTTGATTGCTTAACCACTGAAAACCAAAAAGATGAAGAGTCGAGAAATTTTTCTGTTACGATTGTTTTTAGTTGAGAAATTGTATCATGAACGGATGAATTTAACCGGGTTACTCAAAAGATGATTCTAATCAATCTGAATTTGAATGGAAATGATCTACAATTTCACTTCAGTTTAAATTCATTGCTTAATTTATTTTTTAAATACGTTCAATTTACTTAGTAACAAATTCTTGGCCCTTTTTTATGCTAGCTTTGAGTTCAGGGATGGCAGCTTTAACAAGATCTTCTTCATAAGCAGACAATTGACCTAGACCCAGATTTTTGACCAAACCGTTTTTGCCTAGATGAACTGGAGTGGCGAAATAAGATGCATCAGTAAGGTCGGATTGTACGTAAGCACATTCGACAACATCAGGTTTTCCAGCTAAGCCATCCAAAAGAGAGAAGGCGAAACGGGCAGCAGCGAAAGCCATTGATAAAGTTGCAGATCCAGCTCCAGCTTTAGCTTTGACTACCTCAGTTCCGGCGTCTTGGATTCGTTTAGTCAGTGCATCAATGTGGTCCTTGTCAAAACTAACTGAAGGAGTCACTCGAGATAAAAGTGGAATAATGGTGATACCAGCATGACCTCCAATAACCGGTACATTTGTTGTAACTGGATCGAGTCCCTTAGCCTCGGCTACAAAAGTATTGGCTCTGACCACGTCTAAGGTTGTAACTCCAAACAAACGAGCTGGATCGTAGGTACCCGCTTTTTTCAAAACTTCAGCAGCAATGGGTATGGTAGAGTTGACTGGATTAGAAATCACCCCAATTAAAGCCTTGGGGCAATTTTGAGCACAAGCAGCTACCAAGTCCCGTACAATTGATGCATTGGTATTGAAAAGATCGTCACGGGTCATACCGGGTTTTCTGGGAACACCAGCAGGAATCAATACTACATCAGATCCTTGAAGAGCCTCTCCAAGTTGTTCTGGTCCTAAATGTCCAGTAACTTTGGCTCTAGAGTTGATATGGCTAAGATCAGCAGCTACACCAGGAGTATTGGCTACATCATATAAACTAAGGTGGCTAATTAATTTACTTCTTTTCAAGAGTAGAGATAAAGGTTGGCCTATTCCACCGCTAGCACCAAGAACAGCGACTTTAGCTTTCAACATTTTTAAGTAAAATTTAATAAAATTAAAACAAAAACACAATAAGAGATGAGGACTAAGGATAAATTAAATTAACAGATGAAAATGTCACCTTCAATAATGATGACTCTCAGTGGGAATTTTTAAGCTTTTCATTATGTAACAGCAGATGGAGCTACCTTTTATAGCTGATTAGCGAAATCTCTTTAATCCTAAATTTTCAGATCTATTATTAATAATTTATTTAATTGCTTTCATTAAATTTTTCAATTAAAAATTTTTCCAGTTGCTCTCACACTCAACCAAAAAATCTTGTATAAGTTTCTCTCTATAAGTTGTTTCCATCATAAGATTTATCCGACGATAAAAAATTTAGTCAATTTTAAATAATGAATTGTTCAGAAAAGCCAGAAAACTCAATCATTGATATTTTAACAAGATTTGATCATTGAAAATACAGCGAAAAATTGTGTCCGTTTTTACAGCTGAAAGGGAAGGCTAAGCTAACTAGAACCTCATTAACCTCAAATCATTCGAAACATTTAATTGAATGAACACTTTTGAATAACTCAACTATTAATTAGTATTTCGTTTTGTGGAAACATCTCTCAGTTAATTGTTCAAGAAAGTCGATATTAAGCAGGCTTTTGAGTTAACTGAATTGAATAAATTCCAACATAAACTGAAACGATTTTTGAATGAAATTTTTGAGCTGATGGAAAATTTGTGTTTAAATTTCTGAGACAAATAATTTATGTCTTATTATAGCATCGCAATTAATTTTACAGTTTACAATTATTTAAAAAGTAATGAAAAAAGGAAGAAAAAATTATCATCAAATAAATGTATCATTTTCGTTATTTCTCATTGAATATGATAACTTATTCATCAAAAAATGTGGTGTTAACAGCGCAAAAGTTTGTCAATTATTCTTTCCTTTTGAGTTTTGATTTTTTATGTTAGTTAATCCATTTTGATGTCATCTCGCCATGTACCTAATATGTGAGGATTTTGTTTCGCTCTCAACAGCAACGAAATCATTGCACTTGATCAGTAAACATCTTTCAAAATTCAATCGCCTTTAGACACTTTGTTGCTTTTAACCAATTTAAATTTCCAGTTCACCTGATGATCACATTTACCATTAGTTATGTAAATTGAACCTAAGTTGAATGAAATTCTCGATCCATAGCTATAATAATCACCATCATATGAATTATTAAAATTATCACCAATATCATCATTTCCTATCTCACTTAAGCTTTAAACTCATTTCGCAGCTTCATTATCTGAATCCTTTCTTGTTTCTTGAATTTTTGTAGCATTTGATGTTTTTTTCCTGGAAATCCGTCCAATCTTTTCTGACCGGCGAAGCTTACATAATACTCCAACGTCTTGATCACTTTTTTCATCTCATAGAATAAAGATTAAACAGATAATTTGGCCATGGTGTAATAAGGTTTGTGGTAGAGAAAAATCATCAATATCCCAGATGATTTCATTTCTATTATCTTTCATATACAAGTATATTAACAGTATGGTAAATTCCTGGAGCGAGTAGTAATTATCTACGCAATTCCTGTCGAAAGAAGGGTTTTTATGAAAGAATGTGGGTTAGGAAATTATGAGACAGAGAAGATGAAAAGAAAAAGTTTTAAAGATAGGATATTTAGAATAGATAGGAAGCATCAGAAAAGTCTTCGGATTTGATTGCAAAAGATGATATTCCAAAGATCGTAGTTTTTTCTGTACATTTTTCAATCTTTGTGAAGTTTATCCTAGTTCCTAAAATAGGAACGATTTGATGGGTCATAGGGCAGCATGAGTAAAAGAACTAGCGCTATTGCTGTGAGCCAAACTAAGCATGCTGCCAGTCACTGAGCTATCATCACGCAATGATTCACTGGCTTCGACAATGGCAAGTGAGTTTAGACCAAGTCTTGCAGTTTCTTCGTCGAAAGTTTGAATTTCTTGGGCTTGTCTTTCAGTTAAAAGTCTTTGCCTTTCATTCCGTTCTTCTTGAAATCGGTGTTTTTCCAATTCCATCTAAATGGTTAAAAAAGGAAGATTATATGGTTCAATTAAGTTTATGTGAAACATGAAGATACATGAAGCTTAAATTGAAAACAACAAACATGATGATGTCACTTACCTTTTGCTCTAGTAAAGCTCTCCGATGGGAAACTCGTTCTTCTAATTCTCTTTTTTCTCTATTTCGTTGTGCTTCTGTTTGCATTCTGATTTTACTTTGAAATGCGATCAATAATTCAAGTTCTTGTTGAAGGTGGTCTTTTAATTGACGAGCTTCAGTTTCCTGAGATTCATCTAACCTTATCTAAAGGAATAAAGAAAGAAAAAATTAATATGGATTAATAAAAATCGATGATGAATTTACTAGGTTTAAAAAAAGAATCGAAGGCTTGTTTGCTCATGAAGTGGAAAACATTGAGAACGTAATTAAAATGTCAATTATGAGTCTTAATGAAAATAAGGTTACAAATATTTGATGTTGGTAGATGTGTTACATGTATTAGTTAATTTATTGTTAAGCCTTTTTTGACAGATGGAGAAGAAAAAGGGAAAATTTTTTATAACACAATAGTTATCAGCTCAATTAAGTCATTGTTTTCATTACTCAAATGAAAAACAGCCTAAAATAGCAAAATCTTTCTTATACAGATGAATATCGACACAAAAATAATAAATATTAATGGTTAAGGTGCAATTGATACGTTCTTAGCAAATTATGAAAAATATAAATAACACTTACCGATTGTTTTTGAAGCATTTCTGCAATACTTTGTTCATATTGTTCACCTAAAATGGCAAGTTTTCTCATTTGTTCCTCTTTTAACTTTTTGATTACATTTTTCTGCTCTTCTTTGGGTGTGGATGCCAACACGTGAGCTTTCCATACTTTATATTGACGTGTCTGAGTTTTACATGTTTCCCTAAATTGACGACGTATTTGCAATTCCTTTTGCTTCAAACTTTTCGGCTGTTGTTTCAGTTCTAAGGCATGCTTCTTTGACAATTCAGATAGCCTTCGTTGATTGTACTCTTGTTGATTGGCTAATTCAGTTTGATGTCTTTTCCTGATCTGGTCATCTCTCAGTTGATGAATCGCTCTTTGTTGACGATATTCAAGTTCAACCGATATCTCATAATGTCGAAGTAACATGGCATGAGCTTCTTCAAGTTGATGTTGGCGTTTGTTCAACTCTTCTCGAAGTAAATCTCTTTCTAATTCATGATATTGAACCAGTTTTCTCCTTTGGAACTTTCGAATTTCCGACCTGAAATGCTCCAATTGACTTTGCTCTAGTGATCTGAGATTAGAAGCTTGAGCTCGTTGGAGGCTTTCTTTATGTTTCTTCAACGATTCTGGATTATTGGCAAATTCCTGCAAGAGAAAATCAATAGTTTTAAAATGGAACCACATTAATGTTAAACTGAAATGTCAAAACTTTCATTTCCATGATGATTAAAGCTAAAACTGAAAAGAACAAACTAAAAATGTTACCAATACCGATTAAATTTATTTAATCAGAAAAAAGATGATAATGGAGCTAAGCATTGAGCTTACTCAGAATCGAGTAATAATTACAAATAAAATCATGAATCAAGTAAAAGTCAAAAGTGATATTAATCAGATATTGTTAAAGTACATCAGGATTGGTTCTGGATGGAAAAACTAATGAATTTCTAAGGAATCAAACTCCACTCAAATATAAATTATTTTAATAACTAACTAATAAACGTACTAAAAATTAAAGGAATAATGGCTGCAAGTTTATGATATTGCAATGATTATTAAAAAAGTCTTTGGAATTTATGTTAGCGGATTAAGTGAAAAATGTATTAAACTGTCGAAGGAACTTAATTCATGGCAAATACTAGCACCTGAAGTAAAAAATATACGTAAATTCAAATTAAGATAATTAAAAACAATCCAGTAGCGAATAATTGAAAACTTTACTTACCAATTCAAGTTTTTCTTTTATATATTTATTCTCGTTCTTTTGTTGTTGTAGTAATCGTTTTCTCTCCTCTTCCTGTTGTTGTTTTATGGCTTTGCTTAATCTATTTTCACAATCTAGATTGTGTTTTGACTTTATACGAAGGAAATAAAAAATCAAGAAATTAAAATTATTAGCAACAAAGAGTTAAACACAAAAATAAACCGATAAGATGGTTCAAAGAGAAATAAAAGATATCATTTGACTCGACTATGAAGATAGTCAAATAAGTTAATAGCAATAAAATGAATAGAAAGAAAGTAATTATAAAAAATAAAGCATATTTACGGCATCAATAGCTTTTCTAAAATATTTGAAGATAAAATTGTATCAAAATTACCTTTTTCTGGAGTTCTTTTTGATGTTTATTCTGTAATTTCTCCAAGTCTTTACTGAATTGAGTTAAAAGACTTTCATATTCTTTTTCAAGTTTAGTCTTATGTTCTTCCAGCTCTTGTCGACACTTAACTTCCAACTGTAGGATAGCTTTTTGGTGTTGCCTTCTCATCCTCTTGTAGCCACTGAGCTGTTCATACATTTGATTTTCTTCCTCGTGCTCTTTTATTTGACGACTAACTATTGATGTTGTCCTAAGGGTTGCGAAATTATTAGCACCAAGTTCGGTACTATTCAAGCTTGCAGAGGAGTTCTGGGTAATAAAACAAAAATGAGAAAAGGCATTAATGAGATATTGTTTGAAATACGGTTGGGAAATGAACTCACCGAAGGGCTGATACGACTCATGTTGCTACTGCTTTGACGTCTCGTGGAAAGTGACCTTTTGTGCAAGTCATTGTTTTCGAAATTGATTGGAAGACTACAATTACTACTACTATGACTGCCGGTACTGATGCCTTCACTTTGTTGACTGGCAATACTATTGCTTTTACTACTATCTCCTAATTGATCATCCTCCTAAATAACAAAAATTAAAATATTAGTAATCTAAAGTTAATGATTAAAGATAAATTTAAAAAGTACCGTTGAATCTCCTTCAATTTCACTTCCAGCTCTTTCCAGTTCTTGATTTTCAATCATGAGAATTTTTTTCATGCGTCGATAATTCAGATTGTCTAGTTCTCTTACAGCAGCCTTTGTCCTATTGATCAGATCATATATAACAGTCCCAGATCTGGTACGTGTGATATAGCCATGCTAAAAAAATAGGTTAAATTTCATTAAATTAATTTGTTGATCGTACAAACAAAGAACTTGAAAACATGTATTAAGTTGCCTTGTTACTTACTTTAAGCATTTGAGATGAGGTAGGTCTATCATAAGGATTTTTTTGAAGACAAGAGTCAACAAAATTTCGGAATATATCAGACCACTCAGAGTGAGAGCTTAAACTAGGTGAATCGTTCTGAGCGATGTGGTATAAGGCACTCATTGCATTCATGTTAAAGTATGGCGGTTTTCTTTCAGCAAGTTCAATGCAGGTGATTCCAAGGGACCAGACGTCAACTTTACCATCGTACTGGCCTTCATCCATGGCGAGGATGACTTCAGGTGCCATCCAGTAAGGTGATCCAACGAATGAATTTGCTGGACAAGTCATTGATGAAGATCCGAAGTCGGCAAGTTTAACCGTGCCATCCTCGGTTAAAAGGATGTTACCTGCTTTCACATCTCGATGTATTCGACCTAAACTATGAAGATATTCCAATCCTTGTAGTGCATCATGACATATGGCAGCAATTTCCTCTTCTTTTAATGGCTTTTTGTGGACTGAAAGCCGAATGTAGAAATGTTAATTAATTCGATTGAACCAAAATTAAATGAAACTAATAAGAGAATCAGACTACTGATGCAAATGAAATAATCATTCATCAAAATACCTTCGATAATATCGGATGCAGATCCAAGACAATATTCCATAACTAGCCATGCAGTATGGTCCTTTAGATAACAACCCTTATATTCTATACAGTTTTTATGGTTCAAATTGACTAAAAACTTGACCTCCTTAATGATGTCTTGCCATTTCTGTAACCAGCATAGAGTAGAAAGAAAGAAGAAAGAGAAAAGATAGAAAGAGAGCGAGAAAAAGGAATTAACCAATTAACACAACAAATACATTGGGTGTGGAGGCATGCGAGAGTTAGAGCGAAAGAAACAACAAATAATGAGTGTTTTATAAGAGCGAGTGAGAAGGCAAATGAAGATTGAAAGAGGAAGAAGGCGAAGAGAAAGATGATGACGGTGGTGGCCTTCAGGGAAGGTGATAGTAGAAGTAACAAATGGTAATTGTATAAACGGGATTCGGGATGCTGTTATGATGGTAATGTTGGATGATGCAGTCTGTCTTCAGGGTACACTGAAATAGAGTGTTGTTGAAAACCTTTACATTCCTCCTTCATGTTAACTTTGGAACTATCCTTTAATCACTTCTTCCTTCTTTTCTGGCATTTCGACTTCCCTCCTCGTCATCCTAAAAATATTTTCTCAAAGGTATTAAATTCAATATATCTACTAACCTCGGCGGACTGTTTACCGGTGAATGACATCTTTTTGATGGCCACAACTTCATTATTAACTGTACAACGAGCATAATAGACAGCTCCAAAGCTTCCATGCCCAATCTCTCTCAGATCGGTGAAATATTTCTCTGGATCTTCTTTGTCAAATAGAGAAGCAATCTCTGGATCCTTGATCAATTTGTACGAATGCATGGCTATATCAATACACAACGAAGAAACGATGAGTGGAAGTAAAGAGTAAAACAGAAGGAGAAGATGTGAGAGAATACAAGAAGAAGGAGAAGGAGAGAGAGAGAGAAAAAAAATAAAAGAAAAATAGAGAAAAGAGAGAAAGAGATTGAAATGAAGAGAGAAAAAGAAGGGGAAGAGAGAGAGAGAAAACACTAGCTATCTGAGAGATTATCCAGTGAAACACAGGTAATAAGAATTTAAGATTATCACTGAAACATCATTTCAAGGTTGGTTAATTAATTTAAACCATTTTACAATAAATTTACAATTAGAAGATCAATTGATTCAAAAACTAGAGAGGATCTGAAATCATCTCAATTATTTGTATTCCTCTTCTCTCTCTCTCTATTACCTCTCAATCCCAAATACAAAATTCAATCGAACAAATTGCAACACTGCCACCTACTGACGCAAGAAATTATCACCTTGTAAAGCGGTTAACTCGATTTCTTTAACAATTTACTAATTGTAAAAATTAGTTAAAATCTAATCAATATAAGAATACAAAACACGATTATGAAACAAAACAAAATGACAAAAAGATTATAAAATTATGCAAAGATATCGAAAATAAAAAATGACTTTTCTCATCAATTAGTCGATAACCAATTATCAACTCCATTGGAAAAATTGTGATAAAACAAAACGTTACTAATTTTAATAGCAACAATTGGGATGAAATTGCTAAGCCAAAATCATCCAACACAGTTGAATGGTTATAAACAGGGCTTTTCAAAAGGCATTAAATCATTTTTTAATCAAAAAGGCATAAATTTTATGCCTTTCGTCTATCTTTTCCCTTTCTTTTCTCTTTCTTTTTTCAATTTTATCAGCCTTAATCTGTCCTAAATAAAAGATAGTCGCCTTTTTTTTGACCAATCTTGTTGATAATTTTTCCCATTGAAAATCAATGGACTTTTCTTAGGTTTATCTTTTATGCCTAAAAGCATATACATAAGATAGACGAAAGGCATAAAATGTGAAAAGCCCTGGTTATAAATGTAATCCATGATAAAAGTAGCAAAGACTAAGGTTAAGCCAGTTGACTAGATTATCATTTTATAAATAATACAAAATTGCAAGAGAAACAGAAATTATTTTGGATTAAAAGCATAATAAACTAATAGCATTGATAATAATGGCAAAATATCAATAATACAAAGTAATGAGTTTACATATTCAGGCCTAATGTTTACCTTTGCTTTTGGTTGATTTGAATTGTCATTTTAAATAAGTTTACGCTCTGTTAAATCCAGGTTAGAAAGGTCAAATGTTGAGGTTTAAATATTAAGGTTATAACCATTGACAAGATACATATGTCGAAAGGTTGATATAAGGTGAATAATCAAAGGGAATTAATAATATAACAAAAAGCTAAATTATTACAATAAATATGAGTTATAATAAAGAGAAGAGCGGAAAAATAAAACTGAAATATTGAAAGCTCAAAACTGATACAAACGTATTAACTGGTTTGGGTAAATTGAAATTTCTGATCAAATTTTCAGCTGAAACATGTGATCATCAGAATCAGTTATTCCAATATCATTACTGATATAATATTACAATAAATAGCAACCAGAAACAACCAGAAATGGTAAAGATAATTAGAAGAAATTTATTTACCAAAATATTTCCAATAATTTCTAATTTTGACTGATTATTTTGTTTCCAAGTTTAGCTTTCCAATCATGATTATTCTGATGATATTGATGAAGATGAGCTTCTTGGTGCTTCTATTATAATTGTGATGATAATAATAAAAGGCGGGTTCGAACAGGTATAATATAATCCAATGGTAAAGGTTTGTTACGCCTTGAAAGATTTGAAAAGGCCAATGAAAGGGAAAGTGTATTGATAAATATCTGATGGAGTTTGCACAGTTACTGAGACTAGGGAATGACAATCAATGTCTATAGTGATCATTTGAAGGGAATTGAATCAACTTGGCTGCTAATTTGAAAGCTAACTTGAACATTTAAAGTGATTAGTGCTATTGGGATGATGAGTATCAATATTAATATGCCAGCATCGTCATCGTCTTGTTTGTCTTCACCAAAGAGTAATTTGATTGATAGTCACTGGAATGAATCAAATGATCAGCCAACTCATGGATCAGAAGCTGTTTACGAGATTTACAACAATGATAATCCTTGTAGTAACCATAATACCAATAGTGAAGATGATCCGTTGAACCTTCAAGGGAAGCAGCAACAGGACAATATGATCAACTCCATTGGGTCAAGCAATGGCTGTAAAAATGGTAATGAAAATGGTATTAATAATGGCAATGGTACTGGTGTTGGAAGTAATCGCGGTGGCAATGGAAGCAATAGAAATCAAATTGATCACCATTCTCACCACTCTCATCATAACCATCATCATCATCATCATACAAGTTATTCAATCCTTCGAGATGCTGATTCAACTGTGGTTGACTATGGTTATGAAAGTACAACAACAACAACTGGTGTCTATCAATCTCGTCTGAATGTTAACCATCAACATCATCATAATCATCACCGCAATTCAAATGTTATTCATAGTACACTTGATGGTAAACGGAACCATTCATTAGGTAAAAACATTTTGTTACCTTTGCATCTTTGTTGCATTTGTTTGTTTTTTAACTTGTTTTTCGGTGTTTTTGCGATTTACAATTGATTATCCTCTTATTTCTGATTGTTATTTAAGCCACTATCGAAATGAAACATCAACAATTGACTCCAAATCGATCCTCATTGAGACCACATTCAACTCCGGCAACGTTGCTTTGGTTAGAGGAAAACTATGAGATTGCTGAAGGTGTTTGTATTCCTAGAAGCGCACTTTACATGCATTATGTTGATTTTTGTGCTCGAAACTGTATACAACCAGTCAATGCAGCAAGCTTTGGGAAGGTAAGTTGTACAACAATTCAAATAATTTAGCTAAATAATCAACTAAATAGATGTCAAAGTGAAAACAAAGGGTTTAATGTTGAAGAAAGATGTTTTGGTTGTTACTAAAAGACTCAATTAACACTATTTTCACATTTATGCACAAGTTGACACAAATACCTAAAAACAAACGAGTAAAAACGGGTAAAAATAAGTTTCCTTCGAATTTAAAGGCTGTCGGTTTGCAGGGACATTAAAACTGAGTCCATTAGTACAATTTAAAAGTTTCTATGACCAATAGTTTTCGAGAAAATCGAGTTTAAAGTTGAAACTTCGATCGCTTTTTGTACGATAATGGAAGTAGATGTTTTCATGAAACTCATTTTGCTAATGTGAATTGCAATTATCAACCATAAAATGTCCTTATTTCGAGAAATAAAATTTTCTGTTCGAAATAAAATCGATAAGTTCGAATTTCATTTAAAGCGACTTATTTCTGTGACCGTAAAATTTAGAGATCTGAAACTTATTTTCAGGCTATAAAATTTGATGATACACATCTTGACTTTAATATTTTTTTCGATTTGGTGATAGTTCTCTTGATTTTGGCAATTGCGCCTTAAAATTTTTAGGCTAAATATCTTCGATATCAGAATTGTAATTAACGAAC